AACTTGGCTGTGGGACCAGACCTTTGCAGGGTAATTCATTGCAATAAATGGATATGAAATAAGTACAATCATGATTGGAATAGCTCCTGGACTATGACTTTGGATTAGTGTGGGCTTAACAATTGGTTTTTAATGCATATATGTTTTTCTTAACTTTTATGGTTTGATGTATATGTTTATTGTTTTTTACATATTTTTTAATACTGCATTGAATTATTGCCAGTTTGTAAGCTGCTCTGAGTCCCTTTCAGGGTGAAAAGGGTGAGGTATAAATATAGTAAATAAATAAATGTATTTTAGAATAATCAATTAGAGAAGTGAAACACAGTTGTTGTGTGCTGATTGGCATATAAACCCATTTAAGAAAATGGTTGCATATAGCAGAAGTGCACATTTCAATTACCATTTAAAAACAAAGGCAGAAACAGAAAAAAGGTGGAGCTGATTTCAGAGCCTCTTTTCTATGGGCGAACAAGGATTTAAACCCTTGTCTCCAGAATTACAGCACAATACTCATATCACTATACCACACTGGGTGTCTGAATCACGATTATCCAAATACATAACTTACTTATAAGAAGTGGGATAGAGTATTACATTACACTTTCAATCTTCACAGTTGAGTAGGAAATATTTGATTCTTACTGACAACAAGCTCTCTTAAGACACAATTTTGTGACTGAAATTTACATAATTTAGATAAGGATCATTTTTTTTCATTATGCATTTAAAACATTAAAAATGATGAAAAAGAATTTGAGGTCTGACCCACAAATAAAGGCAGTGACTTCATTTTGTGTATAAAGTGCTCCCTATGATAACCTTTGTTTACTTCCAGCAAGCACAGACTTGTCACAGACACCCACAAACTATGAGCTTTGTACTTTCTTTATCATGGTCTGCACAATAAACAGGTGTAACCAAGCACAAGATTATATTAGGGTTCAGTCTAAACTACTGAAACCAATAGCAGCAAAGGCATTCAGACTGGCTTGTGTGTTTGTTTATTTATTTACTTACTTAGTTATTCTCCCGAGAAAGACTCAAGGCAGCTAATATGAAATATGAGACAACGCAAATTAAAACAATGTACGTGCATTAAAATATAAATATAAAAACAATTAAGTTCAAGTATCTTACAGTATCATCCTATGCATGCTATTCTGAAATATGTCCCATTCACTTCACTTAAAATTTATTACCAGGGAAGGATATGTAGGAGAAAGACCCATAGAATCCAGAAGGTCATAAGTAAAAGTAAAGGTTTCCTCTTGACATGAAGTCTAGTCAAGTCCAACCCTACGGGGTGGTGCTCATCTCCATTTCTAAGCTGAAGAGCCAGCATTGTCTGTAGATGCCTCCTAGGAAATCTGACCAGCATGACTGTATGGAGCGCTGTTACCTTCCCGCCAAACAGTATATATTGAGCTACTTACATTTGCATGTTTTCAAACTGCTAGGTTGACAGAAGCTGGGGCTAACAACAGGAGCTCACCCTGTCCATGGATTCGAACCACTGACCTTCCGCTCAGCAAGTTCTACAGCTTAGCAGTTTAACCCACTGTGCCACTGCAGCCCTTACAGGGGGGTCATGGAAGGCAAAGGTAAAGGTTTCCCCAGACATTAAATCTAGTCGTGTCCAACTCTGGAGGGTGGTGTTCATCTCCATTACTAAGCCTAAGAACCGGCATTGTCCATAGATGCCTCCAAGGTCATGTGGCCAGCATGACTGCATGGAGCGCCATTACCTTCCCGCCGAGTGGTACTTATTGATCTACTCACATTTGCATGTTTTCGAACTACTAGGTTGGTAGATGCTGGGGTTAATTATTTATTTATTTATTATTTATTAGATGCACTTATTAACCGCCATTCTCAGCCCATACGGGCGACTCATGGCGGTGTACAGTACACATAAAAGACAATTACAAAAGTTAACAACAGGAGCTCACCCCTCCCCCGGATCTGAACTGCCGACCTTTTAGTCAGCAAGTTCAGCAGCTCAGTGGTCTAACCCGCTGAGCCATCGGGGACAGAGGGTCATACATAGAAGTAAATATGCATAGGATTGTGTGGCAAAATTATATTATGCTCTTATCAGTTCTGACTGTAGGGAGGATGTGTGGCAAACGTAATTTTCAATACAATCAGTCCTCCACAATCCTCGATTCTGTATTCAGTTTAAAATAAAAAAAACCAGAAAGCAAACCTTGATTTTGCCATTTTATTAGACCGTTGCATACAATGTGATTTTGACATCCACAGGGGGTCCTGGAACTAAACCCCAGTGGATGCCAAGTGCCTACTGTATACTAACTCAGAAAGCAATTAAACAAATTGCCAGTCATTACAGATAAAATAATCAATAAGATAAAGAGCCCATAACAGCCATGAACTGTAGATAAAAATGCTAAGGTGCATTAGAGGGCAGAATTGTGCACCTGAGTCCTAGCATTCCACGATTATTATTTCTTTTTTACTATTGTCCTTAGCCCTCTCATTAGCTATCAAAAGGTAACTTATATGATACAAAATCATAAAATCAAGATGTGACATACATGCCATGACTGCAATTATCTGCAAGGTAAAACTGGATGAGTTTAATAAGAAGCTTTATTAAATTTAGAAGACCTTACATTCAATTCACACAACAGTTCATATTTCACTATTATAATCAAACATGATACAAGGCAATGCACCAATATTGAAAACTGGAGAAGGGATTTGAATTGGGTGAAGCTTTTTCATCCGGTAGCTCTTAATGAAATTCTTTCCCTACACAACTGGTAAAAGTACAGAAAAATCTCTCACGTCTTGTTACTTCCTTTAATTACTATGGAAGGGGAAGTGTCAAGCCTTTACCTGTAATTTATTAGTTTACATAGATAGTATTCTATCTTTAGCACAGCAGGTTAATCACCCACTGTAGCTGCAGTAAATCTTGCCAAGCGAAAGGTTGACAGTTCGAAGCCGGATCAGGGTGAGTTCCTGACCTTCAGCCCAGCTCCCCACCCACCTGGCAGATCTCAAACAGCAATGTGAGTAGATAAATAGGAACCACATTAAAGTAGAGAGGTATTTTAGGCAAATCAGAAAAAGAAGGAAAGTTTACGAACAAAGAAAGCTCTTCAGCAAGGAGATGGAGTGACAGCACCCCCTGTGGCCAGAACCGAGCACAGCCTCCAAAAGATGCTGAAAGATGGGGAAAAGCCTATATATACCTCTCTGTTGTCTGTCTTGTCATTGTATAATCAGCATTGAATGTTTGCCATATATGTGTTCCATGATCTGCCCTGTGTCCCCTTCGGTGGGAGAAGGGCAGACTATAAATACTGTAAATAAATAAATAACATCTGTTTTACTAGTAATTTATATTGCATTTTTACTTATGACACCCAAATTGGTCTTGTCAATGCACTGATAACACCCTACCCCATTTCCTCTAAATGTGAAGGAACTCAAAGAATCATCGAATCACAGAGTTGGAGGAAACCACAAGGTCCATGCAATCCAATCCTATTTTGCCATGCAGAAACACACAAAGCACTTCAAACTGATGGCCATCCATCTTCTGCTTAAAATCCTCCAATCTGAGGCAGCAGTACATTCCACTGCCAAATAGTTCTTGCAATTAGAAAGTTCTTCCTAATGTTTAGGTGAGATCTTTGAACCCATTGTTCCATGTCCTAGTATCCAGAGCAGCAGAAAACAAACCCAAATCTTTGATCATTTTGGTCGCCCTTCTCTAGACACATTCCAGCTTGTCAATATACTTCTTGAATTGTGGTGCCCAGAACTGGACACAGTGCCATTCCAGGTGAGGTCTGAACAGATTGGGACTAGACTTCCCTTCGTTTTCACACTATACTCCTGTTGATGCAGCCTACAATCGCAATGGGTTTTGTAGCTGCTGAATCACAGTTTTGACTCATGTTCAGGTTGTGCTCTGCCAAGACTCCTGGATTTCTTTCCCATGTATAGGTCTTCACAGTCATTAATGGATCCACTGCCAAGACCCTAGGTAAAGGTTGCCCCCTGACATTAAGTCCAGTCGTGTCCGACTCTGGTGTATGGTGCTCATCTCCATTTCTAAGTCAAAGAGGCGGCATTGTCCATAGACATCTCCAAGGTCATGTGGCCGGCATGACTGCATGGAACACCATTACTTTCCCGCTGGGGCGGTACCTATTGATCTACTCACATTTGCATGTTTTCAAACTGCTAGGTTGGCAGAAGCTGGGGCTGACAGCAGAAGCTCATGCCGCTCCCCAGAATCGAACCTGCGACCTTTCGGTCAACAAGTTCAGCAGCTCAGTGCTTTAACCCACTGCGCCACCGGGGCCAAGACCCTACCTCTATCATATTCAGGCATGATCATTGTTTTCAAGTCATCCTATATTCTGTGCATTTCATTTTTATTGCCTAAGTGTAGTGCCATAAATTTCTTCCTGTTGTAATTCATTTTGTTAGTTTTAGCCTGCTCTATAATCTGTTAAGGTCATTTTAGATTCTGATTCTGACCTCTGGGGCATTTGTTATCCATTCCAATTTGGTGTCATCTGCAAATTGATAAGCATGCCTTTTATTCCATTGTCCAACTCATTCATAAAGACGTTGAATAGCACTGGACCCAAGACACAACCCTGTGGCCCCACACTGGTCACTTCTCTCCTTATTGCATCAATGTGCTATAGGAATATACAGGTTTTGGCCTTCCAGGGAAAGCCACAGGAAAACTATTCCTTGGTTTTAAAAAAAGGTTAAAATTTCCCTTGACATTATGTCTAGTCATGTTCAACTCTAGGGGGTGGTGCTCATCTCCATTTCTAAGCTGAAGAGCCAGCATTGTCTGTAGACACCTCCAAGGTCTTGTGGCCAGCATGACTGCACGGAGAGCCGTAGAACACTGAAAATTCAAGTACAGATATTCTTCTCCCCATCCCATGTGGGAAAGTATGCTATATTTGATCCACCCAATTCTGTATATTATTAGCACTTACCTTAACAAAGACAAAAATCTGATGAGCCTCTTCTTGAGCGTTATTTTCTTCCGAATTACTGTTGCAAGGAAATCTGATTGTATTCTTGATATTACCCTGGATATTCTTCAGAAAGAAATCAGTTGGAGACAATGCCAATCGCATTCTTTCTATCTGCTCAACGGACAGACTTGGACTCAGCAGTTCTCGCTTTCCCTGCCTTCGCTGGTCTTCTGGAGTATCTCGTTCAGAAGAATCACTTTCTTCATCCCCATCATACTCATACCGAGAGGACAACGAATTTGTTTGGCTGTTTTCTGGGCTTTCTTGATATCCCATATCTATGCTGCCAAGCATGGTAGTACAAGAAAAAGACTTCTGGTCTTCATTAATATGATCATAAATTTGTCTATCTTCTTCTTCTTCCAGAGCTGGAATTTCATACATCCTTGTATCGATGTTTTCATATATATTATTATATTCCACATTTTCCATAATGGGTACCTGGTTAAATTTGTTGTGCGTCTGGGAATTGGAATCAAGTTGGCACTGGCAACAGATATATACAGTATTTGAGTGTAAGCAATGCCTGGGGCATGATCTCTGAAGATATTGTTACACATGACAGATTTCTAACAATCATTTACCAAGAGCTTTAAATCAACAAACTGCATACTCAGGGAAAACTGGTTCCCTCTTAACCCTTGAGCAGTCCAAAGTACTGCAAATGTTCCTCAAAGATTTTAAATGCCCTATGGCAGTCTTTTTCAAACCTCTCCTTCTTTGAATGGCTGATAGAGTAACTTGGCCATTTCACAATGAAAGCTAAGGAGCCACCAGTGTTGCAATGGGTTAAACTCTTGTGCCAGTAGGATTGCTGACTGAAAGGTTGGTGGTTTGAATCCAGGGAGCGGGGTGAGCTCCCATCTGTCATCTCCAGCTCATGTGGGGACATGAGAGAAACCTCCCACAGGATGGTAAAACATCTGGACATACCTTTTTTTTGTCGTGTCAGGAGCGACTTGAGAAACTGCAAGTCGCTTCTGGTGTGAGAGAATTGGCCGTCTGCAAGGACGTTGCCCAGGGGACGCCCAGATGATTTGATGTTTTTATCATCCTTGTGGGAGGCTTCTCTCATGTCCCCACATGTGGAGCTGGAGCTGATAGAGGGAGCTCATACGCCTCTCCCCGGATTTGAACCTGTGACCTGTTGGTCTTCAGTCCGGCCAGCACAGGGGTTTAACCCACTGCACCACTGGGGGCTCCATACCTTAATAATAATAATAATAATAATAATAATAATAACAATCTTTATTTAATACCCCGCCACCATCTCCCCAATGGGGAATCGAGCCGGCTTACATGAGGCCATGCCCAACAACACATTACAATAAAGTAAAACCAAAACACAATAACTACACAGTAAAATACATACAACATATGAGTACAAAAACGATCAAATCATACACAGTAAAATAAAATAACATAACATAACATAACAATGAGCGGGCTGCATGTGCAAGATAAAAACTAAGATACTAAAAATACTAAAATCAGTATGAGATAGGGATGGAGCAGATTGTTTGTGGGGGAGAAACTCGTAAGGGTCATAAATATAGACTTTCATACAGGTGGGGAATATACTTTGGGGACAAAAACCGTTGTGGGGAGCAACTGTGTATGATAATATGGCTACTCTCCAAAAGTGCATCGAAAAAGCCAGGTTTTGAGATCCCTCTTTAAAATTTCTAAGGTGGGGGCCTTCCTAATCTCACTGGGCAATGAGTTCCAGAGTTGGGCAACATCCTTGCAGGCGGCCAATTCTCTCACATCAGAAGTGACTTGCAATTTCTCAAGTCACTCCTGACACACAGAAAAACCCCAAACCAAACCAAACCAAACCAATAAAAGCTGCTGAGAACAGTGAATTGTTCTGCTCCATTCGCAGGGAGCTCCCCATCACTACTGATTCATTTTCCCTCCCAATCCTCTGCCCCAACTTGCTAGACACATTGGTTCCTCCATATCTTCTCGTCCTTCGATGACTTGTTTGATAACACTAACAAGGAATTTATTTTCCAAAAATATTATTATGAAGGTGGCAACATTTTCAAATACAATCTTCAACTGTAATTATGGAGCCCCCGGTGGTGCAGTGGGTTAAACCCCTGTGCCGGCAGGACTGAAGACCGACAGGTTGCAGGTTCGAATCCGGGGAGAGGCGGATGAGTTCCCTCTATCAACTCCAGCTCCTCATACGGGGACATGAGAGAAGCCTCCCACTACTTTGATGGCCAAAAGCGAGGAGGAGCTGAGGAGCCTTCTAATCAAGGTGAAAGAAGAAAGAGCAAAAGCTAGGTTGCAGTTAAACATAAAAACACCAAGATTATGGCAACAAGAATGATTGACAACTGGGAAATGGAGGGAGAAAACATGGAGGCCATGAAAGACTTTGTATTTCTAGGTGCAAAGATTACTGCAGACGCAGACTGCGGCCAGGAAATCAGAAGACGCTTACTTCTTGGGAGGAGAGCAATGTCCAATCTCGATAAAATAGTGAATAGTAGAGACATCACACTGGCAACCAAGATCCACATAGTTAAAGCAATGGTATTCCCTGTAGTCACCTACAGATGTGAGAGCTGGACCCAGGCCCGTAGCCAGGATTTTGATTCGGGGAGGAGCTGACTTTGATTGGGGGGGGGGGGGGTGCTGAGTCTGAGTGAAAGAGGGTCTACCCTAGCAAACCTTTTGTATCATTACCCCAATACCCCCATGCATATGGGATATATTGAGCATGGTGATCAGATCATGATATGAATAAACATAACAGTTTAAATAATGCACCAGTAAGGCCTTTTCGCGAACTTCAATTTTCAGCGCAGTGTATGTAAAGAGGGAAAGGCTGCCTAGCATTCGGGAGGACCACACGGCATGGCGAATTTTTTTCACCGGGGGGGGGGGGCTGAAGCCCCCCCAACCCCCCCCCCCCCCCCCAGCTACATGCCTGGCTGGACCATAGGGAAGGGTGAGCGAAGGAATATAGATGCTTTTGAACTGTGGTGTTGGAGGAAAGTTCTGAGAGTGCCTTGGACTGCGAGAAGATCCAACCAGTCCATCCTCCAGGAAATAAAGCCCTCTGCTCATTGGAGGGAAGGATAGTAGAGGCCAAGATGAAGTAGAGAGGCCGACCAAGGGCAAGATGGATAGATGGGATCATTGAAGTGACTGGATTGACCTTGAAGGAGCTGGGGGTGGTGACGGCCCACAGGGAGCTCTCGCATGGACTGGTCCATGAGGTCACGAAGAGTCGGAAACGATTGAACGAATGAACAACAACATACAATATATTATATTACACTAGCTGTCCCCTGCCACGAGTTGCTGTGGCCCACAGGGGGGTTCTGTGTGGGAGGTTTGGCCCAATTCTATTGTTGGTGGGGTTCAGAATGCTCTGTGATTGTAAGTGAACTATAAATCCCAGCAATTACCAAATGTCAAGATTCTATTTTCCCCAAACTCCACCTGTGTTCACATTTGGGCATATTGAGTATTTGTGTAGCGTTTGGTCCAAATCCATCATTGTTTGAGTCTACACTGATCTCTGGATGTAGGTGAACTACAACTCCAAAACCAAAGGACACTGCCCACCAAACCCTTCCAGTATTTTCTGTTGGTCATGGGAGAACTGTGTGCCAAGTTTGGTTCAGTTCCATCGTTGGTGGGGTTCAGGTTGATTGTAGGTGAACTATAAATCCCAACAACTACAACTCCCAAATGACAAAATCATAATTTTTTGAGTGATGGTCACTCCTTGTGTTGTGAGACGTTTTGTTGCCAAATTTGGTGTGATTTCGTTCATTGGTTCTTTTGTTTTTAAGGTACTAATTATGCACAGAGCATTTATATATATATAGATAGATTATAGTATCATTGCACAGGAGACAATATCTGCTTTGAACTGTAATATCCAAGTCCACACAGCCATATATCCCAGTTCAAGGCAGACAATATGGGATTTTATTCAGATGGATTATATGGGTGAGTTGGAAGGGCCCTGAGAGGGGCTGCTTTCCCCAGGATGCATTCACCCACCTGCTGGGCTTCCAGGGCTGAGTGGAATTTCGAGCCCTGCCCTCGTGGCCCCGCCCCCTGCGCCCTTTCAAAGGAAGCCACTAGTTCTCCTGTCAAGGCGGAGAGGAGGAAGAGGGTCGCCCCTCGGAGCGCCTCTTCTGGGCATGCGCCGAACCCTTTCTGTTCTCCCCCTCACTCTGGGCAGCCCCCTCCTGTGGGAAACGCAGACAAGCCCCGCCCCCTGCTTTCCAGTCGCGTGGGGGCGCGAGAACGGTTGCGGCCGGCGCGCGGGGGCCGAGTGCGCAGGCGCGCCGTTGGCGGGCCCTGCGGCGGTGTGAGTGTGTGTGTGTCTGTGACGGAGGCAGCGGGTGACCTTGCCGCGTCTCCCGCCGAGGAAGGTGGCCTGGCCGCCCGCCCCGCTTCTCCCTCGCAGAGGGGCCCCGGCCTTCCCTTTGGAAGCGGCGGCCGACCTGCCTTTGGCCCTCCGCGCCCTCAGGTGACTAACGGAGCGCTGCTTCAGCCCCGAGGGAGGGGAGGGGGGAGAGAATGAGGGAGGGGGAGGTCGCGCGCAGGCAGGTCGCGCGCAGGGCTCAGACAGGGCGGAGAACACAATGTAGTCGTTCAATAATACATGAGCCTGACAGCGGTGCAGAGGCGCTCCTAGCACCTTTAGGGGTCAAGAGCCCGAAGGGCTATGCTAAGGCCCCTTCCACACAGATGAATACAATCCCACATTATCTGCTTTGTAATGGGGGTATTCAGGCATGTAGCCAGGGGGTGGGGGGCTTGGGGAGCTTCAGCCCCCCCCCCCCAAAATTCTCATGGTGGTCCGCGAGAAGGCCTTACTGGTACATTATTTAAACTGTTATGTTTATTCATATCATGATCTGATCACCATGCTCAATATATCCCATATGCATGGGGGTATTGGGGTAACGATACAAAAGGTTTGCTAGGGTCACTCAGACTCAGCCCCCCCCCCCCCCGAATCAAACTCAGCTCCCCCCGAAACAAAATCCTGGCTACGGGCCTGGGGGTATTTATTTATTTATCATGTCAGGGGCAGACCAAACAGTTGTATTGCATTTTAAACAAACAAACAGACAAACAAAACACAAAGTTTGCAAGCTTGGTAGTTGATTAAATGTCCTTCGATCAGTAGCTGGCCAATTGGAGTGCCTCTGGTGTTACTATAAGAAGGTCCTCCACTGTGCATGTAGCAGGGCTCAGGTTGCGTTGCAGCAGGTGGTCAAAGGACATTTAATCAACTACCAAACTCACACATTTTGTATTTTCTCTGTTTGTTTGCTTTGTTCTGTTAGAAATGTAATATAATTGACTGGCTGCCCTGACACGAGAAAGAAATATATAAGGTGGTCTGTGGTTTGCTCTTCTCCACACTCGCATGTTGTGGATTCCACTTTGTGGCCCCATTTCTTAAGGTTGGCTCTGCATCTCGTTGTGCCAGAGCGCAGTCTGTTCAGCACCTTCCAAGTCGCCCAGTTTTCTGTGTGACCAGGGGGGAGTCTCTCATTTGGTATCAGCCATTGGTTGAGGTTCTGGGTTTGAACCTGCCACTTTTGGACTCTCGCTTGCTGAGGTGTTCCAGCGAGTGTCTCCATAGATCTCGGAACTGGATCAGATAACCCAGTTAAAGCAGATATAGGTTATTCTGCCTTGATATTCTGGGTTATATGGCTGTGTGGAACAGGGCTGTAGCCAGAAAATCTTTTTGGGGAGGGTTGAAAATTTCAGGGGGGGGGGTAGGGTTACGCTGAAGCAAAGAGCATAGCAGGGGCAGAGCAGCCTTTAATAGCCTGCAGCTCCGCCCCTGTCAACCACCTCCACCAAGTCTGGTCTCCTTAATGAGAGCATTCAACACTCCCCCCCCCCCCAACTTGGTTGCTTCGCTGCATCGGCTATTGCTGCAAGTAATGACAGTGTGAATAAATTGTCAAAATTTGCTTGAGATTTGCTTGCAGTTCTGGAGGGACTCTTAATTTTTTGCATCTCATAGACGTAGCATGGGGATTTGGTTAACCAGTTAAAATTCATGAGTAAACCAGGTCTTTTTTTAACCTGAAAAATGGGGGGGGGGGTGAACCCCTTACCCCCCCCCCTCCCCTGGCTACAGGCCTGGTGTGGAAGGGCCTTAACTCTGCTGTTGCTACATTTATCGTGGTGTTCTTGATAGCTTGCAGCCCACTCTGGTTCTTGATTTAAGACGTTGGCATGCTGGCTGATATCCAAACAGAGGATGGGCTGGCAATATCAATGCCTTGGACCTTTCTTTACTGCCTGCTACTTCCTGAAGGATACCAGGTGGTGCAATACCAGCTAAACAATATAATTTCTCCAGTGGGATGTTAATGCATAGGAATTCTACATCCATAATGGCTAGAATTGTGTTCTGTAAAAGGTTGTGAATGGATTACATATTCATCTGACAGTTTAGTTTGCCTCTGAGTACATCCATAAAGAATATAATTGTGGTTAATGTGGCTTAGCACTGAGTAGACATGTACAGGCTGTCTCTGAGTTGCAAACATCTGACTTACAAACGAATCATAGTTAAGAACAGGACTGAGACAATGGGAACTGAGAGAAATCTAGCCCTTGGAAGAGAAATGCACTCCTTGAAAAGTTATCATGGGGAAAAGGTGTCTCCACTGAAGCTTTATCACCAATCCTTGTTTTCACAAGGATTGCCAAAATCCAGTTATCACACAGACAGAGAAAGTGAGGTGAAATCTTCTGATTGGGGGCACAGACAGCAAAACAAACACCACAGGGGTGTTAACCCTTCCCTATACTATCCAAAGCATGCATGCATGCATGCATGTATATATGTGTATGTATACACACACACACACGTATGTACATAGATGTCTGGAGCTACACTTAAAAATGTGTCTGTTTTAACATACAAATTCATCTTAAGAACAAACCTGCAGAACCTATCTTGTTCATAACTTGGGGTACAGCCTGTATATATAAAAGCACCCGCGATTTTAAGACACATCCCATTTTTAGAGATGTTTATCTGGGGAAAGCATGCCATCTTACAAAGAAACACAGTATCACATTCTAGAAAGTTTTTTCCAAATATTATGTTTCTCTCAAGCAGAGAAAAAATTGAAATGGTGACTAAGGCTTTAAAGAAGTGTGTTTCATAGAATTTTTTGTAGTGTTTACTGAAAATCTCTTTATTTCTGGGGAATTGAGAGCATTGTTTGACTTGCTCCTTGAAAAGCAGGAAGTAAAGACGCTTCTAAATTGGCTGTTAGGTTATGCAAGTGAAGCAGGAAGTATTTATAAGAACAAAAGTGTTCATGTAGAAAAAATAATGTATCAGTGACCGCCCTGCTCTACAAGAGGTTTTTATTTTCAGTTAATGTTCCTAAAGAATTAGAAAAATATTGACATTTATTTCCAAAGAATTAAAAATAATTCTCATACTGACCCATAAGGATTATCAGTACCACAACAACTAAGTGAAAATACAGTTTTACTTGTTAAGTGTTAATTTCTCCTTATTGCTTTTCAGTAACAAAAAAAGTATTGTTTAGGAGAAGGATGGTGTATGAATGATATTGGTGGAGAAACCTATAACAGAATTCAGATAGGAACAAATGAAGAAACCATCAGTTAGCACCTAATAACAGCCATTTCTTTTCAGTTTGCAGTCTTACCATACCTTCTCCATTACACTTACTGGTGATCTCTGCTTCTATGTGCCATCAAGTCATTTCTGACTTTTGATGACCCCAAGGCAAACCCATTGCAGAGTTTCTTGTTGCGAAAACGTTTGTTGTTGCCTTCCCCTGAGGCACGCTTTGTAAAAAGGAATTTCTTTATCAGAGCTTTGTTAATAGATATCCCTGTACTGTTTTTTATACATATACTTATGGAGAACTGTACTTCATATGTCTTATATCAACAGTTTAACTCACTTCAGCTTCATCTACTGCATATCAGTCCCATTTTATGTTGAGAATGACTGTCTGACTAGCAATTGAAGATATTTAAGTATGAAATACAGGATGTTTCAACAAGATGGACCTGATTTGAAATCGTCGTATCTTCTGTAACCAAAAACCACCCATGAATTAAACCCTTATTTCTTGAAAGGGTGGGGCACAGAGTTTCAAAGGATTTCTGCTGTATTGATCTGGCAGCTCAAACCTCTAGCCTCAGTGATCTGCAAGATCAGTGGAGTTTATTAGCCAAACTAAAATAGATCTGTAGACAGCTGAAGCTTTTTCAACAATATCAGCAGAGTAGTTAGTAAAACTTGACAACTCAATAAACCATTCATAACTTTTTGTGTAATGTTAACATGTTGCCATCGTGAAATAAATGTTTTGAAATTGGATCCATCTTGATGCACCTTTTATAATAGTAATGGAGATTAAATTGGGTGTTGAAAATATTATGTATTTTATATTAATGGGGAAGATTTATTTATAGTACCTGATTGTCGGAATAATCTATTAACATCTTTACAAATCTAGTTTATAATTTATAATTTTGTTAGAATAATGCTGTAGTTGCCACAAATCTCTTTGGGATTTATATTTAGTGATACCATCTCATTTCCCCCCTCTAGATATCCCTACAGACTCCAAAACCTGTCCTGATTCCAGAATGTATTTCTTATTAGTGTCCCTCTTTATTGGAATACTTCCTTCTACTTATTCATCAGCACCAAGATTGCTCCTGGTATCTTTTGATGGTTTCAGGGCTGATTATTTGAAGGAATATAAACTTCCACATCTTCAGGACTTTATTAAGGATGGCGTATTAGTGGAATATGTTACCAATGCTTTCATCACAAAAACATTCCCAAATCATTATAGTATAGTCACAGGACTATATGAAGAAAGCCATGGCATTGTAGCAAATGAAATGTATGATGCAGCTACCAAAAAAAAGTTTTCACCATTTAATGACAAGGATCCTTTTTGGTGGAATGAAGCTGTTCCTATTTGGGTGACCAACCAATACCAGGGGAACAAAACTAGTGCTTCTGCAATGTGGCCTGGCACAGATGTAAAAATTCACAACAGTACTCCTCATTTTTTTATGAAATACAATTCTTCAGTAAGTTTTAATGAAAGAGCAGAAAATATAATTACATGGTTGAACAATTCTAAACCACTAGTCACTTTTGCTACGCTTTACTGGGAAGAGCCAGATGCAAGTGGACACAAGTATGGGCCAGAAGATACCAAAAACATGACTAAAGTATTACAAGAAGTCGATAATCTTGTTGGCCTGCTGGTTAAGAAGCTGAAGTCTTCAAAGTTGTGGGAGGAAATTAATGTTATAATTACAAGTGATCATGGCATGGCACAGTGTTCCCAAGACAGATTGATCAACCTGGATCGCTGCATTGAACCTGATAGTTATATGCTGATCGACAAGAGTCCAGTTGCTGCAATACTGCCAAAAGGTAAGTATATTTTAGTCACTTAATAGCTGGTATGCAGGATTTTTAAAAAAGCTGTTCTATTCGTAACGATTTTGGTGTTTAAGAGATGCCTTAAAATGTCTTTAAAACATAGAAATCTCCATCAGGGTTAGGAGCACAGGTCTATGGCATGAAAAGGTGTATGGCATAAAAAAAAACCCCTGAGAACCCTTCTCTAGGAATTTCTGAGGGCCCTTCTACACTGCCCCTTTATCCCAGGATCTGATCCCAGATTATCTGTTTCTCCCAGGTTATCTGGCAGTGGGGACTCATATATTCCAGTTTAAAGCATATAACCTGGGATCAGATCCCGGTATAAAGGGCAGTGTGGAAGGGTCCTCAGTTTTCCTGCATGACTATGGTCAACTTGCGTGTGGAGCTGACCATAGGATCACATTATAGGTCCTAGAGATTCCTCGAGATGTGTTATCTTTAAACATCTCTAAGTCCTACAGCATTACTGGAAGAAGCTGGCCATAGTGTCACCTAGAGATTCCTAGAAGACCTAGAGATTCCTAGAGAGCACATTTTTATCTGTTAGAAATCCAATCCACAAAAGTCAAAACTGGAAATATATTGTGTAAGTTTTAGGGAAAAGTGGCCAAATATCCAAGTCAATTCATGTCACATCTTTGTATGTTAAATATTGTGATGAGTTCAGAGACCCAACTGTATTGTAAAAATTAAAAATGTGGATTAAAATGTGGTCAACACTGACCTTTTTTTTGTTGAGGATGCTATTTCTTGTGTTCAAATGACACATTTTTGAACTATACATCATGTTTTGTTAACCTTTTCTTCAGATGAAACGCACGTCTATAACTCGATGAAAAACTGCAGCCTTCATATGAAAGTTTACCGTAAAGAAGAAATTCCAGACCGATACCATTATCATCATAATCAGCGTATTCAACCCATAATTTTGGTGGCAGATGAAGGGTGGACGATTGTACAAAATGAGACTCTCCCAAGGTGTAAGTGTTTTCCTTTTGTGTTCTTACAATTAGTCCAATGAGATAAAATCACTCCCTTTCATGTGTAGGGAACAAAGTTGTGCTGGACAGGCAAATGGTGCCAGTTGTAGCATTGAAGGCTTCTGGAAACGTATCTTTTAAGCCATATTGATTCTTGAAGAATAACAAAATCCATAGTATAGTAATATCTTTATTAGAAGTAACCAAATTGCTCCAGAAGGATGCAGATTTTTACCTTCTAAGCTAGAAGGACAGGCAATCAGCATTCTGCCTGTATTTCCATGCTCAACAGGAAAGAGTGCCTTCTCATTTGTATTTTGATCAAAAGTAGCTGAGGGGGGGGGGGGGTTAGGGGTTTAGGGGCTCAGGGAAGAGCAACTTTATTCTATCGCTCCTCCCAATTCCATTCAAAAATGTCAATTTTACTCTCCGTTTCTTAATTTCTTCTGCACCAAAATTTTGTCTTGAAAGTTTTTATTGTCACAGCCATAATGTAAATTAAAATAGTATCTCTGTGCTTGGCTGTATTGATAAAGGGTTGCATTATTCATGCAAACTCTGTTGTACTTCGTTTGGCCCTTTCAGTAATATGATACTGACCCATTGTTCTCACCAATGAATGATACCGTTTCTACTGTTGACAACAGATTATACGTCCATCTTCTTGCCCTCTGCAGTATTGTGTGAGAAAATAGCAAGTTAAGTGAAAAATTTCCTATGCATTTTTTCACACTAAAGGATTTAGATTTCTTGATTTATGTTTATATTATTTCATCTAATTTCTTTGGCTCAAAGTTTCTGCGGTTCTCCTTTCTAGAAGTCCAAGGGCCTGCACTGCTGTTTTTATGAGAAATCATGTGCATCAGGTTTCCTGGCTCACTTCACTAGAAGTGCTGCAGTTTGTGCTGCATCTAGCAGATCTGTGCCCTTGTTTGAGATTTGCTGGTAGAGCTGCAACCTTAACTTCAGTGTCTCCTTCTGTTCAGCAGTACAAGATTAAAGTATGTGCTTTGGCTGAAGCTTCTTTCACTTGAGATATGTGTACAAAAGATAGTTTCTTCTTAGTGAGAATTAGTCCACCTGTCTCGGTTGCATGAAAAAGGATAGTTGGACAACCATGAGGTATGTGTTTCTGGAATGACTGGAACAACTCTATCTTGGGATATTAAAAGGTGATCAACATGGAGAAGTAAAGTGCTAAATATGCTCAGGAGGGAAAAATTACTTTCCATTCAAGATTAACTGTTTTTCCCACTCAGGGGAAACTGGGTATCCAGGTAACTTAAGTCACTGACAAAGACAGAAGATTCAGTGGTAGCTATTAGGCTTGGGTAACTATGGAAAAAATTGGTTCTAAACTCGTTTCATTTTTTTAAAGAATTCTGAAATTTCCCTTTAAAAAATTTCGAAATATACGAAATTTCGTAAAATTACGAATCGATTCGTTAATGGCGGACGCGATTGCGCAATATGCTAAAAAACCTCCAAATGGGACAGGGGGAACTTCTGAAGCTTCCCTCTCCCTCTGTTGTTGACTGTTGGTGTGATAATTTATTTTTTATCACTGATAAAACAAACAACAACTATAAAACTTGCACCAGGCATACGGAAATAATTACGAAACAATTTTGAAACAATTACGAAACAATATGAAATAAATTGGAAAAATTGTTTCGATTTTTAATTACTCCTCACAGTAGTCCTGCATGGCTCAATATTGGATCGTAAGCTAATTTAAATACGAATTAATAACAAATTACGAAATTAACGAACGAAACCGCCCAAGCCTAGTAGCTATCATTCTTTTTGCTTGTTTCTAGTTCTAGAACTTCTTTAAAAATATATTTTGCACAGATTATGTTTTTCTATCATTCTCAATTGGAAAGGCATCCTGTTTGATTTAAATACTAAGGTCCTGCCTTCTGAAACAGTAGGATGAGCTAACCCCTTTCTAGCCTACTACCCCCCCCTCCCCACACACACACATACACACCCCATTACTCTCCTCCAGGAAGACATACAGGACTGATCCTGTATGTCATACAGGGTGATTTGAATGCAATATTCCTGCTTCTTGGCAGGGGGTTGGACTGGATGGCCCATGAGGTCTCTTCCAACTCTTTGATTCTATGATTCTATGATCCAATTTTTATAAAAATGCTACTGACATTATCTTGCTGTGGTTAACATTCCTCACTGCAGTGGAGTCAAAAAGTGCAATGATTTTCTTTATTTAAAGCATGTGGTACCATTCATCCTTTACAGAAGTAATGATAAATTTGCAGCACATAATCCCAGCATGTGGAGTAAGAACGTTTTGCCTTTTCTCTCCTTAAATAACAAACAGATTTTATTATTAAAGAGATATGGTGAAGAATTAAGGCTATACATTTCATTTGCAATTTAAGAGCTTAATGGGCTGTAATTACTCATATTTGCTGTGTGGTGAGAAGCAAGCTTAAGCAGAAGCTTAAGAAACTAGCTTTTTATTTTACTGTATAGTCTATAATGGAGAAATTTATTTATGAAACATTTCTAGCACATTTGCAATGCTTGGATTCTTTTTATTTCCTTCCAGTGGGAGACCATGGCTATGACGATACCCTCTCGAGTATGCATCCATTCCTGGCAGCGCATGGACCCGCTTTTCGCAAAGGTTACAAACAAAAGACAATGTGTACAGTTGATATTTATCCAATGATGTGTCACATCTTAGGTCTGACACCTCAGCCCAATAATGGTACCTTGAGCCATGCCAAGTGCCTGTTAGCAGATCAGTGGTGCATAGATGTCCCTGAAGCCATTGGCATAGTTATTGGTGTCTTTATGGTGCTAACTACTCTGACGTGCCTGATAATCATCATGAAAAATAGAACACCTTCACTGCGTCCGTTCTCACGACTTCAGCTTCAAGATGATGACGACGATCCATTAATTGGATAACTTATACTGACTTTAGTCTTGAACACTGGGATGATCATTTCATCTACACTGGATAACTTCTTATGATAGATGCACTTTAATAATGACCCAAATACTGCATTAGAACATTGTCATTATGAAATAAAGATGTTAAATAGAACATGCTCTCCCAATATTAAAAAGCTAAACCTTAAGTTAATAAAGTGGCAAAATTACGATTTCTGAATATTAGTAAATGCTGCTGATTGTCCACAAGTAACTTTATGTATATACAAAAATTCTGAAAATTAAAAGTCAACACAAGTACACCTTATGTTAAAGATTATTGTTTCTTTGCAAGGAGACACAGGAAATAGCTGGCCCAAGGGTGATCTATCTAAAGTAGGCTACTAGAAGCAAAATTGCATAGCTCTTAGAAGTGGCATAATTGATTTCTGCAGTCTCCAACTATAGTTTAAATCACCTTATTGGAAAATGTTATGAATGTGGAGGAATTGTAACCTCTAACAGTACTAAGAGCTTTCCCTTAAAGCTGTATAATTAATGAGCTGCTATCTGTGTGCTTTCTTCCATAATTCCTAGCTTCAAGACAACTTAAATGTTTCTTACTCATTGTAGTTTCTTTAAGAGATCTGTCCGTCCTGCAGAAGGATGCAGTGTTTAATGAATGTGCTTGTTAAAACGTGTAGAGTAGAATGGGAATCACACAGTTTTCCAGATGTTGGACTATAAAGTCCAACATAGGCAGCAGTGAGAAATGTTGGAAGCTGCAGTTTAACAATATGGAGAAAATCATGATTCACAGCAATGATGCATTTTAATACTGGTACCCCATAGTCCTGTAAACATCCTTGGATTAGGTTCGATGTTGCATATGTTTCAGTAAGTACATATTGTGAGGGCATTTAAATGTTACTCCTGCTTTATTGGTAATAAGCACAGGCAACTTTTTTCAGTAGCGGTTGTACTGAAGAGACATTTAAATCAACTGATATTTCTGTGTTTTTGTTAAAGATTGTATGATATGTCCATACACTAGCTTTTTGTGACATTTCAGAACTGTGTGAGAAGAAAACCTGTAATGTATACTAAGTTCTTTCTGCCATGTCTATTAATTAGATTTCCTTTACACAAGGCCATGCATTACTCATAAAACAAGGCATATTTTTAAAGCAGTGTCTAGTCAAGTTTTTATACTTGGCCATGCTCTGTGGACTTTAAAAAAACTGCTGTAAAAATGACAGTAGTGGTAAATAGATTTTGGCAAGATCCAAAATGGAGCAGGTAAAGGTTGTCTGCTTAGATTTAGGGCTGCTAGTTAGGCGCAGACTGCCCAAAGTAATGCTTCCCAAGAAAAAAGTGGCACAAGGAAGTGTCTGCCCCTTACATCTGTGTAGTCAGAAACATTGTCCATTTGTGCATATGGCACAGGTTCCTTCCAGATAGATTAAAGCAGCATATCTTAATGTGATGGTATGGCACAGCGGAAGCTTTGACTTTCAACTCTGTATATTCTATTTACAAACCAAAGTAGAAGCGCTTACATTTTGGAGAATCAAGAAAAATGGTTTAATTTCTTGTACATACATGAAAGCCTTAAAACTGCTTTCAGAACTGGCAGATGACTCTATTTTAGTAGATTAGACAATAAGCATGAACTTGACTGTCATTATAAACTTCTAAATTCTGTTTCATTTTTTATTTTTGTTATGTGAATAGATGATACAGATATCTGTTCTACAAAGGTTGGTAATACTTCAGTAGTTTAAGATTTTCACTCCTGTAATAAATTTATTGATATAGCAGGGTCCACTAAACAAAATTCAAATGTGCATAACCTTTTACATTAATAGTTGCACTCATTACTGGGTTTTAGGTAGCAAACAATTTTCAGAATAAAATAACTTGAGATAATATCAGTTACACTCCTTATGCTATTCTTCATTGTTGTGCACAGCGAAAGGACCCTGGCTATTCATTGAGGGCTACCTGGATTGTACATCTAACCCATAAGGAAAGATTAGAAATAATGATAGGTTAGAAACTCAGGGAAAAGAGATCCCAATGATAAGTTGTGTGTGGAATTATTTATTCAAAGGAGCAGTGCCTTTTACAGGATATTTATATTTGTATGAGTTGGGTTTTTATGGAAATGGTTTTCTCGATTTTCAACTTTATGAAATAAAAGACGCAATTTGTATGTTGGTATCATGCCTTCTACTTTGATATTTTTAGGTTTCAATATTCAGGATTTGTCCTTTTCAATATACCGTCGGCCATCCTCTGTCTCCCCAATTTGTACTTAACACTGAATAATAAAAAGGATTGGCACGCTTCCTTTTGGCATGTAATTCTAAATACAGTAATTGCAAACCTTCATTCCTGATCTGCTTCTCCCTATGGATTTCAGCAGTTGATGATGGGTAGGAATAATGTACCCAAAGGGGAAATACAGTGTGGCAGAGTCATTTAATTATGTTTCACGAGAAGAAAGTAGTTTCCAGTTATTTAAATGATTTTAATTGCACCTCTTAAAGCAAGGAATACTTGCAGAAAAAATCAGACAAAATCTAAAAGATAAAATACATAAAAAATAAAGAGAACTTCTAAAAACAGAAGAGTCTGGTTAAGTTAAAAGGAGTTTTTTTTTGTCGTGTCAGAAGTCACTCCTGTTGTGAGAGAATTGGCCGTCTGCAAGGACGTTGCCCAGGGGACGGCCGGATGATTTGATGTTTTTTTTATCATCCTTGTGGGAGGCTTCTCTCATGTCCCTGCATGAGGAGCTGGAGCTGATAGAGGGAGCTCATCCGCCTCTCCCTGGATTCGAACCTGCGACCTGTCAGTCTTCAGTTCTGCCGGCACAGGGCTTTAACCCACTGCGCCACCGGGGGCTCCAGTTAAAAGGAGTGGGGGGAAAGGTTGGGCTGCATATGTGGCTCCAGATAATATTTTTAAGGGCTCCTGTTCCAAAAATGAATTCCTTGCTAACGGTGTCTGCATACCCCCTAACCCAGCTCTGGTGCAAATCGGAATCAGATGATTGAGCAACACAATTGATCGTTTCCCTCCTATTTCCTCCACCTCCCACACTTTGGAATCAGTCCTATCAAAGGGACTGGAGGGGGATGTCCAGTTCCTCTGGCAGCCCTGTTTTGTCCCCTACTTCTGGAAAGCGGGTGCAATCTGAGGTGGGAAAACAATGATTGCTGCTTCCAAAACAATTGGCTCATGAAAGAGGGAAGGGGAGCTGCAAAGACTAAAATTTTGAATGTCTACATATTTGGTTGAAGTCATTAGACCAGGCATGGGCAAACCAGCTATCCAGGTATTTTGGACTTCAATTCCCAGATATCCCAGCCAGTTTACTGACTGTTAGGAATTGTGGGGGTTGAAGTCCAAAACACCAGGAGGAAAGAAATTTGCCCATGCCTGCATTAGATTCACAAAGATTCCTGCAAAAATCCAAGTTTTAATTGGGTGGCAGAATTAAACAATTGGGCCATATGAAACTGGCCCTTTCTTCTATATTCTCAAATAAGAGCATCGCTAACACATACCCCTTCACATACTCTTTCAACTTCCTAAGTCCTATACTTTTTGGGCTTTCAGTGTCATTCCTGAACCATGAGCCTGCATATGTACTGGGATTCAGCTTCGGTTTCTTAAACCTCATCCATCTCATTCCTACATCCAGGCACCATTTAAACATGTGAACAACTGCTGGGAGACAACAGCTGTCCTCATACTCATGGCCACCTCCAACAGCTTCATATAGATATTAAGCAATCCTGGTGGTTATCGTGCCCTGTATACCTCAATTGCAATGTCCAAGACACAAACACACAACACACTTCTGTAGAATCAACCAGTTAGCTGTAACCAAATGTGAGAAGAACCACAGTAGTTCTCATGACTTGACAAAACAGCTTTCCTCAATAAATATATCAATATAAAGAACCTATTCATTACTCTAAACCATAAAATTGGCTGTTAAAACTTTAAACCAACAGGAACAGTAGTTCAAGTTATTTATTAAAATCCCTGAGGATATGATTGAATTAGTTATGGTTTCTGCGCATAAAGGACATTTAAATGCCATTTCTCTGAATATAATGAATAGCTTTATGTGTGCAGCTTTATCTAAATGAACATTTAAATAGTACAAAGAACCTAGCTTTTTTATTTCATAGCCATGCTGTTTCCATAGAACTTCTCCCCATGTAAAACATACATGAGAAGTTTTACATGTTTTTGTAGAGAATATTTCAATCACATTTCCATATTCGGAACAGCTCCCATAAATTTTAAAATTGTAATTATTCTTAGCACAATGCTTTTAAAAACACACACACACAACATACATAAGAAATTTAATGGGAAATGAATGTTCCTATCTGGTACAATTCAGAATTGTGCATTTGTTTAGCTGTTAATCCATACTTTGCATGTGACCTTGTGTAATCTAAGTCTGATTCATTTGACTGCCAATTTGTCTTCAGTGAAAACCTTTCTGATTCTACATGTGTTCATCTGGTAGGAGGGGTACCAAAGGGGAGAGAAATTGCAAACATGGTGAATTCAAAAACTCAGCAGCATAATTTTATTTACTACTGATTTTGTTGAACACACTCTGTGTTTATTGCAGACATTACCACAGTGCTCAAAACAGTTTCTCCTTGATTAAGGTATCATGCTTTTCCTTATTCTACAATAAAGTGTATTTGTTTTCATGAGAAGCTTCTGTTGTCCCTGAAATTAGTAAAAGACTGCACATCACAAACACTACCACACCATGGCTTGAAAGTGGTGGCTCCACATAGACAATATCAATTTCTTAGATCTCCAGTATATTAGCCTTTATTGTAGCTCAAAGCCCTTTCATGTACACTTGTTCTTAATCTACTCGTTTTCAATGAATTGGCTTTGGAGACAAGTGATGTACATACCTCATTACTGAAAAAGAGCTGGGTCAACAAACTACAGATGCATGGAAACAAACAGCCACTTGTCTGGGTATGTTTTGTCCCAAGAGGGAATTTCCATCATGATCTCTTGTCCTATGTGTAATTATAAGTGTGTTCTCTATAGATCTGTAACAAACTGATCAGACCTGATTTTTCTGTTTGATGGTTTGTCATAAATATCTTCTCAGTGTTTGTTCTCAGTTTCTTGTCTAGTGCAAACTATGAGTCCCAATCCCAATGAGGAAAATTTGGCAACAGTGAAAGGTTTCTGAATACTACCACCCAGTGGCCATTTTAGACATTTACACGAATCCGTTTGCAAAGGTGTGCATTGCTTACAGTAGACTGCAGAAAATGCTTCAGCTGTGCTTCATAAAAAGGAAACGCAGCTTGTTTCGCAAGTCCTGCAAATGCTGAATTATGATCTATTTATGTTTGATTTTTATATGCCTATATACCTGAGGCCATGTAAAAATTTCTCAGGTAGAAAGGGATGAGAAGTAGAAAAAAATTAAGAAGCCTTGGTCTACAAGGTTTCCTGTTGCCCATACACCTCTTTTTCATCTCACTCCACTGCTCATTCTGCCATTCTTTAGCTCCCTTTTTAGTTACTGTTATTGTTCCACAACAAAGTTAAGGGTTTTTTTTACCACAGTGGTTGGATGTGAGTTCATTGATTGGATATATCTACAGCAAATCCAGCAGATGCTGATGCCAGATGAGGGTAAGCCAGTTGAAAATCAGAAAACATTTATCTATTTATTTACTATATTTATAAATCACCCTTCTCACCCCGAAGGGGATTCAGGGCAGCTTACAAACTACAGCAAAAATTCAATGCCTGATCATGCACATAACATTAGCATTATCTAAAAAGGCATTTGTTGTACAATATACTCGAAGTTCTATTTTCAAATCTGGGAACTATTTGCAAACAAAACGTAGCACAGGGGATCAATGACTTTTCACTTTTGTAGCACTAGTAAGGAACTGGATTGGGCATCATGCTTATGTTCTCAATTTATAATGAATTCTGCATGGTCCCTCGGGTTGTTGTGTGCCCACCAAGTGGAGAGGGCTCTGCAAAAACAGGAGAAAAAAATATAAGAGGAAAATTATTTACATAAACAATATTCAAGCCACTTGATAAAACCCAAACAGAGCTTAAAATGCACTTTTTAGTTACTTCTGTTGTATAATCAAAAACAGGAAAAAAAATTAAAGTGATAATATTCACCATGCCATTTTAAACTAAGATTGAATCCCAAAGCAATTTACATTAATTCAATATCCACCACAAGTAGTCTAGCGCATTGGTTCCCAACATACTCATTTCACAGAGGCTCTGCAGCCACTCCAGGAAAATTAAATAAATAAAAATGGAATGAAACTAAAGACTAAGAAACAAAAAGTATAATCAGAACTAGAAATCACATCCTGAATGGAAATTTGCCAAATTGAATTTTGCACTTCCTCTAGCAGAGGCCATTGGATCGTTCTGCTGCCACTAGCTCAAAAATTATTAAAGTGCAACATGGACAGACAATGTGGCTGAAAGGGGCACTGGTCTGTCGCTCATACTTTTAATGGCCCTTCCCTGAACTGAATGTCCATGTGATTTCTTAGAATTACACATACGAGAAGTTTCTTGCTCATTCTTGACTCTTCGAGAAATCCTGGAATCTACTCAAAGCTTCTCAGAACTGAACTCAGAACTTATCAGAATACGAGGTCCTTGTAGATTTGACATCTCACACCGAACTTAAAATCACATTTCAAAAGTAAAATTTACCAGTGTTTTGGCAGCATTTACAAGATAAATTAAAAATCTTGTCTGAGAAAGTAAAATTAAAAGTGTTGAATGAAAAGTAATGCCTCCACCTTCGTAACTCAACAGATGGCAGTACTGGTATGTGGTAGGTACTGGCTTGTTCAGTAGATTCTTCTCTACAGTTCCATTTTGGCAGGAAGCCTTAGCATTGAACAGTTGTGCAAAGTATGGAACCCTGAACAGACGGTCGGTCAATGCGACTTAAGCAACGTACAGTCATTGAATTCTTGACAGCAGGTGGCATCCCAAAGGAGATTCATCAGAGAATGCAAGCTGTTTATGGCGATTGTGGTGATATGAGTACTGTGCATTGTTGGGCAAGTAAGTTTAAAGATGTTGAGGTGGGAACATCTGATTTGTGTGACAAACAAAGAATTGGACATCCTGTGACAGCAACCACCGAGTTTCACAAGCAAAAGGTTGACAGGTTGATTCAGGACGATCGTTGTATCACTCAGAGAGAAATTTCAAGCATAACCAGCATTTCATGAGAATGTTTGGGTCACATTATTGCTTTGCTTGGCTATTGGAAGATCTGTGCACGATGGGTACCCAGGATGCTGACACCTGAAATGAAAGCGCACAGACTTGAAAATTGCCAGGAACTCCTCTTGCGTTATGAAAATGAAGCTGTCACCTTTCTCCGTTCAATTGTTACAGGAGACAAAACGTGGGTACACCATTATGACCCGGAGACGAAGCGTCAGTCTATGGAATATCGATACAATTATTCGCCCCAGAAAAAGAAATTCAAGACACAGCCCTCAGCTGGAAAAATCATGGCAACAGTGTTCTGGGATGCAGGTGGTGTTATTCATGTTGATTTACTTGAATGTGGAACAACAATAAATTCAGAGTGTTACATCACAACGCTGGGAACTTTGAAACAAGGGCTAACAAGGGTCCAAAAAGAAAAAGGAAATGTTTTCCTGCAGCATGACAATGCCAGACCACATACTTCATATGCCACCACAGCAGAACTTCTGAAACTGGATCTCACCACCGTACGGCATCCTCCATACAGTCCAGATTTAGCACCATCTGACTTCCATCTGTTCCTGATAATGAAAGAAGATCTGCTGAGACATCATTATGCTTCTGATGAAGACGTTGAGAGAATTGTGATATTCTGATTGCGGAAACAGTGTTGACTTCTTCCGTGATGGGTTCAGAAAACTTGTTCATCGTTGGGAGAAATGTATCCAATTGTCTGGTGATTATGTGGAAAAGTGAATAGTGGTAGTTAAAGAGCACATTCTAAGGATTATTTCTGCATTTGATTTATTAAAATATTCTCATCTAAACCCAAGTAACGAAGGTGGAGGCATTACTTTTCATTCAGTGCTCATAGCATTGCTGCCCTACTCAACTACATATTTCTGTGCAGTTACCAAACAAAATATTTAAATGCAGAACCAGGCATTTGTCTGCAATTATCATCAATTGTGGGGGGAAAATGAGACCACAGGTGTCTCATTTAATATTTAAACATTATTTTATGTTATGTCTTAATTTAGGCCTACTGTTGCACTACAGTGCACTCTAGTTGTTTTAACACAAATTGATTGATTTATTGAACTTTAGAAGAATTTTATGTATGGCCAAGTTTTGACAGTATCATGTGGATTGGTGGTCATTGAAAATAAATTCAGATATGGTAAATTTTAAAATGTTTAAAATACAGTTTGTTGCATGTGCAATTGTTTAGATATCTCTTTACATTCTTGGGAGGAGAGCAATAACCAATCTCGATAAAATAACTAACATTAGAGACATCACACTGGCAACAAAGATCCGCATAGTTAAAACAATGGTATTCCCTGTGATAATTTATGGATGCAAGAGCTGGACCATAAGAAGACCGAGCAAAGGAAGATAGACACTTTTGAACTGTGGTGCTGGAGAAAAATTCTGAGAGTGCCTTGGACTGCAAGAAGATCAAATTGCAAGAATATCAAAGATGAAGTACTTTAGCCACATAATGAGAAGACAGAAAAGCTTGGAGAAAAGAATGATGCGGGGGGGGGGGGGGAATGGAAGGAAAAAGTAAGAGGGGCCAACCAAGGGCATGATGGATAGATGGCATCCTTGAAGTGACTGGATTGACCTTGAAGGCGCTGGGGGTGGCTCTTTGAGTCACAAATAGGTTTTTAGTGTCTCATTCAAGGTTTGCAAGAGAGCACTTTTCCCTCTGAGTAAGCGACAAAGTGGAGTAGTCCTAATTTCCCCACCTCCTCTCAACGTGGTGGAAGTCATTTTCTAAAGAATCAAGAAGTGCCTCAATTCTTGCCTCTGTTGCTCTTCCTTTCTCTTTGCTGCTGGGTTGCCTCTATTGTCTCGTCTTGCTCCAGGAGAAAAAAGTGGCATCTCTGCACTGTTCATTTCCCTTTTGTGAGGGAGGAACTTAGGTTTGCCATGAATACTCCACAACAACTTCACAGTAAAGCCAAATTTCTCCCTCAGAAATGAAGGAAATGATCAATGCAGTGTTGGCATTTTCTTTCCTCCTGGAGGAAAGGAGACAACAGAGGCAAACAAAATAGAAGAGCAGCATAGCCAAGTTAGTTGGGTAACTTTGGTGCACAGAGAAACATGTAACGGGAAAACACTTAGAGGAGAGAATGGTGGGTTCCGGTAGTCACTCTGCTGTAATCCTACATGTCACCTTCCTCTCTAAGACTTAAGACTCAGAGCCTCTGAGGGCTGCATCGAATCCTTATGAGGGCCACATCTGGCCAACGGGTCACATCTTATAATGGTCTGATCTAGAGTGAATTAGCCACACTGAAATCAATTGAATTGCAGTAGCTCATGACAAGCTTTTCTCACTTCAGCAACGCCGGAGCATATCTAGTTCACTCTGGATCTAAACAATATAAATAGGTGGATGAATGTACACATGGCAGAATTCCTCCAGAAGAAATAAGGAGTAAAATATTGCAGTGTCGATCTTTAAACTGTTCAGAACCCCAAATGAGAAGGACAATACCTCTTTCGGTAGTGGATCCAAAAGACTACATTCATATTTGCAGAGGAACAAAACAACTAGAATATGAATTTCCATGATAGCAAACCACCTAAAACAACACAAAAGAAAATAACATATATAAGTAAAAAATATATTTAAAAACTCTCCAGCAGCGTGCAAAGAATGAGGAAGTACTCCATCTGTGTCATAAGTGGATGGTGAAGTGACAGCTCCCCCGGTGGCTGGAATTCAAAAAGTATACTTTCATGAAATTGGAAAGTTAAATAGCCTCTGTGTCTCTGTCTATATATGTTGTGTGTCTATGGCATTGATTGTTTGCCATGTATGTGTGCATTGTGATCTGCCCTGAGTCCCCTGTGGGGTGAGAAGGGTGGAATATAAATACTGTAAATAAATAAATAAATAAATACACACGCTTGGTATATACTGTGGAAGCAGAGTAAGCTAGTAGCACATGAAACTTAAAAAGATGAAAAATGTGTCATTATTTTGTTTCTATTAGAATCAGTAGGAATAACTTCAAGTACCATATGCCTCGAGGCTCATGGTAGTCAGAATTAGAAATAGGGGTCTTTTCACACTATGAAATATTAATCTTATGGCATCTTGGGATTGTTCACTGCAAGAGGGGCCTTCAGAGTCTTCAGCCAAAGAATTATACTCTTGTGCCTTTGGACAAACCAGAATTTCCAAAAGGATTCCACAACTTGCAGCCATGGCAGTCCAACTGGAATCACTTTGTAGTGTGAAAGGGCCCCACGTCCACAGTAAGGCAATAGTTATGTGAATTCCACTGATTTAATGAATCTACTATGGGATTACCAAAAGGACTGAGAACTTATGTCTATATATGATTTCTCAAGTTCATTTGCTATCTTATTTTACACTTTTCACATCTCCAATTTGATGTTTAGCAAAAATATAAAGGATAATAACAAATATATTAAGCTATTGTAGTGACTAACTATGAATACACGAAGTTTGCATATTTAGTCAAGTCAAATTTTAATCTGACTGGGGTAACATACCCCTTACAGGAAATAATTTAACCTGTTGTTTTGAGTCTTCAAATGCATTGATTAAATGTATTGTCAAAGGCTTTCATGGCCGGAATCACTGGGTTGTTGTAAATTTTTCAGGCTCACAACCTCTGAGGATACCTGTCATAGATGCAGGTGAAATATCAGGAGAAAATGCTTCTGGAACATGACCATACAGCCCAAAAAATTTACAACAATTGCATTGATAATATTTTACAGTATTTAAAAAATATTAATGTGTAAATCAAACAGAACTTGCTTTTTTAGCATATGGGATTCTCAATTCCTCCTAAGCAATAGCCCTTTTAATTTCATTACCGAATGTAATATTTTGTATAATAATGTATGTTATGTTAAATGTTAAAATAAAAAATATCCTCTCCATGAATAGAATAAACATTCACATGTGCAAGAAATATTTGTAAATACAGTGTTTTTAAATCTAAAGGTGGATGTTAGCAGCCATTTTAGTGCTGGATGCACATTTGTAGAATGTTAAAGTGCAGTTTGAATGGGCTCATTTCCAAGATCATATAGTTCTACTTCTGTGCAGTAATCTCCTAACAGTGCATACAGCAGCTCATTTTGTGCTAGTAATAATTTACCTATTAAAAAGTGCTGCTTTGGTGAGAGAAGGCAAGATTCAACAAGGTTAAATGGCTTGCTCTGTTAAAATATTGGGGCAAATACATTAACACTTTTAGACAGTTGGTCATATCTGCAAAATGGGTGTATAGACTCTTTATGATATCAACAAGTATACAGTTTCAAGTTAGCTATTCGATTTCCACATTAGCAGCTAAATATACAACACAATGTAAGCTAACATTAAATCAGTATATCCTGCAATAAAAATAAAATTTCAATTTACAAAGATTGAATTATAATATTAACAGATATTCAGAGACAAGGCCTCCTGCCATTATTATGCATTAGAGATTGAGTCTGCCTTATCTGAAATACCTGGGACCAGAATTTTTTAGATTTTGGAATACCTATCTTGGAAATGGGACCCAAGTTGAAACACAAGGTTTGTTTATTTATTTATCATATAGAGCTTCAGATATGTGAAACTGATTGTAGAAGGGAAAGCTAATGATCAGATAAAGGAGAAAATGGACAGACTCCTGGACTGGCTGCTTTGTAAAGTTGGAGGGAGAGGGGAGGGAAAAGGGGGGGGGGAATGTAATGGTTTATGGGGGTATATAAAGTAAGTTTAGTTCTATGTATTAGATGGGTACCATTGCGCTAATTTTTTTTAACAATAGTGCTTATATACATAACTTGAAAAATATATACGGCATTTAAAATAATTTGTACATAAAACAAAGTTTGTATACAGTGAACCTCCAGAACGCAAAAGTGTCATTGTCTCAGCTATTCATGTAGATGATTTTGGAATTCCAGATATGGGATGCTCAATCTGTTTCATCATTTATTTTGCAATAATCTATACTTTGAATGACCTGCACTGGAGCCAAACCAACACTTTACTAAAAACAGAATATAGTCTATAGGACTTTGAAAATAACTAGGACTGAATATATAATTTGCATCTGTTTCACTGACCTCCCAGGACACTGGTGTGCTCCGCTTCCAAATGCTACAAAGCCTTCCAAGAATTGATTTTTCTCTAAATTTGCTTCCTTCCAACGGTCCTATAGAAAGAAAACATTTTAATATCCAATTTGTGTAAAGAAGTTGAATATTATTTCTCAAATGAAGCATGACCTTATACAATCCTTATATGATCCTTAAGTGAGGATCTATCTATCTATCTGTCTGTCTGTCTGTCTGTGTGTGTGTGTGTGTGTGTGTGTAGGGGGAGAGTTCAATACATTTTAAATTCTACATGAGATGATCAAGAAGTCCTTATTGACACTTGACATATTTCTCTTGGTATCACCTGGCAGCAACATAAACACAAAGATTCTCATTGAAGAAATTACAGATGAAAAATCCTCGCAGTAAACACATCCCAACAAAGGATCCCTCCAGGCAGGAAGTGGCCAGGCTTTGAAACTGTAAGGCCATTTAATGCTAATTAAGGCGGCCAATTGCAACATTCACACTTGCCTCAAACAGACAAGAGTTCTTTCTCCCACCCTGGACATTCCACAGATATATAAGCCCCGGTTGCCTAGTTTCCAACAGACCTCACAACCTCTGAGGATCCCTGCCATAGATATGGGTGAAAAGTCAGGAGAGAATGCTTCTGGAACATAGCCATACAGCCCAGAAAACTCATAGCAACCCAGTGATTCCAGCCATGAAAGTCTTCGACCACACATTAAACATTTTTAAAAATCTCCTTACACCAAAGGAACCAACCAATTAGAGAGGTGGCAAGATTTACTTCTCTGAAGACCACCAAAAAGAGACAGGTCTGCTGTGAGTGCTCTAACTGGAGATCCTGTATTGAGAAGGGGATTGGACTCAATGGTCCAAGACTTTCCTTCCAACTCTGGATTCCAAGTCCCATGAACTCCACTGCTACAGTCGTCTAGCAGAACCGCATGCATACAAAATTTCCATAGCATAGAGCTATAGTAATTAATATGGTATCAATACTATAATTTTGTAATTTGGATACACATATTCATTTTACTATCACTATTCTGCCAGTCTGCAGCTTCCCATATTTCACTTAATGCCAAGTCCAATAAAGTGTTATGTCCTTCTGTGGGGATTTTTCTGTTCTTAAGTTCAGAATGTTGAAATAACATAAAAAACCCTACTGCACCATCCCATGGTAAGGCAAAGTCAAAAATACCACCAAAAGAAAGTTGAAATACACAGAAAACGAGTGCTAAAAAACCCATTTTCATTGGGGAAGAATTACAAAAAAATGCAAGATAAGGTTTTGGCACAGCAAAATGTATGTTGTCCACCTTCATGATTTGCAGAGATAGATTTTATGTTTCACAAGTCTGATTTATCAGTAAGTAACTAGCTGTCCTCCTCTAAGGGCAATGTAATCTGAAATTCAAGGACAAAGTCCAAGGACAATGGGTTCTGAAAATTGACTGAGAAAAGATAAAGTCTGAGTTATACCGTCAGAAGTATGAAATTGTTATATAGTGCTCAGTGTATTGGAACAGCACTGAGGGTCAAATTAGCAATGCTCAATAGCAGCACAGCACAGACCAATGCAGGCATGACCTAACTTCAGCCCTCCAAGTGTTTCGGACTTCAACTCCCACAATTGCTAACAGCCTACTGGCTGTTAGGAATTGTGGGAGTTGGAGTTCAACACACCTGGGGGCTGAAGTTTGCCCATGTCTAGTTCAATATCATTGTCATTTCCCCCTTTCCAATAAACTCCCCAGTTCACACAGTACATAAGTGGGAATCAGACATGCTTTCACTAATAGAGTTAACAGGAGGCAATGCAGCATGTCTATGCAAAATACTCCATACTAACAAGAGGACAAACAGATAGCTTTAATGCTTTCTAATACAAAACAGCTCTCAATAACTTACTGGCTTAAAAGTGTTGGGTTCGGGAAAATATTGTGGGTTTCTATGAAACCAATACGGAGACATCACCAGCAGGTCACCAGTAGGAATAACAAAATTCTAAAAACAAAATAAATATATTTTAAAGGGTACAAATAGATAATTTCAGTATCTGAGTCAACAAACCAGCAATTAATGATGATTATATTGGGCATCTGTGGTCCTCAAGGTGCTTTTCAACTTCAAGTACCATAATTTCTAATTATTGTGGAGAACGGTGAGACAAAAGCATTTGGAAGGCCACCATTGCCCACTTCTTCCTCAAAAAATATGGGCAAACAGTATTACAGGAGCCATTGTTGAAGCTAAATAGATAATTTGTGCCTTCAGTCTTGTGTGCTTTACATAATGAACTCTGTATTCATTCTTAATATTATTGACTGAAAGGATTTTGACACATTAAATAAGAACTGGGTCCCAAACTGGAAAGAACTGATAGCCAAAGTGAAGGGGAAAAGAAAACACAAGGAACTAAATCAAACCATAACCATGATCCAGCAATTAGAATAAAAACCAAAATTAAACCACAAATGTTCCCGGGGGTGAGGGGATAGAGGGAAAAGGAGAGGGGCAGGAAATAAAGTGAAAAGTATAAATAGGAAACTAAGATAGACCCAGAAAGGAGTAGAAATTGAGCTGTACCAGAAAAGTATGTAATCCCTTTTACATGTATGTACTGATTTTGTTTCTTTAATAATGCTGCAATATAATGGAGACAGTTATACTCTACAATCCAATATTTTTTAAGGACTTCAGCACACTGCTACAAACATACCTGAACATTTATAGGATTTGTTACTTTCTTGACAATGGCACCTGGTGCTCTTAACCGCATTGTCTCCAAAATGCACCACTTGATAAATGGGAGGTTCTTAAGATCATCTTCAGATACGCTGACAACTTCTTTTGCTGCAAAAATTTGTACAACATTATTTTCTCTATTTCTTTTTAGCAACTTTTTAATATTTTAATCCCAGATGGGAGGATAAAAAGAAGGGGGCTTAGATAGGGTCCCTTCTCCTTGTCCTCTTAAGATGGGAGGACAACAGAGCTTGTGGACAGTGCATAGATGAGAAGGAAATGACAGAGGCAAAGAGAAAGGATGAGTGGCAGATGCAAGAAATGAAGTCCTTCTTCTTTACTTCCTCTAACGTCAATCTATAATGGGCGAAAGCTGCAACCACTATACAGTGGGAGGTGGGGGCAAAAGAAGTGTCAACATGTTGAAATAACATTAAGCCTTTTCCCACCAAATACTGTATTTCCATTCGAAGTGGATTTAAACTGCAGCAAATCAGAGCTGGGTCTTGTTTGGAAAGTAAGAGGCAGGCAGGATTTGGCACACTAAAACATGGCACACTAAAAGCATTTGGCACACTAAAAGCATTTGGGAGGCCACAACTGCCCACTTCTTTCTCAAAAAATATGGGCAGACAGTATTACAGGAGCCATTGTTGAAGCTACTAATGCTGACGTTGGGATACATACAGTGATATATTCTAGTTGTAACTTTTCATTTATCAATATAGCATGTCTTTTACAAAACTTGTTTGTACCGATCCATGTTTGTTACACTATCTATTTTGTGAATGTGCACATGCAGTCATTTTGTGGGAAAGCCTACTAAAACCCCTTAAAGAGATGATACATAATAGAAACACATTATTTGTTTTAACCTATTTAAAAATACTTATCAGTAATATGTTTTGGCAAATTTACCTGCTCTGCCATAAACAGATTCTAGCTCCTTCATGACATTTTTGTAGAAAGGAGGACAGGACAGAATAAACGCAAGGGTCCAGAATGCAACCTAAAGGAATATAAAAGGAAATTGTCAGAAGCAATAATCTACTAACTTTTAGATCTCATAAGCCAGAACCTACTTACACGCCTTTAAAAAGGAGGCTGGCTGAACATATGCAAAATAGAAATATCAATGGCTATTAATCACAATAGCAATGAGCTACTGCAAAGGTCAAAGGCAGCATCTCTCTGCATGCCAGTTGCCGAGGAACAACAATGAAACAAAAAAGGTGTCTTCACTTCATGCTCCTAATAGGGTTTTCCGATACACTTGTTTGGCCTCTGTGAGAAACATGATAGTGAAAAAAGGTAAACCCTTCAGGCTGTCCAGCAGGGCTCTTCAAAAAAAAAAAATTTCCAAAATCAAACATCATGGGCATGATCCTGTATGTCACGATACGTATGTACAAGGGTTATCCGGAAAGTAATATTACAAGATTTTTTTAAAATACAAAGAATGAATATACTTTAATAAAATATACATGGATTGTAGCATACAGATTACATTATTTTTCCACATAATCACCATTCACTTCAATACATTTTGTCATCTGTGGGACGATTTTTGATGACTGTGGCATAGAAGTTTCCCTCCGCCTTTTTCAGCCAGTTCATCACTTCAATTTTCACCTTGTCGTTGTAAAAGTATTTACCAGATTATAGTCACTTGGTGTGAGATCAGGGCTGTGAGAGGGGTGGCTTAGAACATCCCAACCAAATGAAGTCAACAACTCTTGTGTTGCATGAGCAGCATGCAGACACGCATTGTCATGAAGGAGACAGACTCCCACTGTCAGCATCCTATGTTTGTTTTGGATGGCTCTGCGAAGTCTCTTCATGGCCTCACACAATATTCCATACCCATTTTGTCACATACTGTGTTGACTCTGCGAAGTCTCTTGATGGCCTCACACAATATTCCATACCCATTGTGTCACATGCTCTCTATAAACTGGAACGATTTGCACTTGGGAGGGAAATGGAATGAGGACGCTCATCTCTAACCTTGACCACAGTGCCACTTGATGAACTACTGGTGACTGGCACTGCTCGTTCGCTTCTGCTGGTTTCCCGCTACATGGCAGTGATACCAACTTCCCTCATGAAAATTCCCCGTGAGAGCTATATGCCTTGTAACCTTACTTTCTGGATAAACCTTATATATATTGTATATGAGGCCCTTAGAACCATAAGAAATTTTTTAAAATGCACCGTTAATAACTCATTCTCCAATTGCCCCCCTTAAAAATCAAATTGCTTCCCTGTGGGAACCAGAGGTGTAGACCCATATGCTTCTCAATGCTGTTAAAACTGCAATATATGGGTCGCCACTGTCCATATAATGCAATTCAAAATTGCTTACCCAATTAGAGTTAGATAGGCATTTAACATATTTTCTTCTAACGTGAGTTTCCTGTAGACCAATTAAATCATGGTCAATTTTCCTTCTTTTTCTTAGGGCCGTTTGCACTCCGCATGTTCCAAGTGATGTGTTTAATATTCATTATAAGGCCAAAATATTATCTGAGTCCACAGGCAGCACCCCTCCTTTCTCTTCTTCTTTCCCCATCTTAACTTTCTCCTTAAAATCATTTTCTGATGTGACATTCTCTCAATTCTCCTCTCTCATTCGGTTCTTCTAGTTTTTGTTTTCTTATATGTCTGAAGAAAGTGACTTTTTGAACCATATTCAGTGTAAAATTTTGTTATTTATACATCAAGGAGACTCCTTCCAACTTCTCCATCTAAACGAAACCATCTTCTGTTTCAATGTATCTGTTAGAAAACTGTAATTTTTCATCTGTCAACAACAGCAGCGGCAATAATACCTTTGAACCCAATCTCCTCACTTTTCCTACATTCTTGTTTGATAGTCCTGTTTTACATGATCCTGCATCAAAATAAGCAATCATGTCATGTGCAAGATTTCTCTGATCTGTCACCTGGGATTTTACCCTATACATGCTTCCTGTTCCAGTTTTTCATCTTATGTCTCCAGAAGGCTAACTAGAGCACCCATTATTTTTTTCAGATATGTTTCCATTTGATTGCTCTGAAATTGCTCTGTAATGTAGACACCTTTCCATCACTCTGCTCCATCTGGTCCACCATGTCCCCGCACAAAGAGGAAGGCTTGCACACAGTTGTGCGAGGCACTCGGGAAAGCCCTGCATACCAGCAGGTCCTGTAGGGCAACCCTCTTTGCAGGACATGGCAGCCTGCAGTGTCCTCCCACAAAGAGAAGGGCTTGTAATGCAGCTGCACAGAGCTCTCAGGAGAGCTCTACATAACCGTATGTGACTAGAAGGTCTAGGGCTAGGGCTATTATTATTATTATTATTATTATTATTATTATTATTGTTATTATTATTGTTATTATTAACTTTATTTGTACCCCACTAGCATCTCCCGAAGGACTCGATGCAGCTTACAAAGGCCAAGGCCTCAAAAAACATAGCATAACAAATACACAACTTAAGCAAATCAAAACAATTAAAGCAATATCAAAACAACAAAAACAATAAAACAATACACCAAACACAGTAAAACTGGGGCCGGGCCAAATGTAATGGGTACAGATTAAAAGTGCTGATGTGACAGGTGGTATGTTGGATTTTAGGGTGAGTGCAGTGTGCAAGCAATCTTAAAGTCTAATAAAGTGCTTCTGGGACCGCTGGAGTTTTCCTATTCTGGAAAGGCACAACGGAACAGCCAGGTCTTCAAGTTCTTCCTAAAGACTGCTAATGTGGGGGCCTGTCTAATGTCTTTGGGGAGGGTGTTCCAGAGTCGGGGGGCCCCCACAGAAAAGGCCCTGTCTCGCGTCCCCACCAGACACACCTGCGATGCATGTGGAATCGTGAGCAAGGTCTCTCCGGATGAGCGAAGAGAACACGTGGGTTCATAAACAGAAATACGGTCACGCAGGTAGGATGGTCCCAAACCATTTAGGGCTTTGTAGGTAAGCACCTGCACCTTGAATTGGGCTCGGAAAATAAACGGCAGCCAGTGGAGCTCCTTGAACAGGAGGGTTGAGCTCTCTCTGTAGGGAGCCCCAGTTAACATCCTGGCTGCCGCTCGTTGGACCAGTTGAAATTTCCGAGCCATTTTCAAGGGCAGCCCCACGTAGAGTGCATTACAGTAGTCCAATCTAGAGGTGACCAGGGCTATGTCATGTGTCTCGGGCCCAGAGGTCGCATATGGCTCACAGGCCTGGGTTTGCCCATCCCTGTGCTAGACACTTGTACCTGATTCCCAGGTCCCCCCATAACAAGAGATAGTTGTCCTGCCAGTCAGGGTACCCTCCTCACCAGTGATTGCTTCGTCAAGGTCCTGCTTGGAAGTAGACTACTTAAAGGAAAGGAGTGCATGACACATTTTCAGCTCCATCATTCTCCTCAAGTAATTCAAACCTCAGTAAATTTCAGCCTATTTGTACCACAACAGACATGTTTGTAAACTATCCACTAGCTCTAGCTTGGCTTCTTGCTCTCATTGCATGATTCTGGTGATGGCTAATATGGAATGCACACTCGCAGGTTTGTCTAGCTCTTGTATGAAACGGGAACTACTTTATATCTGAAATTGGGACTCGGCAGTTGTCTACATGGATTCTAGCTTAACTTCTCCAGGTTCCTTGCCATTGGGAAATAGTTTAGTCCAGTTTCTGAATCAGCAGCTCCAGACTCACAAGCATTATCATCCTCTAACCTCAAGGATTTGGAGGGGGGAGGCATGACAAATTGGCAACTATTAATGAAGAATGCGTAAGTTCCCATTCCCTGTGAGAGAGTGGCCTCACCTGAAATAACCTCCAACATTCAAGAAGAATATTGACAAGCTAAAATATGTCTAGATAAGGATGATCAAAATGGTCCTGCCTTCGGATTGGATTTTAGAAGTACTCGTTCAGTCAAAGATTTGGAAACCACAAATCCCTTTGAGAAGCTGCTGAGGGAGCTGAGTCCATTTAGTTTGGAGAAAAGAAGGCTGAGAGAAAGGGATATGAGATACATATTGAAATATTTCAGAGTGCCCCTTTGAGGAGTGGGAAAGCTTGTCTTCTGTTGTTCCAGAGACTAGGACACAAAAATTGCAAGAAAAGAAATTCCACCTAAACATTAGAAAGAACCTTCTGAGGGTCATAGCTGTTCAACAGTGTAATATCTTCTACCTCTGAGTCCAGTGGAGGCTTCTTCACTAATGGCTTGTGGTCATCTGTTGGAAGGACTTTGATTGTGTCTTCCTGCCTGGCAGGAGTTGTTCTAGATGCCCTTGGGGGGGTCTCTTCAAACTCCATGATTCTGTGATTCTATTATGAGGCTCGCCTTTAAGTGAGTAAGAATAGAGGGCACTACCCTTCATTCTTTGAATGTGATGTTCCTGCTTCTTGGCAGGAGGTTGGATTGGACAGCCCACGAGGTCTCTTCTAACTCTATGATTCTATGAATATTTTAAAATTCAATTTACTAATTTGAGGGATTTCCCCCCAACACCATACTTACAGGAACTGCATTTGCTTGCGATGCCCAGAGGAGTAAAAGACCATAGTTAGCACTGAAGTCTTTTCCTTGCAAGGTATCCAGGAGCTCCTGGTATGTTGTCTATTACAAAAAAGAAGGAAAAAAGAACACAAATTTAAACACAGTGTAGTCTATTTACACCAGTGTAGTCTATTTACACCATAAGTCACTCCACTGGCTGCCAATTAGTTTCTGGGCAGAGTTCAAAGTGTTGATTTTGACCTTTAAAGCCCTACATGGTTTGGGTCCAGGTCACCTACAGGACTGCCTTTTCCTGTACAGCTTGCTCCAGACACTGATGTCCTCGGGCCGGTGGGGGGGGGGGGGCTACTCCAACCAGTCACATTCCAATTGGCAAATGTGACCCAGAGGATATTTTCATTCGTCACCCCAAGACTGTGGAATGACCTGCTGGAAGAGCTCTGACAGCTAAATGAGCTGTTGGAACTTAAAACAAATCTGAAGACCCATCGCTTCCGGCAGGCCTACCCAGTCAGTTTTAACAATGAATTTTAAACACATACCTTGTGTTTACTATATTTTATGTTGGAAATGACAACTTTCTTCAAGCCTTCTCTAGTAATGTTTATCTATGATCGTGTTGCTTACTGTTTGTATTTATGTTCTGGTATGCAGCTTTCTTTATTCTATGGTTCCTGACAAGTTATAAAACATAACTACAGGCAAGCAGGCTACAGACTCCAGGCTACTTCAAATCTCAGATCACATGCTTGCTGTTTTTCTGTAGAAAATGTCCTGGCTGTATGGCACAGATAATTATCTCAAAGATATTTGAAACTGGACTAATATGTTTTTGTACTGTGTGTGCTGAACGCATGATTAAATCAAATATGTAATTTTATCAAAATGCATAATATAAAACAACTTCTTTTATGGGAGAGTATATATATTTTGGGCACTGAAAAACACTTCTAAATCTTTGCTGTTTTTATGCACTGGCAAATCTCTGTTTTCCTAACAGATCAGAGATCACAGATTATTCAGTCTAACAACTAAAACCATTGCCTTGCAAAATTATATCTAGTTGTCTGCCATAAGAGAAGATTCTACTCTAAAGGGTTTTTGGCTCTTTTCTGAAAAGTCACGTTTTTCTAAAAAGCTATGATCTTCAAAAGATTATAAATGACATGTTCCATTTTTTTTTAAAAATGTGTATTTCAATATATGTATTTCATAGGAATATGATTTAATGTGTCTATTTTATATAATGTTTGATTATGTATTTGTAGTTATGTTGTGACCCACCTCGAGCCACAAGGAAGTGGGTAAGAAAAAAAATTATAGTCATCTTCCAAAAGCAGTGATTTTATACTACTGCATCTAAGCTGCTTTACTGCACCTAAGATGCATCTAAGCTGTCAAAGAGTGAATTGTTAAGTAATAGTTAATATCAACATTAACAGCATTATGGGAGCTTACCTTATAAGAACCATCTGGAGGATTTGTTTTATTTGCATATAACACAACCTTTTCAAAACTTTTGAGGAGCCACTTTTTGGATTTAGACCACTTCCTACAAAGAAGGGGAAATAATTGATGAAATGCATCTGGATACCTTCACTCATAAAGTCATTCAACATGTTTTCCACAGGTAAAACGCTTTACAAGTGATGTTGGGTTGCCAAATTTTATCACCACAGTAGATTACATGTTTCAGTTTTGAATAATATATACTCATTCTTTTTTCTCTGCCTCCAGCATGAGACAGCTTTGTAGTCCGAGAAAGCAAAGCCATTCAGTAGCTTGGAAAAAATCCAGATCTATGTTTTGCAAATGTTCTTCCCACTGGGTGAACTGAGTAAGAAAGTGGTCTTCAATTCCCTCCCACTCTTATTTTTCTCTTAAAACCTTTTTCTTGCCTCCAAAGAAATTAATGGAGCAATGTTGTGTCCATCTTCCTGTGAGACCAGAAAACAAGCTTTCAATTCACACTAGCCAGTAAAGTGAGAAAATCCTGTCTTGCTGGTCAACAGGAGCTGAGTGCAGAGAGAACTGGCAGTACTACATTCTTGCAACTCCAGTATTGCTGAAGTATTGGAAGCAAAACTGATCAAGGCAGCCTATATTCTTTGTCTTCATTCTATTTATAGAAACCTAGGGTGGCTTTTTAGTTTTATTAGCAGCCATACTTCAATTTTCACTAGATCTTGATTTATAACAAGAAAGAGGAAATTGCAGGGACCCACAGAATTACACAGTACATAAAATAATTTTTGTGTTGTTCTCAGGAGCTATTGCAGATTGGCAAAAAACTGACTTCATCACATTGAAGCAGGGAAGGGTTTGGTAGAAGAAAGCTGTCTGACTGTTTTGAAATGAAATGGATGATTTTCCTACCTTCATCACACTGTTAAATGTATCTGTGTTACTCAGTTGAACTCAGCATTCTTTCAGTAGAATTGCCATCACACTGTAATCGCTAGGCACCACCCGACATCCCTCCCCAGTGTTCTTTGAGGGGGAAAAAGGCCTCTTTTTGAAATGTCATCTGTCTTCAATTCCAGAAGCAGGGAGGGAGGGAGAGCAGCAATGCTCTCTCTGTGTCTCGACTGCACCACAGAGAAGGGTGTGGACCTTGGAAAACTATAACTCCCAGGACTGCATAATATAGAGATATGATATTTAAAGTAAGGTCCATCTGCATTCATTTCACAGTGTAGATGCACCCAGAGAAAATTCATGGACCTTGGGAAACTGCAATTCCCAAGACCATCTCATGGAGACATGGCATTTAAAGTAGGTTCAACTGCATTCATTCCACAGTGTAGATACACCCAGAGAAGGGTATGGATCTTGGGAAACTATAACTCCCAGGAGGACTCCATCGCATGGAGCCATGGCATTTAAAGTGGGGTGCAAGGGCATTCATTCCATACTCTAAATGCACCAAGAGAAGGGTATGGACCTTGAAAAACTATGACTCCCAAGACTGCACATCATGGAGATAGGCAGAAGAAGAAGCAGAAGAAGCAGCAGAAGCAGAAGCAGAAGCAGAAGAAGAAGAAGAGGAGGAGGAGGAGGAGCAACAACAACAACAACAACATTTAAAATGGGCCCAAATGCATTTATTATCCAAGCCAGATGCAATCAAGGAAGGGTATAGACCTTGGGAAACTATAACTCCCAGGACTGCATAGTATGGAGCTATGGTATCTAAAGTGGGGTGCAAGGGTATTCATTCCATATTGTAAATGCACCAAGAGAAGGGTATGGACCTTGGCAAACTATGACTCCCAGGACTGCACAGCATGGAGACATGGAATAAAAACAATAACAACAACAACAACAACAACATTTAATATGGGTCCACACTGCAGTTATTCTTCAATGCAGATACACCCAGAGAAGGATATGGACCTTGGGAAACTCTAACTCCCTGGACCACATAGTTTGGAGCTATAGTATTTAAAGTGGGGTCCAAGAGCATTCATTCCATAGTGTAAATGAACCCAGAGAAGAGTATGGGTCTTGGAAACTATAACTCCCAGGACTGCACAGCATGGAGGCATGGCATAATAATAATAATAATAATAATAATAATAATAATAATAATAATGCTTCTGTCCTGGATTTTCCATGCAACACAAGGCAGAGACATACCACGGAACGGAACGGAAGGACCCAGAAAGGCTATTTTTAAAAAAGAAATTGTTCTGGCAAAGTAAAAACTTGGTGATCCAAAGGTAACGCTTTCCCTAACAAGGGTACTTTCAGCTCTTCCCACAATGTCCCCTCCCACAAATTGGGGAAACATTTCATTTTAAGCCTGAGAGCAACAAATGCCAACACATGACAGAACTGGCCAAACATCCGGATCATTACCAAAATTTCACTTTCCCACCACTTCCTGAAATGTTTAAAAAAAAATGCTGGCTCCCATGCTTAAAATTCGCAAAGAATGTTATATACTACACTTGAACCCAACTTAATGTGATGAACATGGTGATTTAGCACATTTTCAGTGTACTACTTAGTGGAATTTAGTAAATGTGATGAAGTGGTGAATGAGAAAATCAAGAGTCAACCTTGAAAATGTACTCCAACTGGCAGACACTGAATAAATAAACACGGCCAGGGTCAACTGCTGGCATTTGCAGCTGCAGGGCTAGATAACCCTGGGCATGAGTAAGCAAGCAGCAGTAGGAGGATAGCAAAATATGACAATTATGCCTCTAGTTGTCCCTTGTTTTGTTTTGTTTTAATTCTGGGATCCAAGTTAAACTACTGTATGGAGAGAGGCTTTGCACTGACATATTCTGTCTATGTCATAACACAGTTTCTAAAATTCAACAAACATCATTGCTTTTTGTGATGTTTCAGACACATTGAGAAACACATGTATTTATTTAATACACTTGTATACCGCTAATATCTCAGCCTAAGTCGGCGACTCATTGCGGTTTACAACAATTAAAAACAATATACAATTTAAAACAACAACATATAGACAATACAAATTATTGGGCCACCAATAATAATACCATGTATCTCGTCACTAAAATCACAGTCCAGAATTCGTCATCCATAATTAACCAGTCCTTAGTCCATAAAATTCGGTGATAACAAACTAACCGAATGCTTGTTTACACAACCATGTTTTTAATCTCTTCCGAAACACCATCAGCGAAGAGGCTGATCGTATCTCTATAGGGAGGGTACCAAGCCCTTCATTATTTACAAACAATCTATGAACTATCTTCTACTTCTATGGACAATCGGCATTCACTTTCAAAATATAGAATTATATTTATTATTTTCAGGCTTTGCAGACTTTTGGATATGTTACCTGGTACATATATACACACATTATGTTTTGCAAGACTGTCTGTTCTATTACAATGGACTCCACCTTTTTGTGCTGCAAACACTCCACTTTTTTTGATAGCTGAAGCAAGCACAATTTAGAAGCACCAATGGCTATACAGAAATCTTGCACAATAGTTTTGTAATGAAGTTATCATTCATGTTTCCATATCTGTACCTCTGTTTCTGTTTATTAGTCAAGAGCTGCAAGCCTCTGTGTGTATACCTATTAAATCTCTTATTTTGTCTCTTCCCATACTAGTCTTTCTAGCATAAAAACATTTAATTTTTTAAGTATTCAGAATTTTGATGTAAGTTAAGTCTGCTCAATTTTCAAAAGAGGAATATAACTTCTATTCAAGCAGACTGAATGTATCACAATAAACTAACATGTCATAATATTGTTTTGCTTTGACAGTTTCTATCTCTGAAATATAGATTACACCACCTGGTATTCGTGGGTGGTCTTCAATCCAACTACAAGCCAGTGCTGACCCTGATTATTTTCTGGTGCTTTTAAAGCAATGGTTCCCAACCTTTTTTTTTTACTATGGAGAACTTGATCAGGGACCATTCTCCAACATAAGTACCAAAAGGGTTACGAATCAGTTTCTGGTCAACTTTAGATTAGGTTTGGCTATTTGAGATGCTGATTCAGAAAACTGCATTAAGACAGACCACATCAGCTCTAGTTTCCGATACAGAACATATGTCATCCAGTAGCTGATGTGGTCTATCCAATGCAATTTTCTGAATCAGCACCCCAAATAACCCCAGGAACAGGCCTAAAAACAAAGACATCAAGAAAAAAAAGTTTTGGTTGGGTTGTGTTATTATCGTGTTAAAAAAAAGAAGGCAAGGGGGCTAAGGCTTAAAAAAATACAAAAAGTGGAGCACAAGACCCAACTGTCCCTAATAATTACTTTGGAGGACTAAACAGGGTCTTATAGAGGGCTGCTTTCCCATTACAACTGATGTGTGGCAATGGGAGCTAATAATAATAATAATAATAGTTACTTTGAGGGACCCTCCTTCCCCCTCTCACTCTCCTCTAACAGCACCAGGGAAGCCATGAGAGAGCAAGAGGTCAAGGGCAATGGCGCTGGCCTCCTTCCTTCCTACCCTCTCCTTCTCTCTCGCTCTCCTCCAATGGCGCAGGGAAGACTCCAGAGGGTGAGCAACAGCGCTGTCCTCCTTCCTTCCCTCCCTCTCCTCTCTCTCACACTTTCCTCCAACGGCGCCAAGGAAGCTGCAAGAGGGCAAGAGAGCAAGGGCAAAGCCATTAACTTTTTTCCTTCCTTCTCTCCCTCTCCTTCTCTTTCTTGCTGTCCCCCAATAGAACTGGAGAAGCTGTGAGAGGGCAAGAGCAACAATGCTGGCCTCCTTCCTTCTTTCCCCCTTCTCTCTATCACACTCCTCCCACAGAAGCACACACCCCCAGCCATGGACCTTATTTTAGGTCTTGCAGCCACCAGTGGGCTCTGGCCCACAGGTTGGGAACCACTGATTTCAAGTATTGAACTTATACTGTAAAACAGAAACATTACTTCTTTACTTCATAAAATATTCAGGAAGCTGGGTAGCGTATTCAAAGTCGTTATCATAGTTCTGAAAGTGTTCTTCAAATTCTTTGACATTATCCTTGGTTGTCAAAAATATGTCTTTTCCAAACAGGATATTCACTACCGGTGGAAACATTATATGCCTAGAATAGAAGAAAAGCCAGCTGTAAAAAAAAAAACTGAATATAGTTGGAATAATTTCTAATTGTATATTTTAAAATTTATTTGGAATACCATATTTTATCATGAAATAGTCACCACCATGTAATAGTAGCAACCTCTTTTTGAGCACCCTAAATCAGTATTTTTCCCTTTCTTCGCATAATCATCACAGCCTTGATTCATTGTCCCAACATACTGCTGGCAGACAATCTGCAAACAGTGTGCATTGCAGCCTGTTTAGAGCGGGGGGGGGGGGGGGGGGACTTTGCAGCACTTTGACTGCTGCAAACAGTCTAGCTAGAACAGGGAACACTCCAGGCTTCCCTCTTCTCATTACTTGCTGCACCGTACAAACATCTTCACTCATCTGCCTCCTTTTAACTGTGGTTCTTCTCTCAGACAAGTCCAAAAGCACTAGGCTGAAAAGAGGACAGTGAGTAATATAATGAAACTATTTAGAGTGGTGGAGTGTCTTCTGAGAATATTAAAATATGTAAATCTGTACTCTGGACACTGTTGTGAATTTGCTCAAGCTGTCTTCTACAACACAATACTGACAGGATTTTTAATTGCATATTATTTGCTACCTCCTTTTTTCAGCCAAAACAGACATAAAAATGCAATTATTACACCTTGAAATACAGTAGTCAACCTTTACTTTATTTCTATTCCACTCTTCACACCCCATGGGGGACTCAGAGTGGTGTACATCATATGTGTAGGCAAAATTCAAGCCTCATTATACATAAGAAATAAAACAATAGACAATATAAAATCACTAAAATCAATAAACATAAAAATACACATTTTAAACCCCTTAAACATGTTAAAACATAACAAACTCCTCAACACAAATAACACATTCCATAATTCTCATAAGGATCGGTTACTTACCTGTAACTGTGTTTCTTCAAGTAGTTCTCTGTGAATCCATATTTGTGGAGGATACTGCGCCTGCTCAGACTCTTATGAAAGCTTCCCAAGCTGTTTACTTTAAATTTTTGGCGGCAGCTCCATCCATTCCTCTCGCAGGCATAAAAGGTGCCCTGACTCCTCACTCCCCAGTTCCTGATCCACAGTGGCAGCTAGAAAGAGGGAGGTTTAATGTAGAGGGGAGGCCGGGCAGGTTAGTGTGGATTCACAGAGAATCACTCGAAGAAACACAGTTACAGGTAAGCAAGCTGTCCTTCTTCCAAGTTCTCTGTGAATGCACACTTGTGGAGACTAGCAAGCTGTGGTAGCTGGAAGGCGGGACGAATGTCAAACTGACACCAGTATGTAAACCAAACATGGAAACTGCAGTGAAGTAAGCACTGGTCTTGCTACCGTGAGAAAATGGGAGTTGTGGTGGCAGAGAGGATTGAAGTGGTCTACAAACCATTTCTGTGGCAGCCTGAGGTGCAGATGGGAGAATTGTGTGGCTGACATCATTGATGACATATGCCCCAGGAGGGCTTAGATCTGCACTTCAAGGGACTGGAATCCTTGCCTCAGGAGAAAGGTTCTCTCAATATGGGAGCCGAACATCATCCCACTGAACTTGATGGAGGTAGTCAGGACCAAGTGGGATTTTTCTAGGGTCAGGTGAAGGCCTAGAGAGTCCTGTGTTTTCAGTGTGAGCGTGACTTGCTCTTCTAGCAAGAATGGGGATTTTGCTTTCAGAAGACAGTTGTCGAGATAAGGGAAGACAACGATACTGCTTCGGCGAAGGTGAGTCAGTACTACCAACATGCATTTTATGAAAACTATCAGTGCCATGGCGAGTCCGAAGGGGAGCTCATTTAACTGGAATGTCTGGAGAACTAGCTTGAAGGAGAACCTTCTGTGCACCGGAAGGATGCTGACGTGGAAGTAGGCGTTGCATAAGTCTATTGCAGCAAACCAGTCTTCCCAGGCAAGGGGAGGAAGAATGGATGACACCGACACCCCATTCTGAACTTGCTTGGCAGCAGGGAGGAGTTCAGGTCCCGAAGGTTGAGTATCGGGCGCAGGCCACCATCTTTTTTGAGAATGGTGATGTATCTTGAGAATAAAAGCATAATGTCTTCCATCGAGGGCATCAGTTGTATGGCGCCCTTGAGAAGCAAGGTCTTGACTTCTTCTTGTATGGTATGTGATGGCTGAGTTTGAAGAACTTTTCCTGTCGAGGGGAGGTCCTCGAATTCTAAGGCATAGCCTTCTCAAATAACATTGAGGACTCAAGCATCTGATGTTATATTGTGCCACATGTCCAAGTAGCTGGCTAAACAGTCCCAGAAGGGATAGAGTTTGGTATCAACAGTGGGTGCCGGGAAGCCTTTTATGCTCAGAGGTGGAATGGGCATAGCTTCCACCAAAAATGTTAAGTAAACCGTCTGCTTGGAAAGCTTTCGTAAGAGCCTGCGCAGGAACAGTATTCTCCACAAGAGAGAACTTGAAGAAGAATCATAATTTGGCTGCTTCATTTCTAACTGTATCATGATAGAATGTTAAACTACACTTCCATCACTTGCTGAAGGCCTGTTTAAACAGCCAGGATTTAATTGTTTCCTGAATACAATTTCTGCATACTAAGTAAGCATATAGCCTCCTTTCCCTTCTGAATTATACTACTGTATATCCAAAGTATATTCAAAGACTGCACAAAAGAGCAACAGGTATTTAGACAAAATAGCACTTGGAAAAACAGAAGGGCAACACTGTAAGAGGAAGACTAATGTATTGTTATTATTATTTATTTAAAAAGGGGAAGACAATATGTCTAGTTTGTAAACTCACTTACCTTACAAGATCTCTGAGCTCCTCTGTACCCTCAGAACCTAAATCCACCATACATTTTTGGAACTCATGACAAAGATTGTCAGATAATTCATGAACATTGGAGGCAGACATTTTCCCCTTCATCATGATATAAAGGTTTTTCCTATTCTTGTAGAAGATTTCTTCAGGAACAGAAACTTTAGAAAGCAATTTTTAAAACATCAACAACACACACACTCATAACTAGCATATGCATTAAAATTATCCTGAAAGTACCAGAATTAGCAAACACCATATTTTTTCTTTCTTTCTGCATTTCAGGTTGGTTTCTCGAGGGAATTTAAATGGGCACAGCTGCCCCTCTTAAGATTTATAAAAATGGATGCAGAAACACAATTACATAGTAAATCCTGGAGCCAGTTTGAGACCCAGATAATGCTTACACAAACCAAAGAACACTGATGCACATTAAGAGTTTTCTTTCACACACTTCCATAGAAGTTTGTTGTATGGCAATCACAGTTTGAAGCTAGTTTTGAACTGCATTACATAGGACCCTTCCAAACAGCCATATAATCCAGAATACCAAGGCAGACAATCCACAATCCTCAAAATAAATGCCAAATAGTTATGTATGATCCTGATTTTGTCAGTGACTGCCTTGTCACAATTAACAGAACTACAAAGGTTTGGCATTGTGATTGCCTTATTTTCAGTAGGTGTTTGCATAAAACAGAGGCTGATCCTTGTTATAGACATACATTTACTTGAATGGGAAGTTACAAAAAAAAACCTTTGCTTCAACATCTAATATAAAATAGAATTGATCTCAAATTGAAATGAAATTTATTTTAAAGAATATGTGCTGTTAATGGCTTTAGAAAAATGGTATGTGGTGTCCAAAAATTTTAGTGGGTTAAGGAAAAGAAGAAGTGTTAGACATTATACTGAAAACATACACTGGATAATGGAAAGTACCAAATAATTTGATAGGAAAATTAGCTTGTGCTTTATATATTATGGCAAAGGCTTTGATTGTAGAAATCACACAAAGTACAGATCTTTCTTTTTAAAATGGCTGTATTACAACATTTGACTGTCCTAATGGATAATCTGTGTTTGGGACAGAAGACTTCAGTTAATAATAATAATAATAATAATAATAATAATAATAATAATAATAATAATTCTTTATTTCTATCCTGCCCCATCTCCCCAAAAGGACACATGGCGGCTCACAACATGAGTAAATACAATACATAATGTATAAAAAATAAGTAACAAATTAATAACGAGGAAACAAAATAACATAAAACAAAATTAACAAATTAAACTATAAAGAGTAAAAACATTAATTAAAACACATTTTAAACAAAGTGTTTCTAATAGATTAAATAAACTAGATAGTTTATTTAGTACAGAATATGGAAAATGAAATGGTTTCCAATCGGCAAGGGGGTCAAGTAAGGCTATTTTATCAGTCTATCATGTGTAAAGCCTCACTAATTTGAGCTTACTCAACAATTTTAATAGTCCACTTTTCTGTCATTAGTGATTTAGTCAATTTCCAGTTTGAGCAAACAAGTATTCTCACCATTATCATATATTGGAGAAGTAGTCCATTGTTACTATCCAATTCTTTATTCATAATGCTTGACAAAAAACATTCCTGGTCGTCACATTGAAAAATCAAGGCATTGGGAGCTGGGTATGTTTAACTTGGAGAAGGTTAAGAGGGGACATAATAGCCAGGTTTAAATATTTGAAAAGATATTGTGATGCAAATGGAGCCAGCTTCTTTTCTGCTGTGCCAGAGATTAGGAAACAGTGCAGGAAAAAAATCCCTCTGAATATCAGGAAGAACTTTCTGATGGTAGAGAGCTGTTCACAGTGGAGTACATTGCCTTCTAAGTATGGTGAAGTCTAGAGGTTATTTTAAAGCAGAGGCTGAACAGCTATATCTCAGGAGTGCCTTGGTTGTGTATTCATGCATGGCAACATGAGGTCAGACTAGATGACCCTTGAGGTCTCTTCCAACTCTATGATTTTTAGAATCACATTTTACTGAATAAGAGTGGGCACTTCTTGCTCCACCCTGGCTCACAGCAAATAAAAAAAAAGATCTGTAATAGCACTTTTATTTCCTTCCCCCGAAATCTCTACAAAATCAGTGTGAAAGTAGGACGGAGGAGAATGAAAGCAAGCCTACACATCTTCTGCCTTTGAGACTTTTTTTGTCCCTTCTCCACTTTTTTAGACACCACCTTGTGACTGACCTGTATGGCCCATTTATGTCTTTGTTTTGCTTATTCTCCTGATGCTACAGATCATTGCTTGCTAATAGTTAACAAACTGGTTTCATCCACGAAAACTACCCTTATGGAATGGATTTAGTTGCGTAACAGACAAAAGGTAAGAACCGATCTGGTGCCTCTTGTATTGGAACTTGTCTTAATAACAGTTTCAGGGGAGAAATAAGTGGCTTCAGTCAAAAGCAGACCCTTCAAAGAATGGTGTAAAGTTAAACAAAATTCAAAATATCAAGATTACCCTCAGTTCAAGCTCTTTGTCAATAAATACAGAAAACAAAAACAATACACTGAAATTACACATACACACACACACATGTGTGTGTATGTGTATGTGTGTGTGTGTGTGTGTGTGTGTGTGTGTGTGTGTGTATATATATATATATATATATATATATATATATATATATATATATGGGGTGAGGGGTGGGTTCGAATAATCTACTTACCTGCATGCTGGACAGACTTTTGTACTGCCTGCTCAAAATCTGCATTTTTAGATGTAAAAAAGACTTGAAACCCTTCTTCTTCTGTAAGAAAGGTATATCGTTTCCCCAACAAATAGACTGTGAATACGGGGCCATACTGCAAAATATTGAGCAAAAAAGATAGTTTAATAAAACTATATCATAAGTTGCAAAATCATCATCACAGTATGACAGAAGGGGAGGTGATCACCAATAGCATTATATAAAGCACCAACCCCCAGAGTATGACACGACTAGACTTAATGTCAGGGGAAATCCTTTATCTTTACCTATGGCCACGTTCTAGAAACATTCTCTCCTGACGTTTCACCCACATCTATGGCAGGCATCCTCAGAAGTTGTGAGATCTCATAACCTCTGAGGATACCTGTCATGGATGTGGGCGAAACGTCAAAAGAGAATGCAACCGAGTGATTTTGGCCATGAAAGCCTTCGACAACACAAACAAGGGTTCTTTTTCACACTTAATCATGAAAATCCATTGTATGAACTTAGACACAGTCTCGCCCCCAGAAAACTTTGTGATATGAAGACCCTAAGGTTACCCTAAGTCAGGAATGACTTGAAAAAAACCCACAATAATAAGAATTAGCATTCAAGGTTAAATGTGGGAAATAAGGAATATTACATAGTTTTTGAGCAGTACTATTGTGAAAAAAGAAAAGATGGATTTTTATGACATTTCAAAAACTGCAAATTATGAAGCCCACATAGTTCTAAATATATTACCTTAAATAAATTCATGTTCTGTCTTTAAAAAAGGAATTTATGAGGGAATTCTTATGTAATTCTGCACGCAATGTGCAGCTTTCAAAATAGCCTGAATAGTTCACATGAACTTCAGTACCCTTTGCTTATATAAATTACTGCCACGATGGCAGTGTTGCCAGGAGCTGTTGGCTCTAAAGCTTCTGCTTGTTAAGAAATTGCAGAAAAGGACAAAGTAAAAATAAATGACCAATCCTCAAATGGGCATTTGTTAAAGGCTTGCAGTTGTAACTCAAATGTCAGTAAGATGTTAGTTTCTTCAAAAGTATTTAATATCTTTTGCATAAATTAAAAGGCAAATAGTCTATTGTTAGAACATCACACTGCACTTTAAATGAATCAGAACCAAAGCTTTTTGAACTCATGAGAAGAAACAATCAGGAACAGCTAATCACATCTCAACAAAGGATTCCCTCAGGCAGTAATAAGGCACCCCTAAAAACTGTCAGGCCATCAAATGCTAATCAAGGTGGCCAATTGAAAAATTCACACCTAGCTCCAACAGACAAGAGTTCTTTTTCCCACTCTGAACTTTCCACAGATATATAAACCCAATTTTCCTAGTTTCCAACAGACCTCACAACCTCTGAGGATGCCTGCCATAGATGCAGGCAAAACTTCAGGAGAGAATGTTTCATACAGCCCGAAAAACCTACAACAGCCCAAAGCTTTTTTAGTGTATAATTATGCTAAGCTGTTTATTCGCCTTTCACTAATCTGTTTAATAGATCTATTCTAATTGGAATTAACCAACAGAACCCAAGCTATACAATTCTGTATCTGAAATTATAACTTACAGCATAGCTACATCAACAAAAATTGCAATTGTGCACAATTCAATCCTAGAACACTTCCAGGAAGGGAAATGAGAGTACCCTGAAATAATGTTTTGATGAATTCTGACATAATACCCTTTATATTGCGAAGAGAAACACTATGTTCTATTTCTTGCTGTTAACAGTTTAAAGCAGAATGAAAAATATATATCACAACTACATGTAGTATGCCAAATACACATTGAGCATCTTTTTATTCAGAATTCAAAAATCCAAAATACTCCAAAATCCAAAGATGTCACACCTTTGCTTTCTGGGAGTTCAGTGTACACCAACTTTGTTTTGTACACAAAATTATTTAAAATATTGCATAAAATTACCTTCAGGCTATATGCATGAGGAATATGAAAGATGAATACATTTTGTGTAGAAACCTGGTTCCCATATCTTATCATGTACGCAAATGCAAGCATTCTAAGCATTTTGGATACACAATGTTTAGTAATCTGACATGTCTCACAAAGTGATACTCAATGCTGAGTAATATCATAGAACTACAAATGGATTTTAATTATGAGTGGTGTGCATAAGAGAGGAAAAGTACTTCCCGTATATAGATTATAACATAACTTTTAACTTTGCAAGGTTGACCACTACATACAAATTGACAATGCAATTTCATACTTAGGGGACCTGTCATCCTAAACGTAAATCACAGCAAAGTTTACATGAAGAACTTTTATTACCATTTCTTTTTAAAAGTTAATATAATACAACAAATATGACAAACAGTAACACATTCTTGAATCTTCTGAAGAAATACCTACTCAAAATTGGTTCTTTGATGCAGATGAATTGGTTTTACTATACATATGATACTACCTTGTTGGTATAAAGAAAATCTTCTCCAAAATTTTGCATGCTTTGAAGGATATCAGAGGCACATAGGAAGTAAAGCAATATGCATTGTGGACAGATGCAAAGAGATTTCCTCTTTCTCCTCAAAGCTTGATAGTACTTTGGTTATACAAACCATACTACATTGCTTAAAAGTCAAAAAAATTAAAAGCACAGCTAGTGCAACACTCAGTCCTTTTCACCCTCCTTACCTTGAGTGTGGCTTGCTCTATAAATGTCAGGGGAGCTCTGCCAAACTGTATGGCAGCTCCTACCCAAGGGATCCAGCCAGAGATGTATGGTGGTTCAAGGCTGTTTCTGGAACGAAATAAAACTAGCCTGAGAACAGCACCCAGGATGATGGTTAATAGAGCAGCAGCAACTAACTCCATTTTTCTTCTCCTCTTTGCACCAGTCGCTTTTCTAGCACTAGCTGTCACCCCGTGGGAAAACTGTTCAGATAGTGTCAGCAGAGGACAGAATGAAAAGACTGGTATTCATAACCCTGCCTCCTTGTGGCAGCTGAAACAAAGTTCTGTCTGTCTTTGAAAGGAGCTGGCAGGACGGTTTTTGCTTTCTAGAAAAAAAAATCTCCTGAAAGCTGGACCCAATTGTAGCTTTTCTCTGTTGAAAAAATAGTTACAGTGCCATTTATTGCAAGTCAGACAATAGTTCTTTCTCAGAACCTGATAAGCTTTCTCCTGAAAATAATATTAATGGGGCTTTTATGGTCTTACTGCATGTATATGGCAGATATAGCTTCACAATCTATATCTGCTTTTATCCTCAGGCATTGAAGAGCCTTCCTTCCTTGATAGTTCTGATAGCAAAATACCACTGTTGGCTAATAAAGATTTTGGAATTCCTTTTATTTAGGAATAGGGCACCTGTTTTTTTTATTAAGTAACAGAAAAGAAGATTAAGCTAGAAAGCCATAATGTTTATGGTTCAAAATATCAGAAATGTTATCTGCACTCTTGATGGTACAAAAAGCAATTCCCTTTGAGTTCTGTGGGAGAAATCTCAAATAATTGGCTATAGGACTATTGCCTAACTCTTCTTGTGTGAATACAATACATTGATTAACAGTATGATTCTATAATGAAAGCAGTTGGTTTCTTACAATCTCATTCAACACGCGAAATGAACAAAGTGCAGAGGAAAGTACAAAGTGCCGTTTTCCGTCATGAAGTTGATTTCATGACCTAGGTCCCACAATAATGCTGATATGACTGAAGTTCCACGAAAGCAGGGTTTTAAAATTCTACAGATTAAAACATATCATACATTTCTCAGATAAAAATTCTGCTAGTCATCCTGAAATATCTGATGGGCTGTGAGACAGAAAATAGAGTGAGATAGTTTTCTGCTGTTCCAAAAACCTGAACACAAATCAATGAAGGCTGATGAATAATTTATTTATCGTGTCAGAAGCAAATTTAGAATATAGTTATAACTAGCCGTCCCCTGCCACATGTTGCTGTGGCCCACATGGGGGTTCAGTGTGGGAAGTTTGCCCCAATTCTGTCGTTCGTGGGGTTCAGAATGCTCTTTGATTGTAGGTAAACTATAAATCCCAGCAACCCCAACTCCCAAATGTCAAGGCCTATTTACCCCAAACTCCATCTGTGTTCAGATTTGGGCATATGAAATACTTGTGCCAAATTTGGTCCAGATCCCTCATTGTTTGAGTCCAAAATGCTCTCTGGATGTAGGTGAACTACAACTCCCAAACTCAAGGTCAATGCCCACCAAACCCTTCTAGTGTTTTCTGTTGGTCATGGGAGTCCTGTGTGCCATGTTTGGTTCAATTCCATCATTAGTGGAGTTTAGAATGCTCTTTGATTGTAGGTGAACTATAAATCCCAGCAACTACAACTCCCAAATAACAAAATCATTTTTTTGAGTGAAGGACATACATTGGGTTGTTAGGTGCATCGTGTCCAAATTTGGTGCCAATTTCCCCAGTGGTTTTTGAGTTCTGTTAATACCACAAACAAACATTACATTTTTATTTATATAGATGTATATAAAAACCACAAAGTTAAAAATTTGGCATTCTGCTAAATTTCCTTTGAGCAGAAGCTGGCCACTTGGAGTGCCTCTGGAGTCACTGTTAAGATCCTCCATTATGCATGTGGCAGTGCTCAGACTGTACTATAAGAGGCCTGTGGTTTGCTCTTCTCCACACTTGCATGTTGTGGACTCCACTTTGTAGCTCTATTTCTTAAGGTTGGCTCTGCATCTCTTGGTGCCAGATCAGTCTGCTCAGTGACTTCCAAGTCACCCAGTCTTCTGTGTGCCCAGGAGGGAGTTTTTCATCTGGTATCAGCCACTGATTAAGGTTCCAGGTTTTTAACTTGTCATTTTTGGACTCTCACTTGCTGAGGTGTTCCTGAAAGTATCTCTGTAGATCTTAGGAAGCTGTTCTTGATTCAAGATGTTGGCATGCTGGCTGATATCTAAACAGAGGATGGGCCGGAGATGTCAATGCCTTGGTTTTTTCATTGCTGGCTGCTACTTCCCGGTGGGTATCATGTGGTGCAATGCCAGCTAAACAGTATAATTTCTCCAGCAGTGTTGGGCTTAGAATCCTTTGATAATACAGCATGTATCATTAAGAGCCACATCCACTAAAACCAGGCAAAGACCATAATGTTCCAAAATGCTATAGATCAATCACCTTATTGTGCCATCTTTATAAAGTTCTGGGGAGACTTATCCTGCACAGAGTTATGGAAAAAATAAATCCATTTATGATCCCACAGCAAGCTGGTTTCAGGAAAAGGAAAAGCTGCATATCACAAGTGCTGACCCTGACTCAGCACATAGAATATGGTTTTGAAAGACAGCAGATTACATGAGCTGTCTTCCTAGGCATGCCAGCAGCTTATAATGCTGTAAATAATCACCTCCTTCTGAGAAAAATGATGATGACTAATTTATATCCCTCCTGCCTTCCAATGAGATTGAGAATGGTCTACAATTTATCACAAGCAATATAGATTAAAAACCATATAAAATATCAATGTGTGTGTGTGTTTAAAACCCAGAACTATCTAGTTTAAAAATCATTTTAAAATAATTAAAAAAACAAATAACCAATTGCTGTCAATTTGTATAGCTTGATAGAATAGAAATGGTTTTACTTGCTGGGTGAAAGAAAGCTAATTGGGAGACATCTTAAATCCCAAAGTCAGACAGCAGCCACTTTAAAAAGCCTTTTTCTCATTTCCAAGAAAGTAGTGGAACAGGGAGAAAGCCAATGGAATTTGTGGACCCCTTTAATCTAAAGCAAGCTTTCTAAAACCTTATTGTAATAAATGTGCTAAATTTGACTGGAAGATAGATAAATGAACTCTGGAACTAACTACAACCTTCTTTATTTTGTTGAAATGGCTACTCCTCAATCCTTGTTGTTGCAAAAAAGAAAAGAAAAACAGTCCACAAGTGTAAAAACATTTTATTAATTTTTATATAACACTTTGAAGAAGATAACAAGGAAATATTTACTATTAAGACCTTAACCCAGAAAATTATTTTAAAAAAATGAAAATACTGTGGGGAAAATGCAGCCCACAGTTCAATGCATTACCAGACTAATCTTATCTCTTTTTTTGGATAGAGTTCCCAGCTTCATAGATGCAGGGAGTGCTGTGGATGTAGGATGTCTTGATTTCAGTAAGGTCTGCAACAAAGTCCCCCATGACTTTCTTACAAGTAACTTGTCAAATGTAGGCTAGGCAATACTATTAAGTAGACCTGTAACTGGTTAAGTGACCGAACTCAAAGGGTGCTCACCGATGGTTCCTCTTCATCCTGGAAATGAGTGACTAGTGGAGTGCCGCAGGGTTCCGTCCCGGGCCCAGTACTGTTCAATATCTTTATTAATGACTTGGATGAAGGTTTAGAGGGCGTTCGTATCAAGTTTGCAGATGACATCAAATTAGAAAGCATAGCTAATACTCCAGGACAGGATGAGAATTCAAAATGACCCTAACAGATTAGAGAGCTTGGCCAAAACTAACAAAATGAAGTTCAACAAGGACAGAAAAAAATGAAATGCAAAGATACAGAATGGTTGATGCCTGTCTCAACTACAATCCATGTGAAAAAGATCTTGGGAGTCTTCCTGGACAACAAGTTGAACATTACCTAACTGTGTGATACAACAGCTAAAAAAGCCAATGGGATCAAAAGGAGTCTAATGTCTAGGATCGATGGAAGTCATGGTGCCTCTCTATTCTGCTTTGGTCAGACTTCACCGGAAATACTGTGTCCAATTCTGGGCACCACATTTCAAAATGGATATTGACAAACTGGAATGTGTCCAGAGGAGGGCAACTAAAATGATCAAAGGTCTGGAGAACAGGCCCTACGAGGAGTGGCTTAAAGAGCTGGGCATGTTTAGCCTACAGAAGAGAAGCCCGAGAGGAGACATGATGGCCATGTATAAATATGTGAGGGGAAGTCATAAGGAGGAGGGAGCAAGCTTATTTTTTGTTGCCCTGGAGATTCGGGATGCAGAACAATGGCTTCAAACTACAAAAAAGGAGATTCCACCTGAACATTAGAAAGAACGTCCTAACTGTGAGAGCTGTTTAGCAGTGGAACTCTTGGCTTCAGAGTGTGGTGGAGACTCCTTCCTTGGAAACTTTTGAACAGAGGCTGGAGGGCCATCTGTCGGGGATATTTTGATTTTACTTTTCCTGCGTGGCAAGGGGTTGGACTGGATGGCCCATGGGGTTTCTTCCAACTTAATTATTCCATGATTCTATGATTCTATAAGGACTAAGATATTTCAGCAGAATCTAATTTATGTCCTTTGTTGCCATAAAGGCTGTAATTAATCCTTTCCAAGCTTAATTCCCATTGCTCCTAAAAGATATTTACAACTACAGATTTTGCAAATACTGTCGGAATTTTATAAAGAGACTAGCTGTACCCGCCACACGTTGCTGTGGCCAACCTTCCCTCCCTCTTTCTCTCTTTCCCTTTTTTCTTTCCTTCTCTCCTTCCTTCCTCTTCCTCTTCCCTTCCTCCCCCTCTTTTCTTTCCCTTCCCCTTTTCTTCTTTCTCTATCTATTCTTGGACTGCAACTCCCAGCAGTCTTCCTGATCAATCTATCTACCTACCTATCTCTATCTAATGTATCTATCTATCTATCTATCTGGAGGGTTGCTGGGGGTTGAAGTCCAGGAATAGGAAATTGGGAATACGCAGGGATTGGGATGCTCTCAAAGAAATCCAAGGAGAAGAAAGCTTGCATCTTCAAAGCAGTGCATTTGGATCATCCTCCTCTCCTAAAGAGCCTGGTGTAGGGGATGCTGGGAGCTATAGTCTGAAAGTGAGTGCGGATATGCCATTGTGTGCTTTGTTTGCCAGGGGGAATCGTTTTTGCTCATGTGCTGTGGCATCTTTTTGCTTTTTTTGCTTTTTAAGTCTCTTCTGCTGTGTTTTTCAGTGTTTTATGAGTGATGGTCACTTGCTTGCCTGATAGGTGTAGTGTGTCCAAATTTGGTATCAATTCATCCAATGGTTTTTGAGTTATGTTAATTCCACAAATGAACATGACATTTTTATTTATATAGATTTCTCTCCTCAAAATTTGACTGCATCAGCCTACCCACCTGAGATCAGAAATTGTTACTATTCCAGGCCATTGGTTGTTGTTCAGTGTTTTATATTGTTTTATATATTTGGTTGTTTTATATTGTTTTATGATGCTGTTATTGAATTTTAATGTGCCATTTTAATTATGTTGTTGAGCTTGTTCCCATGTAAGCTGGCCCGAGTCCTTTCAGGGAGATGGAGGCAAGATACAAAAATAAAGTTGTTATTATTTATTATTTCTCAATCAGAAGACAGAATTAAACAGGATCTTAAAGATCTAACAACTGAATCTGGACAAATCTTAATAGTTACAAAACAAATTACATAAAACCAAGAACAAGCCCTATGAGGAGCGGCTTGTTTTCTGTTTTCTGCTGCCCTGGAGACTAGGACGCAGAACAAGAGAGGAGATTCCATCTGAACATGAGGAAGAACTTCCTGACAGTGAAGCCGTTCAACAGTGGAACTCTCTGCCCCGGAGTGTGGTGGAGGCTCCTTCTTTGGAGGTTTTTAAACAGAGGCTAGATGGTCATCTGTCGGGGGTACTTTGAATGCAATATTCCTGCTTCTTGGCAGGGGGTTGGACTGGATGGCTCATGAGGTCTCTTCCAACTCTATGATTCTATCTATGAAAGAACACAGTGAACCCAAATTACAATGGACCTGGACCAACCTTGGTACGCAGACTCCACATAAACAACTTGAAGTTCTGGTGGAGTTGGAAGGGGCTGAACCTGGTAGGAGGTGAACTATAGTTCACCCACATCCTGACGCATTTTCTAAAAATAGAAAATAATAAAGCTGAGAGATACGACTGAATGAAAACCAAGAACTGGTATTTTAAGACAAGCCCAACAACTTTGTTGTCACCGCACATGAGACATGAGAGAAGCCTCCTTGAAGGATTGCAAGACATCCAGGCATCCCCTGGGCAACGTCTTCGTAGATAGCTGATTCTCTCACCACAGAAGCTGGGCACACAGAGGACTGGGCGACTTGGAAGGCGCTGAACAGACTGTACTCTGGCACGAGATGCAGAGCCAACCTTCAGAAATGGGGCTACAAAGTGGAATCCTCGACATGCAAGTGTGGAGAGGAGCAAACCACTGACCACCTGCTGCAATGCACCCTGAGCCCTGTCACATGCACCATGGAGGACCTTCTTGCAGCAACACCAGAGGCACTCCAAGTGGCCAGCTTCTGGTCAAAGGACATTTAGTATAATGGCAAGTTTTTAACTTTGTGTTTTTAAATACATTATAAGACATCTGCCCTTGCGCTATGCTACTCTGCTGCTGAGTATGCATGCCCAGTGTGGAGCACATCTCACCACGCTAAAACAGTAGATGTGGCTCTTAATGAGACATGCTGCATTATCACAGGGTGTCTGCGCCCTACACTACTGGAGAAATTACACCGCTTAGCCGGTATTGCACCACCTGACATCCACCAGGAAGTAGCAGCCAATAGTGAAAGGACCAAGGCAGAGACATCTCCAGCTCATCCCTTGTTTGGTTATCAGCCAGCACGTCAACAACTTAAATCAAGACATAGTTTTCTTAGATCTACAGAGACACTCGCTGGAACACCTCAGCAAGCGAGAGTCCAAAAGTGGCAGGCTAAAACCCAGAACCTCAATCAATGGCTGATACCAAATGAGAGACTCCCCCCCTGGGCACACAGAGGACTGGGCGACTTGGAAGGCACTGAACAGACTGCGCTCTGGTACCACGAGATGCAAAGCCAACCTTCAGAAATGGGGCTACAAAGTGGAATCTACGACATGTGAATGTGGAGAGGAGCAAACCACTGACCACCTGCTACAATGCAACCTGAGCCCTGCCACATGCACCATGGAGGACCTTCTTGCAGCAACACCAGAAGCACTCCAAGTGGCCGGATACTGGACAAAGGACATTTAATCAACTACCAAGTTTGCAAAATCTGTGTTTTTTTTAATCTGTTTGTTTGTTTTGTTCTGTTAGAAATGTAATACAATGGTATGGTTGCTGATGACACGATAAATAAAATAGCAGTGGAACTCTCTGCCCCGAAGTGTGGTGAAGGCTCCTTCTTTGGAGGCTTTTAAGCAGAGGCTGGATGGCCATCTGCTTTGAATGCAATATTCCTACTTCTTGGCAGGCCCGTAGCCAGGATTTCGTTTTGGGGGGAGGGGGCTAAAAATTTTTCAGGGGGGTTTTGGGGGGGGCTGAGTTTCGGGGGGGGGGCTGAGTCTGAGTGAAAGAGGGTCTACCCTAGCAAACCTTTTGTATCATTACCCCAATGCCCCCATGCTTATGGGATATACTGAGTATGGTGATCAGATCATGATATGAATAAACATAACAGTTTAAATAATGCACCAGTAAGACCTTTTCGCGAACCACCCTGAGAATTTCGGGGGGGGGGGGGGCTGAAGCCCCTCAAGTCCCCCCCCCCCTACATGCCTGCTTCTTGGCAGGGGGTTGGACTGGATGGCCCATGAGGTCTCTTCCAACTATGATTCTATCTATGAAAGAACACAGTAAACCCAAATTACAATGGATCTGGACCAACCTTGGTACACAGACTCCACATAAACAACTTGAAGTTCTGGTGGAGTTGGAAGGGGCTGAACCTGGTAGGAGGTGAACTATAGTTCACCTACATCCTGACGCATATTCTAAGAATAGAAAATAAAAAAGCTGAGAGATATGACTGAATGAAAACCAAGAACTGGTATTTTAAGACAAGCCCAACAACTTTGTTGTCACCAGGGGTGACTCAACCCATTACGCAAAGTAAGCATTTGCAGTATAGTTGATTTTGCCCACGGGCGCTTTTGAGGAAAAATAGACCTTGACATATGCGTGTTGTAGTTACTGGGATGTATAGTTCACCTACAATCAAAGAGCATTCTGAACTCCACCAATGATGGAATTGAACCAAATATGGCACACAGAACTCCCACAATGAACAGAAAATATATATCAATGATTGATTGGGGGGGGGGGGGGCCAAAATACTGTTTGCTTACTGTTGAAAATTACCTAGGGCCGCCTCTGGTTGTCACCGCACATGAGACATGAGAGAAGCCTCCTCGCAGGATAGCAAGACATCTGGGCGTCCCCTGGGCAACGTCTTCGTAGACGGCTGATTCTTTTGCCACAGAAGCTGGGCACACAGAGGACTGGGTGACTTGGAAGGCGCTGAACAGACTGTGCTCTGGCACCACGAGATGCAGAGCCAACCTTCAGAAATGGGGCTACAAAGTGGAATCCTCGACATGCGAGTGTGGAGAGGAACAAACCACTGACCACCTGCTGCCATGCAACCTGAGCCCTGCTACATGCACAATGGAGGACCTTCTTGCGGCAACACCAGAGGCACTCCAAGTGGCCAGATACTGGTCAAAGGACATTTAATCAACTACCAAACTCACAAATTTTGTATTTTGTCTGTTTGTTTGTTTGCTTTGTTCTGTTAGAAATGTAATATAATGGACTGGTTGCCCTGACACGACAAATATAAATACCGCACTATTTGGCTGTTTGCGATAGAGATGAGAGAGGGGTTCTGGTGAGGCCTTACCTCTTGCACCTGGCTGGGGGGGGGGGGGGGTGTCGCTCGTCGGGAGGCGCATGCGCTTGACTGGGAAGAGCTCGCGCCGGCCCTTCGAAGCCCGACCGTTGCCTCCCAACGAAAGCCCTAACGCGACTCCAGGTGGAGCTGTCACCCGACCATTGAGGCGGGGAGTGAAGGAGGGGACACGGTGGCCGGTCCTGCGTGAGGGGGGAATCACGTCAGTGAGCGAGTGAGGCCCAGCGCTCGCTCTTCCTAGCCCAACGAGCGACTCCACACCCCGCCCCCTCGCGCGAGGTTGAGAGGAGCGCGCGCTTCCCTTTGAAGTCCGAACGTTGCCTCCCTCCGCCAGCCCTAACGCTCCTCTTCCAAGAAGAGAGCGCGCGCTCGCTGAGGAAACTTTTAAAGCGTGACTGTTGGGGCGGGGCGCGAGGGCGAGGCGGGGTCACGTGCCGGGTTCTGTGTGAAGCGGGAAGGGCGTGGGTGGGCGGGCCCGGCTGTCGTCGTCGTCGTCGTCGGCGGCCATGTGCTCGGCGTTGCCCGCGGCCGGCGCTTGGCTGTCGCTGCGCGTCTCCTTTGTGGAGGTGCACCCGGTGGGCCCGCTGGTGAGGCTGTGGGGGACCTGCGGGGAGCCGCGGCGGCGGGAGGAGTACGAACGCCTGGCCCAGGAGGTGCAGGCCAAGGCCGGGCCCCGGCTCTCCGCCGCCTCCTCCGCGCCGCTGGCCTCGTCCGAGCTGTGCCTGGTGGAGCGAGGCGGGCGCTGGCTGCGGGCCCGCGTGGTGGGCCGCTCCGCCGAGGAGTACCGCGTCTTCCTGCTCGACGAGGGCCGCACTGTGAGCGCCGAGCCGCACTGCTTGGCCCGCGGGCCCGAGGAGCTCTTCGGCCTGCCCTCGGAGGTGCTGGGCTGCGTGGTGGCCGACCTGGTGCCCGCGGGCTTCCCGAGGAGCTGCGTGGGCTGGGCGCCGGCCGCGCACTACTTCCTGTCCCGCCTGCAGGGCCAAGAGGCCGCGGGCCTGGTGCGAGAGGTGCTGGTCACCGAGGGCCTGGTGGTGCTGGAACTGCCCTGGCTGCTGGCCCAGATGCAGCCCTACGGCATGGCAGGCGTGCTCCCCCCTGCCGCCTTCCGCGCCCTGCTGCAGGCCTCCCTGACCCCTCCGGCGCCTGCCTTGCCCTCCTTGGCGCCACCTTCTCCACCGTCACCTCTGCCTCCTGCTTCCCAGCAGAACCCCGAGGCCACCAGCTTCTTCTACCCCCGACTGGAGCTCAACGTGACGGAGCCCGTCGTGGTCACCCAAGTCTCCGACCCCCACCGCGTGTACTGCCAGCTGCGTAGCTTTTCCAAGGAGATCCAAGTCCTCTCGGAAGGCATGTGCCAGGCTTTCCGGGAGAGCCGCCAAGAGGAGCCCTTGCCCAAGCCGGGCTCCCCCTGTGCGGCCCGAGGCGTCGACGGCTGCTGGTACCGCGCCCTGCTCCTGGAGACCTACCAGGGAGGGGATCCCGAGGCACAGCCGGGGGCCGCTGCCCAAGTCATCTGCGTGGACTACGGCAGGAAGGAGTTTGTCACCCAAAGGTACCTGCGCCACTTGCCGGCGGAATATTTCCGCATGCCTGTCATGACCTACCCGTGTTCCTTGCAAGGCATTACAGATGGAGGGGTCGGCTGGTCCCGTTCGCAAATCAGCCAACTGAAGACGCTGCTGCTAGGGAAGGTGGTGCAAGCACGAATCGAAGCCTATTGCCCTTTTGAACACCTTTACTACGTCACTCTGCACGGGGAAGATGGTCACAATCTGAATTGCCTCTATGGAGTGCAGGCCCATTGTTTGGCACAGAGTTTTCTGCACAGCACTCAAGAGTACACCTCTGAATTAATGACCGAACTGATGAGTGCCAGTTCCCAGAGCAAGACAGAAAAACTTGGCTCTTTACTGGACGTGCTGTCCACACTTACTGCCGCCCCACTGCCTGTGGTGCATCTGAAGGCAGGGGAATACCACAGTGTTCAAGTGACCTTTGTCCATGACCCTACCGATTTTTGCGTGCACCTCCAAGAGCATCGCCAGCCCCTCTGTCGTCTGAAGCAAAATTTACATGATTTCTACTCAACGACCAAGAAACTGGAAGGGGTTCTGCTTGAACCCAAGCCAGGTTCACTGTGTTGTGTTATGTTAAAGGAGAACTCGTATCACCGCGCTCTTGTCACCAGAGTGGAGGGGAAAGGCGTTGAAGTATATTTACTGGACAAGGGGAACTCTGAAATTGTGGATTTGTACAAAGTGAAAGAACTACTTTCCCAGTTCAGAGAACTTCCTGCGGTGGCTCTCAGATGTACATTAGCAAATCCTTCCCCGGGTCAAGCGTGGAGTGTAAATGCCGTTGATTATTTTAGAAAAGCTGTTCTGAGCAAGGAATTGGTCATCAAAGTCCTAGGCATGCAAGGAACCATCTATGAAGTAGAACTTTTTGATTATGCCCTGAAAGGGGAAAATAACCTAGGCAAAATTATGTCCCAGGGAATATATGCTAAGCATGAGAAGGTGCAAGTAGAGAAACATCACAAGGTGATCGATCAGTCTAACAAGGGTGCTTGCTATTTATACCACAGAGGAGTTGCAGAAAATGATTGCAATGTTTTCCCAAATCCTTCCGCCTGCAATCTACAAAACTACTCTGAAATAACACCAGGACTTTATTGTGAAGAGCAGCTAGAAGTTGGAAGTACAGTAGATGTGATAGTATCCTATACAGAATGCCCCAGTATCTTCTGGTGTCAGTTAGCTAAAAACTCCCACGACCTTAGGACTCTTATGGCTCAAATTCAGGATTATTGTGCTCATTCAGTACAGCCTCTTGACTGGCCGATTCCTGTCTGTCTGGCAAAATATTCTGAAGATAACAAATGGTATAGGGCCCTTATCATTAGTGAGGTAAACTCTGCAGAAGAGGTGGAAGTTGTCTACGTTGACTATGGAAATAAAGAACATGTTTCACTAAAGAATGTCCGTGCAACAAAGGAAGAGTTTATGAAAATGAAAGCCCAGGCTTTTAGATGTAGCCTTTACAACTTAATTCAGCCAAAGGGTCAGGATCCTTTTGTTTGGAGCGAAGAAGCTACTGAAGCTTTTCAGGAATTTTTGGATTCAGCAAACAAAACACAACTAAAATGCACTATATTTGCTTTGGCATCATTAAACAGTACAGATCTCTTTAATATTGTGGATTTAATTACACCATTTGAAAGTGCCTGCCATTTTTTAACAAGAAAAGGTTTAGCCAGATCGGTGCATCCTCATACATTTCTGATATCATCGGTTCATCTCCTCTCATACTATCATTCAACCCATGATATCAAAATAGGAAGTGAAGAAAAAGTTTATATTACTCATGTCAAAGATCCTTGTTTCTTTTACTGTCAGCTTGCTAGAGATGCCGATGTTCTGGAACAGCTAACTAAAAATATTAGTAAGCTCAGTAAAAGCTGCCACCGTTTGCAAACATCACAGGCCCCTGGAAGTGTGTATCTTGCAAAGTTTACAGATGGCTGCTGGCATAGGGCAGCAGTAATTTCTGCAAAAGCGAACAAAGAGGTTTTCTTTGTTGATTATGGGAATACACAGTTATTGAAGAATGAAGACCTGGTTGTAGTACCAAATGATGCTTTTGAGATACTTGTCTTGCCAATGCAAGCCATAAAATGCTGTTTGTCTGACGTTCCTGCTAAGATATCAAAAGATGCTGCTGTGTGGTTTGAAAAAAGTATTCAAAATAAGCTCTTAAAGGCTTTGATTGTAGCAAAAGAACCTGATGGGAAACTAATAGTTGAACTATATGATGGTAAAATAAAAATAAATGCAAAGTTGAAAGAAGTGATGGGTTTGCGGGGCAGCCAAGGGATTTTCCAATATGCTAGAAATGAAGCAGCTTTAGCTAAAAATTCACCCAATAGAGAATCACAAACTGAAAAAAGACCATCTTTGATAAGTACTGTTAAACCTGTTTCAGAGATCAAGAGGTGGAGCACTGAAAGTAAGGAAATATTGGATAATACAAAACATGGTTTTTGGAATAAAGAAGGAAGACAAGTGCAGCAGAAAACAGAAAAGAAGATGACAAGATTTCCTGAGCTACTGGAAAGAACTGACAAAAATGATAATGCACCAGGTACAAAGTGCAGTAACTCTGTACCTCTGAAAAGAGAGAAGAAACCTAGTGATGAAAAAACAAGTCAAATTAAAACGAAGATGTGCTCTTCATTTAAAAATATATGTGATCTACCTCAAAAAAATATAAAACCTGGTTTTAAAACGTCAGTGTATATTTCTCATATAAATCATCCTTCTGATTTTTATGTTCAGCTAGTAGAAGATGAGCCTATGCTTAACAGCATTTTAGAGAAATTGAACAATTCTGGAAGAACTGAGAGCTTAACTGAGGAGCAGCTTCATATTGGGGACTTAATGTGTGCAATGTTTTCAGAAGATGGCATGTGGTATCGAGCTGTGGTCAGTGAAAAGCCTTCTAGTGACTTGGTGACTGTTCAGTTCATTGATTATGGGAACACTGCAGTAATTGGTATCGGCAAAACCGGGAGACTCCTTGAAGAATTTTCATCATTCCCAGTGATGAGCATTCATTGCTCACTGGGTGGAGTTAAGACCCCTCACCATGTTGAATGGACACAGGAAGCAATACTGTATTTTTCTGAAAGAGTACTTGAAATTCAAATGAACGGTGAATTTGTGGAGAAAAGTGAGGGCAAATGGGAAATTATTCTTAGTGATGAAAAAGGAAATATAACAGCGGATTTGATTCATGATCACCTTACAGACAAAAAGCCTCTGTTGGGGGAAACATTAGACAAAAAAGAGAATGAGATTAATTTGATAAACCTAGATGACGATGTTTCAGATGAGTATAGCAAACCTTCATATGTATCAGAATCCAGGTTCTTCAACTGGACAATACCTGAAATAGGTCAAACCCTGAGAGCATTTTCGATAATTGCAAAGGGCCCAGATTATTTTTGGTGTCGGTTTACTGAGATAGGAAATAATGATTCAATGGAAAGAGAACTTCAGAGAGCTGGAGAACTTGAAGGAATGTGTGTAGATTATATTCAAAAAGGCTGCCCCTGTCTAGTAAAGTGTAGTAAAGATGGTACATTTTATCGTGCAGTTGTTAGGAATTTTGAAGAGAACACGCTGACAGTCGTTCATATCGATTATGGAACTGAGGAATGTGTTAATACAGAAATGATCAGGCACATTTCTGCTGAACTGTTGGCAATGCCACCTCAAGCGTTTCTGTGTTGTCTCTTCGGATTTAATGCAGAAAACGGTTCGTGGACTGAAGGAGTAAATAAGTTCTTCTGTGATAAAGTAGCTGACTTATCATTCGAAGTTATAGTTGTGGACAAAAGACCCCATTGCCTTCTTGAAATTCCTGTCTTTATTGTTAAGCTGGAATGTGAAAACATAAGCATCAATGAGGAAATGAAATCATTTTGGAAATATAACTGTGAGGACAGTGGCTCAACTTTAACAAATATTCACAGTCCTAAAGATCAGGTCAAGGATACAGAAGAGAATTCAAATACTGTAGTATTTGAAAAGGAACCATTTTGTTCATTAGTGACTCCCTCGACTACTTGTGATTTAGAAGATTTGATAAGTTATTCAGAACTGTTAAAACCTGGAAGTCCTAGTTTAGCTGATGATGGGAACAGAATATTAGTGGAAAGGGTTTCATTAACTCCACCCTCCTGTCAAACCAGGCATGACTGTACAACTGCTGAAGAGTTGCCTTCAGATAACTCAGAAGATTTATCAGACTTCATAACTCTTTCACCAGATGATAATATTCAGATGCCAAAGATAGAGGTGTTAGGAGGGCATTCATTTGACAGCATTGTGGGGTTGCAAGCAGCTGACAACCCCATCTTGGATGACAAACCACAACAGAGATCAACACTTGGTTTACTTGAAGTGCCACCTGTGAAAGAAGAGTTAGAACAGCATTCTTTGAGTAATACATTACTGGATGAACAAGTTGAAACTTCAAGCTGCAATACAAGTAAGTCACATAATCACAGAATTTTAGAGTTTGAAGGGACCACAAAGGTCATCTAAAGCACTCCTGAATGGATAGATAAAACACTCCAAAAAGATGCCCAACTAATTGCTGTTTACCTCAAAAGGTGCATCTGCATTGTAGAAATAATACAGTTTGACACTTTAACTGCTGTGACAGTATTCTGGAATCAGGAGTTGTGGCAAGGTTTTCAGCTTTCTCTGCTAATAAGTGCTGGCGTTTCACTAAACTACAAATCCCAGAATTCCATAGCACTGAGCCATGAGCAAACTTAATTAATTCTACAGTATAGATGCATCCATAATCTACCATTCCCCAGGGTAATGCCTTCTATTAATTGGTGCTTAATGTCATTACTGGTCCTGAGAGCTAGCGTTAAACTGCATAGCCTGACTATTAGAAATACAGTAGCTTTCTATAACAATTGGAGGCCAAATATTCAGACAGTTGATGCGTATAAATAAGTTTAAGGTTTTTTCCCCCTATTTTGTTTGTTTTTGTTTTAACAAACAGGCCTAGACGATTATGGGGCTCAGGGAAACATTTATCCCAATTGGTCCTAATTAAGCCCCCAGGAGCAATAATCTGCCTTATAGCAAGATAGTTTGAGCCATACATTTCCTACACTTACAGTGAGGATTACAGGTAAGCTCCAATGGAGCTGGGAAGCCTGAAAGGATTAACAGTAATTCTAGAGTTCCTAATGTGCTGGGCCAGTCATGAAACTGGCCCAGCACTCTTGCTCAAAAAAATTATTCTCTTTGACAATTTTAATTAGGCAAAATAACTGTTGAAGTAGTGGCTAGGAAGGATGAACATTGTTTTCTAGTGATCATCCCCATTTAATAGTATTTATCAAACGGAAATGTACATATGTTTGAACTTAAATTTTCCCTCTAGAAAGTTCATGGCAAAATTGTTGTTTAGTAGATTCTCAAACTGGGTTCGGGTGGGTCTCGATGACTTCCCAGAACCACCTTCCTTGATTTCCCCTGTACATAGTTGGCCTGACAAACAGCACAACTTTGCAAATGGATGGGAATCTGGAGGAAAGGAAAATGAAACAGAGCAGGGCGATTATTGGGTGACGGAAAGAGATTTAAGCCTTGGAAGAAGATTCTGGGAAGGTTCTACCACTGAGGCTCACCTGAAGTTGATAGTACCTCCTCTGCCTCAGTAAAATGATGTGGTTTGGGGCAGTGATATCAAGAAATCTGCTTGTGCAGGGAGCTGGAAGAACAAGGTAAACATGAGCAAAATGACCAGAAAATAAGAGGCTTGGGAGGTGGAAGTTTTTTCTATAGAAAAAGGGCCACAGATGTCTATTAAGGGGACAAACATTCAAATTTGTGAGAATGGTAAGAAAGGAAATAGTAAGCATTAGTAAGTTGGGGGGGGGGGGTATTATAGATGAAGTGAAAGCAAAAGGAAGCGTTGTGTTAAGTGGTTGTTGTCGGGTATGAAACAAGTTAATAAAAAGCAGTGTAAAAAGAAGAAAAGTGTCAGGATGTGACAAGAATGTTTCAAGGGACATAAGGGATTGGTTGGGCGAGGAAAACCACTGGGTCAACTAATTCACTCCAAAACCAACATCTGTACTTAACTTGAAGGCAGACTGTGGAACTTCATGCTGTAAAATTTTAGCAGTTTCCTACAAGGAAATAATGATTATCCTTAAGTGTCAGGCAATTGTGTCAAAGTTCATTTTCATCTTTCAGAGCTTTATTGCTGGCAGACTTCATTTTCTCCATTTTCTCAGTGATGTCACATCTTTTAGAGTTCCTGCTGTATGGCATCTATTTGCTTTCTGGGATTCATCCCATATTTTTTTTCCTGTGTTGCCTATTTCTGTCGAACTGGTATTCCAAACTATACCATACTTCCAAGACCCAGTCCCTTGAAGTCCATTATATTGTCATATATTATTTTTGTTTATAGGTGCTAAACTGTTGGATGATACTGCAAGGTTCTAATTTCCTTTTTGCAGAGAGGATGTTAGCAGCTATATATATTCAACCCCCCCCCCCTCAAAAAAAAAAAACAACACTATTCACCTACTCACTTTTGCTATTCTACAACCTCCAAGGACAAAAAAAAAGTGTCCTGTCTCATGCATAGTATCGTCCACAGTATTTGTGCTGTTTTGCAAATAAATAACTGTTTTGCAAATAAATAACTGTTTTGCAAATAAATAACTATACAAATTGCCATAGTTCTATAGATGCTGCTTGTAATTGACAGAGAAGTATTCATCTTCTGAAAATACAACTGAGAAATACTGATATAGAATTGTAGAGTTGCAAGAGACCACATGGCCCATCCAGTCCAACCCCCTGCCATGCAGGAAAAAGCACAATCAAAGCACTCTTGACAGATGACCATCCAGCATCTGTTTAAAAGCCTCCAAAGAAGGAGCCTCCACCACAGGCTGAGGCGGTGAGTTCCACCATTGAACAGCTGTTGTGGTCAGGGAAGTTCTTTCTAACGTTCAGGTGGAATCTCATTTCCTGTAATTTGAACTCATCATTTATGGTCCTAATTTCCAGGGCAGCAGAAAACAAGCCTTCTCTCTCTTCCTTATGACAGCCTTTCAAATATTTATACATGGCTATCATGTCTCTTTTCAACCTTTTGTACTGCAGCCTGAACATACCCAGCTCTTCAAGCTGCTTCTCATAGGGCATGGTCTCCAGACCTTTGATCATTTTAGTTGCCAGTTTGTCAATATCTTTCTTGAAATGTGGTGCCCAGAATTGGAGACAGTATTGAAATAGCCTATGTTACTGTATAGGGACCCTAACATGTTTGATTTAATGTTAATATGTGCAATGGCAGTACAGTGTGTTGTGAGTCAGCATTCTGACACCATACCTACTACTAGTAGTAGGAGAAGAAGAAGGAGTGATGCAGAAACAGATGCAATTGGCTGCAATTCAAGCCTGCTTATCTAGCGTTTTGTGTTCCTGTTTGAAAACATCCTTTGAACTGTTTGCACTGACTTTTAAAGTGCCTTATTAAGTTTGTTTTGCATTAAAATACTACTATTTTGCCCCTCAACTGCTGTTTAAGACATTCTGTGTTCTGTGGGTCACGACACAGTTTTATGTTAAATGTTATTTTCTTTGGTCAATCTGGTTTGTAACTCTTTAGATTTGCTTTGTATTCTATTATTATATCCTTAAATCCTGGCCTAATTTTAGTTGCATTTGAGCCTGCTCTTCTTTGAACTGAAATAATAATGAAAAAATCTGATGTTTCAACATCTTTCAGTGTTTTTCATAAACAGTAAAATAAGAGTCAAATATTGAAAGTGGTACAATTTTATTTTCTGCCAGTAAAGATGGTAATTGATTCACTTGTTGGCTTATCTCTTCTTCTAATGGGGACAATTTTCTTCCTTTCTCTTTGTCTTTTTAATTACTTCCCTTAGTTGATTTATTTACGGTCTTTATAGTTCTGATCATTTCATGTTCATCGTGGACTTTGGGTTTGTTAAGAAATGTCATCCAAGATTTTTTTAAATTTGTGGTTCAGTCTTCCTCCTCAAAGGCATGGTTTCCAGACCTTTGATAATTTTAGTTGCCCTCTTCTGGACACCAAAACAGAAGAGGGGGGCACCATTACTCCCCTAGATATTATACTCCTTTTCATGCAGCCCAAAATCCCATTGACTTTTTTAGCTGCAATTCATTATGCTTTAGAACTACTTCATAAAATTAACCATTTATCATCCCCATGCAATGTCTCGAATCCTGTTGATTAGTCTTACCTAGAGTAGACCCATTCAGTCAATTGTAAGCACAGTATACATAAGTAGACTCCATTGGATTAAATTGTGTTTCTGAAGTTGTGGCGAACAATAGGATTCCAGACATTTTAGTCAAAATAATTGAACCAAAAAGCATGGTCAGCTTATCCATGGATTAGTATCAGTACTATTCCTTAATGTTTATCAAGAACTCTTACTATAGTGGCAAAATGCAAAAACTTACTCCATCCTGGAAGAGCCTAAAAGAAGTACTGACTTCCCCTGTACTTTCTCCAGCAACAAGAGATAGTTAGCATCTTGAGATGGTGCTGCTACTTCTCCCTCTGCTGAATTACCTTTGACTTATCCACAAGTAATTTCAGAATCCATAATTTTACATTGTGAAATACCTTATATATGGGACCCAGTTTAAAGACAAAATACTTTTTTTCATGAAACAAAATGTGTGTACACCAAATTATCAGAAAGCAATGGTGTCATTATTTTCAGCCACTTTGTAGACATTTTTGGATTTTGGGGTATTCAAGATTTCAGAAATCCAGAGAAGGGATGTTCAACCTCTATTCATTTTTCAGTTTTAAAGAAACAACAAAATGGGAGCTCTGAAATGTGTCAGAACTGTTTAGAGATTGCCACTCTTAACTGGAGGTGGCAGTCCTGTTATTTAAGTGGCTTATATACTTACAAAAATAAAAGCGCTGAAAACTTTGTTTTACAGAAAAAGAAGAAAATACTTCCAATTTAAAGGGATTTGATATTGGTTCCAAATGCATGGTTTGGTCAAACACTCAGTGGTACAAGGCTAAGATTCTAGACGTATCTCTTGAAGGAACAAAGGTAAGAAGACTTGAATGTATTGAATTAGCCACAACTCCTTGGTTCTGTTAGTAGTATTTGACCAGTATATAAAGTGGTGGAATTGTTTTATGTCCATGGCTGAAAGGTGTATTTTTATTTAAAGGTCTTGATTCTTTCAACTGGGAAAGAAGAGATAGTCAATCCAGTAGATGTATGGAACTGGATTCCTGAACTGGATCCAAGTCCAACTGAGGTACAGTTCTTCTTGAAAATTCAGAAAATATTCCTGTGTTATTTAAAAAAGGGAGGAATAGAGTGGGAAGAGAAAGAAATGTGACAGCATCTTTAAGACTGATTTTTGTTTTAGCAAGTTCTGTGGGTTTTCAGATGCAGTACCCAGTATATGCAATTTTGGATAGGGCAGTACAAAATATGATAGGATACAGAAAATAGCTGCCATGTTTCTTGTCCTAAATTTTAAAGGAGTGAGCAAGATGATACATATATTTCAGATCTTTACAGTGCTCATTTTGTGTTGATATGTGAAAGCAGTAAATCTGCTAACCAAAAGTGAGTTTCTCTGAGTTCAAAACTGAGAAGTTTCTTTGTGTTATATGTGCAGTAGCAAGGACTCCTGTATTCTTAGGTGTAGTGTGCCATGAAGCCATTGTCAGTTCATACCTTTGCTAAATGATTGCAATGTATGAATATAATACAATTTGGTAGTTTCTCTTTCTAGTCTTGTTTTGTAATTCCCACAACCTGTAAATCCCTTACTGGATTTGAATCAGGATTATGAATCAGTTTTTGGTCAGCTTTAGATTTGGTTTGGTTATTTGGGGTGCTGATTCAGAAAATTGCATTGGATGGACCACATCGGCTCTAGTTTCTGATACAGAACATGCCATCCAGTAATGGTCATCTGCTCGCCCACAGAAAACCATATTTGAAAAATCTAGAGCTGATGTGGTAGAAGTAATCTTTCGTGGGTAGTCAGCTTCTCCCCTCCTGACATCCCCATTAAGGGTTTCACGAGACCAGTCACTCTCGTTGCCTCATGGTTTCGAAGCAATGGTGTAGTAATGATGAGGCCGCGGACCATATTTTTGTTCTTGCAGACCACTGGTGGTTCATGGACCACAGGTTGGGAAAGGCTTTTGTAGATAGAGACTGGCCCCTGTAATATTTCTCTCACAGTAGTAGATGATGAGACAGTATTCATGAAAGTGACTGGTTGTTTACAATTTGGAGGTCAATAAAGATCTGCCTCCAAGAGCTTGCGAGAGGGCTGTGTTCTACAGAATTGATTGTAGCTTATTGACAATGCACTTGAGTAGTCTCATCTGGGAACTGAAGGTGAACATGGGTGTCTGATCAATGTGTGGTTCTCATATGTCTTGCAGTAGATTGCTCCTAGTTTAAAATCTTGCCTTGCTATTGTAGTTTGAGAAATAACTATTGTAAATCCAAGAGTTTTGAGTTTCTGTCTTGTGGCTCTGAGCATATAAAGTATCAGAGGACTTGGCTTGGTAGTGTGTTCTGGGTGGAATATAAGCATGAATTTTCAGTAGGGAATGATATTTAAAAGTGCATTGTGCAGTTTCGTAGTGGTAGCATGAAACTAAATTATTTGGATTGTTCTAAAATCAAATTGACAGTAGGCTACAAGTTGCTAAAATCCTGATAGATTAAAAAAAAGCGCTGTATATATTACAGTAGAGCCAACATGGTGTGGTGGCCAACAGTTAGAGACTAGGGTTCACATCCCTGCCATGGAAACCCACCGGGTGACCCAGAGCAAACCCACTCTTAGTCTCACAAAACTCTGTGATAACTTCACCTTACAGTTGCCATAAGTCATATTTGTCTTGAAGGCACATTAAAACAATGTATTGTACCATATATCTGTTTTAAAGTAAAATATATTTTATCAGTGAGTCTTAGTTCAATACTGATTATATTACTAAGCATGTCACATATGTATCTGCCTGTTTTGTTGTATCTTTCTCTTAAAACCAATATTTTGCTCCCTTAGACGTCTGAGGATACTTTTTCAAAAGGGAAAAGTTGAGGACAAGTTTCAAGAGGCAATTTGTAAATATGCCTGGTTTTGAAAAATCTTAATCTCAATTACAGCATTAGGAAACAATTCCATTATCAGAATGTAACAATGCAGATAGTTTTATATTTGAGTTTTGGAGATCACAAGAAGATTAGAAACAAGGCTTATGACATGAATAGAAGCTATACTGTCAGTCTCATGAAAGACAAAAGTCAGGAGCTTTTTTTTCCCCTCCAAATTGGATCTGTAGCTAAATTATGTCAGTTCTTCATTTGCGACATAATAAACAAATATAGGAAAAATATGACCAGGGAGTAGATAATAGCTATTCACTCTTTTCCCTCGTCTTCCATTGTTCTATTTTGGTCCCTGTCTTAGTCCAGCTGCTATCAAAATTCTTTTCCTCCTCCACTGCTCTCATGTACCACGCCGAAAGACAAGACTTAGGGATACCACTCCTTATAGACTAGCTCCACTGGCTGCCAGTCTGCTTTCAAGCACAATTCAAAGTGCTGGCTTTAGCCTATAAATCCCTAAACGGTTCTGGCCCAGCTTACCTATCCGAACATATCTCCCTCATCACAGAGATTAAGATCTTCTGGGGGGGGGGGGTCCTGCTCTAGGTCCTGCCTGCTTTGCAGGTGTGGTTGGTGGGGATGAGAGATGGGGCCTTCTCAGTAGTGGCTCTTTGACTCGAGCTCTCTCCCCAGTGAGATTTGATCAGCACCCTCCCTCCTGGCCTTTAGAAGGAAAACAAAGACATGGTTATAGAACCAAGTTTTTAACCAGTAAAGTAACGTAGTACAAGTAAATATGGAATATGTGAAATAGACATTTGGAATGGCCCGTTCTACGAGTTTGGATCATGTGATTTTAATGGTTTATTTTGTGTTTTTAATTTTTATGATTTCATGTTTAAATGTCCTAGGACACCAGGAGACTAGAATCAAGCTCCCCACTCCCCAGTTCAGCCATGGAAATTGACTGGGTGATTTGGGACAAGGGCACTTTCAGGAAGGAAAAAGCAGAGAAACTCGCTCTGCACCAATTCTGGCATGAAAACTTTACAGGTTTATTGTAGGGGTGCCATATTTACAGGAACATACAGAACAGTAATGTTTTAACAACCATTTGAATATGATTTCCTGCTTCTTGGCAGGGGGTTGGACTGGATGGCCCACGAGGTCACTTCCAACTCTTTTGATTCTGTGATGTCAGTGATTGTCTCTCAGTTCTTTAAAAGCAATCAAAGTTCTGATAATAAATAATTACCGTAGTTGGTTTTCAAAAGCAGTGGTGCCAATGGAATTTCCTTGCTATGGTCCATTAATTAGAATTGTTGAATCTTGTTATAAAAATAACTTTTATATTCAGAAAGGAAGTAGGAAGGATTCTTCTTTAATTAATCCTCCTTGCTAGTGGTAACAGTTCATTTAGTGTCGTATTATAAAGTGTGTAAATAAGGTAGAAAATGTATGCTTGCTTTAATACGAATCTATACAACTAGTTGTGTTGATTTAAAATATATCTCTTTTTTTTTGGACAGGAAGAAGCAGCTACTAGTTTAAATGAAAGCAATTCTCTTTGTGACAACTATGCAAACAATACATCGACATAATGGAATCATCTTTCACTTAGATTTTCTCTCAGTTTGATATTGACAGTATGAGTCAATGGACTAACTGTTCAGATGATGAACATCTTGCACTACTATTTGTTGAAAATATTGAAAATCTCATTGGTTAAACACTTGGGACTTGTTTTTGAAAGAATAAGATTTAATTTGTTTTTGAGTGAAGTTTATTTAAAAGCATTTTGAAAGCACTATGGGTATATATGAAAGTGTTACTTTTTGTTTAATGTAGCAAAAATAAAGTTTGTTTAGAGAAATGCTGATTTTTCCCGCTTCATTTTTTGCTTCATGGAAAGACTGTATTCTTAGCAGTGATAGATTATGTACCTTATGGATTATAGGTAGCAGCATGTGACCATTTAAAAACCTTTACAAGTAACTAGGTAATTTTTGTTAGATTTTGAATGCAAAAGCACAATCAGTTGTTATGCTTTTGCCTATATGGGGTTTTATTTTAGAGAAAACTATTTGAGGGAAAATATTTATACTAGGAAGAAAAAAAAAGAGCTTTCCACAGTAGGGAAATACATAAAGATAGCACTGATGAAATTGTTTTCTATTTCTGTTGCTAACTTTGCAGAAGCTTACCATCTTTGGGTCCAGTATCTGGGATTTTACACGTGTTGACTAGTTGACAGGTGCTGTGCCACTGAAGTAACTGATAACACTAAATGGGTTTTGCCTGCATCTGTGGCTGGCATCTTCAGAGGTTCTATAATGGCCATACAGCCCAAAAAACTCACAACAGCCCAGTGATTCCAGCCATGAAAGCCTTCAACAATACATAGCATAGGTTGTCTAAGGCTTCATGGCTGGAATCACTGGGGTGTTGTTTGGTTTCTGGGCTGTATGGCCATGTTCTTAGCAGCATTTTCTCCTCATATTTCTCCTCCATCTGTGGCTGGCATCTTCGCTGGATCCTCTGAAGGTGCCAGCCACAGATGCTGGCAAAACATCAGGAGAAAATGCTGCTAGAACATGGCTATACAACTCAGAAACCACACAATACCCAATAGCATAGATTGCAGCAGTTTCCTCACCATCCATACCCAGTAATATTACATAGCTACTGAAACAGAATTCTGGCCTCCTCAAAATTCCTCAGGACTTTGGGGGTATAGTTTTGGAGTGAAGGTCTTCTCCACATCAGCTTGATATCAGGGAAATGAAAACCACAGAGAAAAACCTGTTTGGGGGCTCCATATCAGGCAAAAAAAAGTCCTCAGACTTTTTAAACAGAGGGCCAGGTCACAGTCCCTCAAACTGTTGGAGGGCCGGATTATAATTTGAAAAAAAAATCATGAATGAATTCCTGTGCACACTGAACATATCTTATTTGTAGCGCAAAAACACTTAAAAGCAATACAATAATTAAAATGAAGAACAATTTGAACAAATATAAACTTATTAGTATTTCAATGGGAAATGTGGACCTGCTTTTGGCTGATGAGATAGGATTATTGTTGTGTGCGTTCAAGTCGCTTCAGACTTAGGTTGACCCTGAGTGAGGGCCGGGTAAATGACCTTGGAGGGCTGTATCCAGTTCCTGGGCCTTAGTTTGAGGACCCCTTCTCTAGGTAGTGAGGGTTATCAATACAAACCAATACTTTGTTTCAGTTTTCCGATTAATCCCGTATGGGAGTAGTGATGACAGAAAAGACAACAGCTCAAGGTCAGTCATGTCTCACAGAACTTGCCCCAATTTTTAAGTGCCCTTCTACTGGAACAATATATCAACTTAAAAGGTTGAAGATTGGGAACCTCTTTAATTCAAGGCAAGTTTTTTTCTTCTTCTCCAATTATGTTTGGCTAATCTCAGAAGAAAATAGAAAAGCCAGCTTTTTCGCTGGCTAGCACCTTCCCCCTCCCTTGGAATTCTGAAAAGAGGAAGACTGAACCACAAATTTAAAAAAAAAAACCACTTGGATGACATTTCTTAACAACCCCAAAGCCCACGATGAACATGAAGTGATCAGAACTATAAAGACCGTAAATAAATCAACTAAGGGAAGTAATTAAAAAGACAAAGAGAAAGGAAGAAAATTGTCCCCATTAGAAGAAGAGATAAGCCAACAAGTGAATCAATTACAATATTTGCTGGTAAATAAAATTGTACCACTTTCAATATACTTTACTGTTTATGAAAAACACTGAAAGATGTTGAAACACCAGATTTTTTCATTATTTCAATTCAAAGAAGAGCAGGTTCAAATGCAACTAAAATTAAGTCGGGATTTAAGGATATAATAATAGAATACAAAGCAAATCTAAGGAGTCACAAACCAGACTGGCCAAAGAAAATAACATTTAACATAAAATTGTACTGCCATTGCACACATTAACATTAAATTAAACATGTTAGGGTCCCTATACAGTAACATAGGCTACTTCAATACTGTCTCCAATTCTGGGCACCACATTTCAAGAAAGATATTGACAAACTGGCAACTAAAATGATCAAAGGTCTGGAGACCATGCCCTATGAGAAGCAGCTTGAAGAGCTAGGCATGTTTAGGCTGCAGTACAGAAGGTTGAAAGGAGACATGATAGCCATGTATAAATATTTGAAAGGCTGTCATAAGGAAGAGAGAGAGGCTTGTTTTCTGCTGCTCTGGAGACTAGGACCAAGAGCAATGGGTTCAAATTACAGGAGAAGAGATTCCACTTGAACATTAGGAAGAACTTCCCGACCATACGAGCTGTTCAGCAGTGGAGCTGTGTGCCTCAGAGTGTGGTGGACGCTCCTTTGGAGGCATTGAAACAGGCTGGATGGCCATCTGTTAAGGGTGCTTTTATTGTGCTTTTCCTGCATGGCAGGAGGTTGGAGTGGTTAGCAGCCACCTCTCCACAAAAGTCAACATTGACACTGAAATACAACACTGCCTGAGCTCTGTGAGTGCAGCATTTTTCTGAATGAAGCAGTGTTTGAGGACTGGGACATCCTAGGGAGACCAAGGTGCTTGTTTATAAATCCATTGTCCTCCTGACCCTGCTATACGCCTGTGAAATGTGGACAGTCTACAGATGTCACACTCAACTCCTGGAACGATTTCATCAGCGCTGCCTCAGAAAATTCCTGCAAATCTCTTGGGAAGACAGGCAGACAAATGTCAGCATGTTGGAAGAAGCAAAGACCATCAGCATTGAAGTGATGCTCCTACACAATGAACTCCGCTGGACTGTCCACGTTGTCTGAATGCCTGATTACTATCTTTCAAAGCAGTTACTCTAATCCCAACTCAAGAACGGGAAATGTAATCTTGGTGGGCAGGAAATGAGAATTAAAGATGAGCTTAAAACCAACCTTAAAACTGTGACATAGACATAAGAAATGGAAAGCCCTGGTCCTTGAGCGCTCTAACTGGAGATCAGCTGTGACCAGCAGTGCTGCAGTGGAGGGCAAAATCGAGAAATGTGCCAAGAGAAAGGCGCATCAAGCCAACCCTGACCGGGACTACCTTCCACCTGGAAAACAATGTCCTCACTGCGGGAGAACATGCTCTATTCTATCAAGAATAGAGCTCCACAACCACCTACTGACCCACCGCCAAGACACTACACTTGGAGGACCATCATCCTCAGACTACGAGGGATCAACTAAACCTAAAAACGTGGATGGCCATCTGTTGGGGGTGCTCTGATTGTGCTTTTTCTGCATGGCAGGGGATTGGACTGGATGGCCCATGTGGTCTCTTCCAGTGCTACTATTGTATGATTGGTTAAAATACAAAGTTGATCTTATATTTGGTTTTTTTAATCTAGTTGTTTTTATGTTTTTACTCTTTTTCTTTAATGTGCCCGGCCGGAAACATATATATAGATAGATAGATAGATAGATAGATAGATAGATAGATAGATAGATAGATAGATAGATAGATAGATAGCACACTGCTGTCATGACCGGCATTTACAAGATCCTCATTTTTCATATCTTCATGCGTATTAGAATGCACACCAGCTTTACAACTCTTTTACATGTTTTGACCATACTGCCTAACATCCAATTCCTTAACTTTTTTTTCCCTTGTGTCAGGAGTGACTTGAAAAAACTGCAAGTCACTTCTGGTGTGGGAGATTTGGCCATCTTCAAGGACGTTGCCCAGGAGATGCCTTCCTGTGGGAGGCTTCTCTCATATTTATTTAGTCGTGTCAGGAGCGACCTGAGAAACTGCAAGTCGCTTCTGGTGTAAGAGAATTGACCATCTGCCAGGACGTTGCCCAGGGAACACCTGGATGATTTTTGATGTTTTGTCATCCTTGTGGGAGGCTTCTCTCATGTCCCCGCATGAGGAGCTGGAGCTGATAGAGGGAGCTCATTTGCCTCTCCCTGGATTCGAACCTGCGACCTGTCGATCTTCAGTCCTGCCGGCACAGGGGTTTAACCCACTGCGCCACCGGGGGCTCCATGGCTTCTCTCATGACCCTGCATGAGAAGCTGGAGCTCACAGATGGGAGCTCACCCCACTCCCTGGATTTGAATAGCTGACCTTTCAGTCTTAACTAACTCCCATATATTAGTTATTCAGTACACTTCTTGGGTATTTACTTTGAATCCAAATATCTTCAGATTAAGAGATTTTGTGTCAATCAACTTTATTTAGCAAATCATATCCTTCGAAACCTTCAGTGTGAGCTATTTCAGTAGCTAGATTCATTGCCAGATGTGACCTAGAGATGTGTGCGAACTGACTAGAATAAAGAATGACTATTAATATTGTAACAGATAGACAAATAATGTAAAGATCTCACATCTGGAAAAATATAATGCTACAAAAATGGAGAAGGTACAAAAATTGTACTGAACTGTATACATCAAGCATTCTACAGAATGGTCAATAAACAAATAGCACCTATCAATCAAGAGTTTAAAAGTGCAGAGTATTCTATTGTTCAGACTGAGATGCCACTGGAGGTAAATCAATGTTGGTGCCTTGAATGACATTGAGACCTTTGCCATCTAAGAGAGCGTCCCACTGGTTAAAATCTTTCTTCAGGCCTGCAGAATAGAAAGGCAAATCAAATGAGAACATAGCAATACCCAAAAAAGCAAAATAATGATGAAAAGCATAAATGGGAATTTTAAGGAAGCTGATTTATTACTAAACCAATATTTTCTGGGGATGGACAAATGTAATTCAGACAAAACAGAAGTGCTTCTGGTCAGCTGAAAAGAAGATAAGGAGATCAGAATGTCCTAATAGGTAAGCTATGTTGCTAACTTCCTTATTCTCGTGGTGCAATGGATTAATAATAATAATAATAATAATAATAATAATAATCTTTATTTATACCCCACCACCATCTCCCCAATGGGGACTTGGTGCGGCTTACATGAGGCCAAGCCCAAACACAAATTACAGCAGCATAAAACCGAAAATGCAACCCGAAAATGCAGACAGTAAACAATAAACCCTTGTGCTGTTAAACCCTTGTGCTGGCAGTTCTGCTGACCAAAAGGTTAGTGGTTCGAATCCGGGGATCAGGTTGAGCTCCCATCTGTCAGCTCTAGCTTCCCTTGCGAGGAAATGAAAGAAGCCTCCCACAGGATGGTAAAACATCTGGGTTTCCCCTGGGCAATGTCCTTGCAGACGGCCAATTTTCTCACACCAGAAGCAACTTGCAGTTTATCAAGTTGCTCCTGGCACAAAAAAAATATCCTCCCAAATCCCGTTGGCCATGTGGATTCGGATGATGACTTCACTATGTCAGCTTCCCAATTCAAAACTATCCCTGACACCACTTGTCCTTGGCCATTAAGCAGACTAGCAGACTTCCTATGAAGGCCTACCATTATTGACTTAAATGGAGCTTAGTTCCAAAGAACTGGCACCTGAGCGCCTTCTACATACAACAAGTCCACTGTAATACCTTTCCTATGTCAGGTCTAAGCTACATCTACACCAGGGGTCCTCAAACTAAGGTCCGGGGACCAGATACGGCCCTCCAAGGTCATTTACTTGGCCCTCACTCAGGGTCAATCTAAGTCTGAAACGAGTGAAAGCACACAACAACAACAATCCTATCTCATCAGCCAAAAGCAGGTCCACACTTTCCATAGAAATACTAATAAGTTTATATTTGTTAAAATTGTTTTTCATTTTAATTATTGTATTGTTTAAAGTGTTTTTTGTACTAAAAAAAAGACATGTGCAGTGTGCATAGGAATTCATGGGTTTTTTTTCAAATTATAATCCAGCCCTCCAACAGTTTGAGAGACTGTGACCTGGCCCTCTGTTTCAAAAGTTTGAGGACCCCTGATCTACACTGTAGAATTAATGCAGTTTGACACCACTTTAACTTCCATGGCTCAGTGCTCTGGAATCCTGGGGTTTATTGTTTGTTGAGGCACCAACACTCATTGGCAGAGAAGATTAAAAACCTTGTAAAACAACAACTCAGTGATTCCATAATAATGAGCCATGTAGTTAATTCTACAGCAACGATGCACCCTGTGTCTTACACACATTGTGTTCCAATTAGTATTTGCTAGATATCTGAGGGATGGCAGACCTATGATATGTGCCCCTGGATGACTGCTTAGAAAAACAGTCTTGCCATATTGTGTGATCCTCATTTCTGCCATTACATCAGTGGGAACATGAGATCCCACAACTCAGGCTGGTCAAAATCTGTTGTGGTGAGCTATTCCTTTGGCAAATAATCCTCAGCAGCCCATTAAAAGAATCTTAACTGGCTTATGATGGCCAGAGATAAAGTATTATCTCGACCAGGGGTCCTCAAACTAAGGCCCGGGGGCCGGATACAGCCCTCCAACGTCATTTACCTGGCCCTCGCTCAGGTTCAACCTAAGTCTGAAACGACTTGAAAGCACACAACAACAACAACAACAACCCTACCTCATCAGCCAAAAGTAGGCCCTGACTTCCCATTGAAATACTAATAAGTTTATATTTGTTAAAATTGTTCTTCATTTTAATTATTGTATTGTTTTTAAGTGTTTTTGCACTACAAATAAGATATGTGCAGTGTGCATAGGAATTCATTCATGTTTTTTTTTTCAAATTATAATCCGGCCCTCCAACAGTTTGAGGGACTGTGACCTGGCCGTCTGTTTAAAAAGTTTGTGGACCCCTGATCTCAACACTTAAATATTCGCTATTTCATACATTACCCATGCACAACCGTTTGGATCACTGTAAGCTACAGATCAAATGTAATAACAAGGAGCAACTTACCTAAACATTTCTGTAAGAAAGCTAACGAAGCTTTGTTGCTAATATCAATGGCTGTGTTGGGGTCTATTTCTCCTTTCAGATTGAAAATCTTTCCAACAATACTACCAACGAGGAATGTAAAGTCTGGAAAACTCTGATGTACGGAACCTCTGAAAATAGCAAATAAATTTTTACACTAGTATGGTCAGTAAAGGGTACATAAGGATACACAGTACATTTCAAAATCATGACAATATTTTTTTAAAAAAGTACAATAGTGTTTTCTTATCGGGACAAAAAAAAAAAACCCTACTCACAATCACAGTTGAACTCGGAAGGGAAAACTTGCTTTATTCCTTCTGTTGACTAGGATTCTACTATTGCTCTGTACTAAGATTCTTACCTGCCCAAGCCTGGATTTATACTGCCATGTAATGCAGCTCGATCAGTGTAAATCCATACAATACTGTTTAACCGCATATGGAGCCGCGGTGGCGCAATAGGTTAAACTCTTGTGCTGGATGAACTGCTGACCTGAAGGTAGGTGGTTCGAATCCTGGGAGTGAGGAGCGCTCCCGTCCATCATGTGGGGACATGAGAGAGAAGCCTCCCACAGGATGGCAACATATCCAGGCATCCCCTGGGCAACATCCTTGCAGTTGGCCAATTCTCTCACACCAGAAGCAACTTGCAGTTTCTCAAGTTGTTTCTGACATGATAAAAACAAAAGTTGAATCGCATTAAGCTGTATTATATGGGTCTACGTCAGTGGTTCCCAACCTGTGGCTCCCCAGGTGTTTTGGCCTACAACTCCCAGAAATCCCAGCCAGTTTACCAGCTGTTAGGATTTCTGGGAGTTGAAGGCCAAAACATCTGGGGACCCACTGGTTGAGAACCACTGGTCTACATTGACCATGTAATGCAGTTTCACACTGGCAGAGTAGATCCAGCCTAAAATGTCTGAGTAAAATACAGTAATCCTCCAGCTGTACTGGGTGAACATTTGGGGGCTGGGATCTAGTATATGTATCAAAGAAGGGGGGGCAATATTTGTTTCTGACTACAGCTCCTCCAGAATCATGGAGTATTACTTAGGACAGAGAGCTCTTTTTAGGGATGAGGGGCTAGGCTGCCATTGTGTGAGTTGAAAAAAGCATGACAACATGGGTTGTTGTAGGTTTTTTCAGGCTATATGGCCATCTTCTAGAGGCATTCTCTCCTGATGTTTCGCCTGCATCTATGGCAAGCATCCTCAGTGGTTGTGACCTCACTATGTATGTGAAAAGACCACACTACCTCTGAGGATGCTTGCCATAGATGCAGGTGAAACGTCAGGAGAGAATGCTGAAATCTGAAGGTTCTGAAATCTGAAGGTTTTCATCCCTTGCACAAATATTCCTGCTTTTAATAAGAAAGGTTGCTCGAACTCAGCACTTACTCGATTGTGATCATTTTTCTTTCTCTGTCTTCGCAGTTTAATTTCTTCATTTCGAGAATGTTTGCAGCCCACTGGAATTTTTCTGAATTTATAAACAGCAGTGGCTGGTGAACTCTTGGATAAATTTCATCAGACAGGGGTAACATCCATGCATCAAGAGCAATACCACACCTTGACAGAACAAAAAAAGAAGAAGAAGTATGTGGCTGGTGACATAGCAATACCAGTTTCACAAATCCTAAATTTCCTATTTTGGATAAGCTTGTCTTAGATGTTACAGAAATAATTTATGAATGTACATCCATATGTGTTAAATATCTGAGCATAAAAAAAATGGTAGCAGAAAATACTATCTGGAAAATTGGAAACATTCCACACATTTTAACAAGTAGTTATCTGCTCAATGTCTAGGGAAGAATTTGGAGATAGACCAAGCTCTGATATTAGTGCAGAGAAAAACAAAGAGGAGAAGATCACCGTTATTTTTAGATTACATGCTTACTTGAATCGCACATCTTTGCCAAGAGTCTCAATGGCTGTAGCAGCACCAAAAGAGTGCCCCATCATTGTTATCTTCTGTATGTCAATAGAATCCTAAAAAGAAAGACACCCGTTCAATTTTTCCATTTCATAAACTTTTACCATAAGAGACTGAAGCTGCAATCCAACACACAGTGTCAAATTTATAAAAATCAACGTTGTTTAAGTCGCATTGACCGACCGTCTGCACAGGGTTCCATACTTTGCACTTTAACAACACAACCATTCAATACTAAGGCTTCCCACCAAAATGAAACTGTAGAGGAGAGTCTACTGAACAAGCCAGTACCTGCCGCATACCAGTACTGCCATCTGATGAGGAGTTACAAAAGTGGAGGCATTACTTTTCATTCAACCCTCGTACAATTGGAAAGAGACTCCCTGCAGATTACTGAAGGACATTGGGAGAGAGATAGAAGGTTACAGCTGGGTAAGGAAGGGATTCACCTGGAGTGACAGCCTTTCTTAGCATGGCAGGAAGGCTTTTAAAAACTTCCAACAGCTGGAAGCTTTTTTAAATGATAAAAGATGTCCACTGGGACAGACAAGAGAATTGGAGATTCCTTGATACTCTTGCATGCACATTTGTAACTTCGGTCTATAGCTTCTTCTTTTTTTCCGTGTCAGGAACACTTGAGAAACTGCAAGCCGCTTCTGGTGTGAGAGAATTGGCCATCTGCAAGAACATTACCATGGGGATTCCTGGATGTTTTCCCATCCTGTGGGAGTCTTCTCATGTCCCCACATGAGGAGCTGGAGCTGACAGATGGGAGCTCACCGTGCTCCCCAGATTCGAACCGCCAGCCTTTCTGTCAGCAGTCTTGCCAGCACAAGGGTTTAATCCATTATGCCACTATAGTTGCACAATACATAATATAGGAACGAGGAGCTTTAGGTGCCATGAGATTAGATTTTTCAAAAATGAATCCCTGAACTATTATTATTATTAACTTTATTTGTACCCCGCTAGCATCTCCCGAAGGAATCAATGCGGTTTACAAAGGCCAAGGCCACAATAAAACAACAATATAACAATTACATATAAACCAAAAGCAAATCAAAAACATTAAAGCAATAACAGTAAACAATAAAAACAGTACACCGTGACACAATAAAACTAGGCCGGGCAAATGTACTGGGTACAGATTAAAAAGTGCTGAGTATGCTGAGTGATATAAGGAATTTGGATAAGTGCAATGTGTGGACAATCTTAATCTCTAATAAGGTGCTTTTGGGACGTGTTGCTGGGGTTTCCTATTCTGGAAAGTCACACCGGAATAGCCAGGTCTTCAAGCTCTTCCTAAAGACTGCCAACGTAGGGGCTTGTCTGATGTCCTTGGAGAGGGAATTCCAGAGTTGGGGGGCTACCACAGAGAAGGCCCTGTCCCTCATCCCCACCAGCCGCGCTTGCAACGCAGGTGGGATCGTGAGCAGGGTCTCTCCGGATGAACAAAGAGAGCGTGCGGGTTCATAGACGGAGATGCGGTCACGCAGGTAGGCAGGTCCCAAACCATTTAGGGCTTTGTAGGTGAGAACCTGCACCTTGAACTGGGACCGGAAAATGAACGGCAGCCAGTGGAGCTCCTTGAACAGGAGGGTTGACCTCTGTAAGGAGCACCAGTTAACATCCTGGCCACTGCCCGTTGGACTAGCTGAAATTTTCAAGCCATTTTCAAGAGCAGCCCCACGTAGAGCGCATTACAGTAGTCCAATCTAGAGGTGACCAAGGCATGGACCACCCTGGCCAGATCAGCCTTTACAAGTTACGGTTGCAGTTGGTGCACAAGTCTCAGTTGTGCAAAAGCCCTCCCGGACACCGCCGACGCCTGAGCCTCAAACTACATAAGAACATTTGAGAATGGAAATGAGGGGGACGGGTACTCTTATATCTTTACACTCTCTAGAATCCTCTTCATTCCAACATTTGACAGTAAGGTTCAATACGGCTACAGGGTTAACCCTTTTTTTTAGTGGGATTGATGTTATCAATATGCTGATATGAGGTAGTGTGGTCTTTTCACATACATACTTAAAATCAGTTCTGACCTGGAGAGTTTACAGTGCAGACTCATATGATCCAGTTTAAAACAAAAAACCTGGGATCAGATCCTGGGATATAGGGCCTGTCTGGAAGGGCAGGTGTAAAGGTCCGTTCAACAGTTGGCATGCCAGCCACATCCATTGCAGCAAAATCTGGCAACTACCATTCATTCCCTTGACCAGAAATTTTCTTTACCTTTAAAAGGATCCAGTTAAAGTTCAGAGGCAGCACATTCACGGGTGGCTTTCCAGAATTGATGTCAAGCATGAGGTCAACAGCCCTGGTGCATTCATCTGCCCGTTGCTGTAGCTATAAACCAAAAAGAGACATCAACCATTCTCTGTTGGGATCGAAACATTCAGATTTTGATGTAACAATTAGAGCTATTCATTTATCTATATAAATAAAAATGTAATGTTCGTTTGTGGGATTAACAGAACTCAAAAACCAGTGGGCGGATTGACACCAAATTTGGACAGCATACACCTAGCAACCCAATGTATGTCCTTCACTCTTTTTTTAATTTTGTCATTTGGGAGTTGTAGTTCTTGGGATTTATAGTTCACTTACAATCAAAGAGCATTCTGAACTCCACTAATGATGGAATTGAAATAAAGGTGACACTCAGGACTCGCATAACCAACAGAAAACACTAGAAGGGTTTGGTGGGCATTGACCTTGCGTTTGGGAGTTGTAGTTCACCTACATCCAGAGAGCACTGTGGACTCAAACAATGATAGATCTGGACCAAACTTGGCATGAATATTCATTATGCTCAAATAGGAACACAGATGGAGTTTGGAGGAAATAGACCTTGACATTTGGGATTTGTAGTTACTGGGATTCATAGTTTTTTGTTATTGTTGTTTTTTTGTCATGTCAGGAGTCGCTCCTGTTGTGAGAGAATTGGCCGTCTGCAAGGACGTTGCCCAGGGGACGCCCAGATGATTTGATGTTTTTATCATTCTTGTGGGAGGCTTCTCTCATGTCCCCGCATGAGGAGCTGGAGTTGATAGAGAGAGCTCATCCGCCTCTCCCTGGATTCGAACCTGTGACCTGTCGGTCTTCAATCCTGCCGGCACAGGGCTTTAACCCACTGCGCCACCGGGGGCTCCCGGGGATTCATAGTTCACCTACAATCAAAGAGCATTCTGAATCCCACAAACGACAGAATTGGAGCAAATTTCCCACACAGAACCCCCATGAACAACAGAAAATACTTAAGGTCATCCAGTCCAACTCTCTTCACCAGGGCAAGAAAATGTAATCAGAGCCATCCTGACAAAGAGCCATCCAGTCATAAATATAGATAGATAGATAGATAGATAGATAGATAGATAGATAGATAGATAGATAGACAGACAGACAGACAGACAGATAAATATGATTCACACACACAGAGATATAGTTTCCTAGATTTGAAAGGGACCCCTAAATAAAGACTATGATATGTTACATATTCCAGAGTAGGAAAACCAGACACTCTCCACATCAACACTGACAAAGAAACAACAAGAAATACTGTTTACCCACAAGCATAAAGAAATTACAAATATTAGAAACCAAAACTTTCTCATTAATATATTTTCCAGATCACCAGACTGGACCACAGCAACGCATGGCAGGGGACAGTTAGTGTTTATATAAAACTCTTAACAAAAATGTTTGGGGGGGGGGGGGTTGGAATTACACAGTTAAAATAGCACAACAAAGTATGTAATATATTTGCATAACATTTCATTTTCAGGCACCACCTCTTGATGAGTTTCAGATAGACTCATCATACAATTTCCATGAGGAAAGGCATTCAGAAATGGCTTACTGATGCCTCTTTCTTACTACTACTAAAGCTAGCAATGGTACCATTGCCATTGTTTCCAAGACAGACTTCACCATTGTCATCCATGGGTGCTTCTTGTTCATGAAAAAAAACAACACAACTGCCAAGTAAAGATAAAAGTATAAATCAACAATTTCAGGTTTGATGTATGTGCTTTTTCCTATCTTTACATTTATCAGCCTTCTTAGATCATAAAATCTTAGAACTGGAAGGAACTACAAAGCCCATTTAGACCAACCCCAATTTTGCCATGCAGGAATGCACAACTAAGGCACCCCTAAATGATGTCAACTGAATCTCTGCTTAAAATCTTCCAAAGATATAGAGTCTACCACCTTCCAAGGCACAGATCTATAGATACTAGGGACCCCTGGTGGCACAGCAAGTTAAACCACTGACCAACTTGCTGACTAAAAGGTTGACGGTTTAAATCCAGGGAATGAGGTGAGCTCCCGCTGTTAGCCTCAGCTTCTGCCAACCTAGCAGTTCAAAAACATGCGAATGTGAGTAAATCAATGTGTACTGCATCTGCAGGAAGGTAACATAGTTCCATGCAGTCACGCTGGCCACATGACCTTGAAGGCATCTACAGACAACGCTGCTCTTCACCTTAGAAATAGAGATGAGCACCACCCCCAGAGTTGAACATTACTAGATTTAATGTCAAGGGGAAACCTTTACCTTTTTATTATGGGTCCAGTATAACCTGTTAATGTTTTCCCCCTTCTCGGTTACATGCCTTATTGCACTTATACTATTGGGTTATTTCCCCCTAGATGTACAGATGGATAGATACTATTCACAGCTGAAAACTGCCCATCCATTCAAGAGGCTTTCTTCCAAGTGTTTGCTGTTTATCAATCAAAAGGATGAACTTGCCAGACTGCCTTACTCTAAATCACCATAAACAACAATTTAAAGTAAGTAAGTAAATAATGTATTGTCGAAGGCTTTCATGGCCGGAATCACTAGGTTCTTGTGGGTTTTTTTCGGGTTATAGGGCCATGTTCTAGAGGCATTTCTCCTGACGTTTCGCCTGCATCTATGGCAAGCATCCTCAGAGGTAGTGAGGATGCTTGCCATAGATGCAGGCGAAACGTCAGGAGAAATGCCTCTAGAACATGGCCCTATAGCCCGAAAAAACCCACAAGAACCTAAGTAAATAATGATGATGATGATGATGATGATGATGATGATGATGATGATGATTTATTTATAACCTGCACAATTTCCTCAAGGGGACTCAGGGTGGTTTCCAAACAAAAAGTGGCAAATATTCAATGCCATAATAAAAACAAAACCCAAATCAAATCAATGAATGAAACAACATCAATATAAACTTATAATAACTAATCAAAAGTAAGTAAATTAAAACAAAATATTTACTTTAAAAAAACTTAATAAAATCTCATCAAACACTTTTGCATTGTAATAAAATCTGACCACTGAAGTGCATTAACAGTGTAAAATGGTTTACAACCACCAACAGAGCCAGAATGGGTTTCCAGCGTCCAAATGAGGTTGTATATTAAGATAATTTAGTCCTCCTCCTCTCCATAGGCTGAAATGCAAAGATGGGTTTAAAGAAGTTTTTTAAAGGAGATGAGAGTGGGCAGCGTTTTTATTTCTTTGGGAAGGGAGGTCCAGAGGTGAGGGGCGATCACAGAGAAGCCCCCTTTCTCATTCCCACCAACTGTGCTTGTGACAGGGGTGGGACAGAGAATAGGGCCTCCTTCGCAGACCGCAGCATCTGTGGTGGTTTATATATGGAGATGTGGTTAGTCAGCCACACGTTCCTCTTTAGAAATACTTGGAAAATTCTGATACCTGTTTGATTAGAAATGACAAAGGAAACAAAGGATATCATCAGTTGTTATCCTTTCACCGGTTTTCATATGAAAGACAACACACTCTAAAGAGGAATAATCAAATAGGCTCTTGAATGAAGAACTTCCCATTCCACATGAAATATCAGCAATGATGCCCTCTAGATGACACATTTTTGACATCTTAAAATACCTGTTGATGACGCAAGTAAAATTCATCTTCATCTGCTTTTAATTTCCGGTAATAAATCCATTCCTCATGCAGCTCTGAAACTTTGCCTTTTGTTCCTGAAACAGGTTTCCCCTCATAGTAATATGTAGCTGAAGCAGACTGGTCCCTAACACAAATGAAAATGCAATTCAGGATTGTTCTGAGATATCTACTCTTAAGGACCATGTCCTGTTGTATAGACTTTTTATAATAATCACTAATATTTATTTATTATTTATTTATTTACGACATTTATATGCCGCCGTTCTCACCCCTAAGGGGACTCAGAGTGGCTTACAAGATATATATATATATACATACAATACATATTATTAGCATAGTACAATATCAGTATTATATATTACTATATTGTACTACAACATTACATTGTAATATTAGTAATATTACATGTAATATAAAATATGTAATTATAATATATTATTATATTGTATTACATTATAATCTATATACAATATTATATATATACACACACACAAGGGTTGAAATTTTTTTTGTCGTGTCAGGAACGACTTGAGAAACTGCAAGTCGCTTCTGGTGTGAGAGAATTGGTGGTCTGCAAGGACGTTGCCCAGGGGACGCCTGGATGATTTGATGTTTAATAATGCATACAATTGTACTACAAATTCACTTGATTAATGAAATTAGGGGTTGATTTTACTCTAAATAATACTTTTCAAGGGTTGAATGAAAAGTATTATTTAGAGTAAAATCAACCCCTAATTTCATTAATCAAGTGAATTTGTAGTACAATTGTATGCATTATTAATTGTAACCTTTACAACAGTAACAGCCTGTATTGAGGTATACTAACAAAATGACAGCACAGACGTCTATAACAAAAAAAGTCACAGATAAAAAGGGAACACATGATTTAAAAGTACTAATCTCAAGAATTAAACTTGCAACAGTCTCACAAAAGAACACATCAGGGTTGTTCAGGAGGCATGGAATTTTATAACACTCCTGCAAAAAATGAAATTCCTGTATTTCACCCATATTTTATCATATTTGGAGCAGATAAACAAAGACTGGTCAAGTGTTTCAACAGAAACCAAGTCACAAGAACAATTATAACCAGTTAATAATTACTCCAGTACAAAGAATACTTTAACTTTAAGAATACCATGAAACTAAATAGGGAGAGAACCCCGAACAACTTCTTACAAAGCAGAACAGGTAGAAGGACTGCTGTAAAGTAGTCCATGGTTTACTGTGGAAAATTCCATCGTGGGTTCAACCCCTCTCCAGTCTTGTCCAAATCAGCCATCTTTTCAGATCCAGTGCAGAATATTCAGAGACAGCAAACGGGTGTTTCCATTTCCTGGGACAACTTTGGCTGAGGCATTTATAACTTACCAATATGTATTTTCTATACCCCCATACTGTTTGCTTCTGATATTGCTATTTAAATAGTCATGCACTCTGACTGGAGGGAGGATGAAGGTGATTCACACAAGTGTTGAACATACAGCTATTGTTTATATACATTTCTGTGGGGTTACATTCAACCACCAAGGAGGATGTTTGAAAATTTCATTCAGCTCAAGGTCTAAATCCAACTGCTGGTTCCAACTAGAATAGACCTGCTGATTCATTAGGATTTACACACCAGGTGAAACCAGGTGTCCTTTAGGTGAAATTAGGATTTGGTCCAAATTTGTAAGCAATCTGACCTGATTTCTACCAAGCTAATGTGCTTTTTCAAATAGAGTTATGCTTTGATTCTGCATCTTTGTGATGCATGGCTTTTTTACTTTTTTTGTAAAAAAAAAAAATCTGAGGCCCAGTAATTTTGGGGTCCTAGAAGACTTGGGAGGCACAAAAATGAGGTTGTCTTATCCTACCCTATCATGAGGAAATAATTGAAGAATATTGTAACTGAAAAAAAACCTCATTCACTCAGGGAAATATGGCTTTGGATGGAAAAGTGTGATAAAGTTGGGTGTCGTCGGCATAAATTTGACACCAAACTCCAAAACTCTGGATGATCTCTCCCAGCGGTTTCATGTAAATGTTAGATAGCCTGAGGGAGACCATTCAACCCTGAGGGACACCCCCGGCCAGGCAGTCAAACAGGAATCCCCCAGCACCACTATCTGGGTCTGATCTTCCAGGAAGGACAGCTTGCTATCTGCCATTGGTTAGAGTCCTTGCCATAATTGTCTGCGTATGTAATCCACCACCATCCCTGTTGTGTGAAGTTCTCATTGTGTTTGTGAGTATATTGGGAGAAGACCTGTAAATAGTTATAAGTAGCAAATAAATCAAGCATAAAACCTCCATGGACTTTGGATGAAAGTATATATGACTGCATAATTAATGTTATTGTTTTTAATCTATTATGTATTTATGGTTTTAGATTGTTGTTATTGTGATATTGCGATATCAAATTGTTGCCAGTGTTAGCCGCTCTGAGTCCCCCCTTGGGGATTGAGAAGAGCAGGGTAGAAATGTTGTAAATAAATAAATAAATAAATAAATAAATATCAGTCTCAAAGTCTCTCTTGTGAAGCTAAAGCGTCTAAATTTCAATCAGGGCCAGAGTAAACATTACATTAATTACATGTTTAGAAGGGATGCTTCCACAGCTGGTGAAAGTGTTGCACCATTAAACACAATCGTATGGTATACATGACAAAAATAGTGTCAGATGTGTTTGTGCTACCTCATTTATTTTGGTTACTGCCTGCTTTGCTTTCTATTTGGTGTTTGGAAGATACACATAAATAAGTTTGATTATCTTGTCTGATTTTACTGAAGCACAGTATCTCTGAGGAAACCTCAATGTGACAGGAAATATAATACAAAACATGATTATCACAGAGAAGGAATGTCCCCATTACTGTGTAGTTAGACCAGGAGTCCTCAAACTAAGGTCCGGGGGCTGGATATGGCCCTCCAAGGTCATTTACCCAGCCCTCGCTCAGGGTCAACCTAAGTCTGAAACGACTTGAAAGCACACAACAACAACCACAATCCTATCTCATCAGCCAAAAGCAGGCCCATACTTCCCATGGAAATACTAATAAGTTTATATTTGTTAAAATTGTTCTTCATTTTAATTATTGTATTGTTTTAAAGTGGTTTTTGCACTACAAATAAGATATGTGCAGTGTGCATAGGAATTCATTAATGTTTTTTTTCAAATTATAATCTGGCCCTCCAACAGTTTGAGGGACTGTCACTTGGCCCTCTGTTTAAAAACGTAGAGGACCCCTGAGTTAGACCATTTCTAATTCCAATCCATCAGTCTTCTACATTAGTAGTATTTCATTATATATGCACATACTTCTTCAACCTAATATATACATAGAATACATACCTGTGTTCAACAGCAGCAACGACAAAACCCTGAGATGCCATTTCAATGCAAATTGCTGAATATATACTTCTGTTGGTATAAGCATGACAATTAATGACATACAGTAAAAGTAAAGGTTTCCCCTTGACATTAAGTCTAGTTGAGTCCGACTCAAGGGGGTGGTACTCATCTCCATTTCTATGCCGAAGAGCTGGCGTTGTCCGTAGACACCTCCAAGGCCATGTGGATGGCATGACTGCATGGAATGCCATTACCTTCCCGCAAAAGTGGTACCTATTGATCTACTCACGTTTGCATGTTTTCAAACTGCTAGGTTTGAAAACATGAGTTCTCCCTTACAAATAATTCTGCTCCTTTATCTCACCCTGAGTTTTTAAATCATTTTATGTACATGTGGCCTGCTCACTGTCATTATGTTTGGTTTACTGCTTTTTTTATATATATTTTGTGTATATTGTTTATATGCTTATATGTTTTATACTTTAATGCTATGTTGTTTATTTTATTGCAATTTGTATCTTATTTTATTGTAATTTGTTGTTTGGGCTTGGCCTCATGTAAGCGGCCCCGAGTCCCCATTGGGGGAGATGGTGGCGGAGTATAAATAAAGTTTATTACTATTATTATTATTATTATTATTATTATTATTATTATTATTATTAGGTTGGGGGAAGCTGGGGCTAACAACTGGAGCTCAACCCATCCCATGGATTCGAACTGCCAACCTTCCAGTCAGCAAGTTCTGCAGCTCAATGGTTTAACCTGTTGTCACACGCAACTCCTGGAACAATTCCATCAGTGCTGCCTCCGGAAAATCCTGCCAATCTCTTGGGAAGACAGGCAGACAAACGTGCTGGAAGAAGCAAAGACCACCAGCATTGAAGCGATGGTCCTCTGCCACATTGTCCGGATGCCCGACCACCGTCTCCCAAAGCAGTTGCTCTACTCCGAACTCAAGAACGGAAAACAAATGTCGGTGGACAGGAAAAGAGATTTAAAGATGGGCTCAAAGCCAACCTTTAAAACTCTGGCATAGACACTGAGAATTGGGAAGCCCTGGCCCTTGAGCGCTCCAGCTGGAGGTCAGCTGTGACCAGCAGTGCTGCAGAATTTGAAGAGGCACGAATGGAGGGTGAAAGAGAGAAATGTGCCAAGAGGAAGGCGTGTCAAGCCAACCCCGACCGAGACCGCCATCCACCTGGAAACCGATGCCCAGTGAGGTGGGAGAAGATGCAGATCAAGAATAGGGCTCCACAGTCACCTACGGACCCACCAGAATACTGATCCTGGAAGACTATCCTCCTCAGCCAATAAGGGATCGCCTAAGCAAGTAAGTAAGTGGTGGCCCTTAATTATATATAGTTTAGTTCAATTCTGACAGAATTCATAAGCCGTGTATATGCTACATCTGCTTTATTTTTTATTATTATAATGTTCCTTTGGTTGCTGTTATTATCGCTATTTAGAAAACACCTTAAAGTTTTTTCAGGTTTCTCAGCTGTAAGGCCATCAATGTCACTCGTAACTTTACTGCTTTTATTATAAATAGTATTTTTGCAAATTCTTAGGTTCCAAAGCAGTTTACCATCAATAAAATCCTGGAAATATGAAGGTATTAAAGGATGGGTTTCCTTAATTAAAACAGCACAGGTACTAGATGTACTTTCTGAGATAGAATCACAATTATTTATATTCTATGAATAGTTTTTTTTTGTATGCCAAAACCATTCTTAAAGGCAATCAGCTTCATCAATATGTTTCATCCCACAATATAGTATTATCTGGAGACAATACTGTATCAGGAATCAGCTGGAAGCTTTTAGAGGCACACAGCACTATTAAAAGCAATACTACCTGAAAGCTCCAAGTCCATGGGAAAAAATAATGAGGGGGTACTTTTCTCCAGACTTGAACACTGCATTCCATTTGGCAGGACATGTCACTGAGCCTAGATGGAAGAGAACAGCTGTCAATGCGATTCTTGATTTCCAATCATTAAAAAACCTGCATTTCATTTTCTCATGAAAACAGGTATACTCGTGAAACAAAACTTGTTTACACATCCCAGACTGGGCTCCTGCAGATCTGTGGTGGAATCATTCAGCCCTATTCAGTAGGACCAGGCCAAACATGATATCCCCCATTCGCTGCTCTATTCCCTTGCTGTACAGCTGGAGTGCTTTTTCTGACACTCCAGGGATGGAGTGGACAAAGAACCTTGATAATTCTGTAAATATGTACTGTAACTTGCCCTTTTGCATCTTTGCAAAAAGATGACTCTTGGTATTGTGGAATCCATGGATGAAGAAATCATAAATATAAACAACTGGCTTTATTTGAGAGGTTTGTCGTTTTTTTGTGATACCTGATTTGTCATATTTGCAAATCACTCATACATTCCCAAACAGCCACTGAAGTCCTGGGTATTAGGCAGAAAAAAATGAACAGATACAGGATGGGTGATGCCTGGCTCGACAACAGTTCATGTAAAAAATATCTTGGGAACTTTCTAGCTGTATGGCCATGTTCCAGAAGCATTCTCTCCTGACATTTCACCCACATCTATGGCGGGCATCCTCAGAGGTTGTGAGATCTGTTGGAAACTAGGCAAGTAGGGTTTGTATATCTGTGAAATGTCCAGGATGGGAAAAAGAACTCTTGTCTGTTTCAGGCAAGTGTGAATGCTGCAATTGGCCACCTTGATTAGCATTTAATTGCAATGTAGCTTCAAAGCTTGGCTGATTGTTGCCTGGGGGATCCTTTGTTGGGAGGTGTTAGCTGGCCCTGATAGATTTTTGTCTGGAGAGAAACCACTGAAATCCACAAGCATGTTTTTAAAATCTTGTTACTATTTTAAGCTATATTGTGTTATGAAAATATTCAATAAAGAAATTATATATGTATATGTATATGTGTGTGTGTGTGTGTGTGTGTGTGTGTGTATATATGTATGTATGTATGTATATATATATAAAGAAATCCACAAGCATGTGGAGAAGCATGTGGACAGTTTCAACAGAAAGGAGGAAACCATGAAAATAAACAAAATCTGGCAACCAATATTTTAAAAAATCAGGACAGTAAATGAAGAACAGCACTCAAAAAACAGGAGAATTCCAGAAAAAGACTCTATCAGGGCCAGCCAACACCTCCCAACAAAGGATCCCCAAGGCAGTAAGCAGCCAGGCTTTGAAGCTGCAAGGCCATTCAATGCTAATCAAGGTGGCCAATTGCAACATTCACATTTGCCTCAAACAGACAAGAGTTATCTCTCCCACCCTGGATATATAATCCTCACTTGCCTTGTTTCCAACAGACCTCACAACCCCGGAGGATGCCTGCCACAGATGTGGGCGAATGCTTCTTGAACATGGAGGAAATGCTTCTTGAACATGGCCATACATCCCAGAAAACCCACAGCAACCCAGTGATTCCAGCCATGAAAGCCTTTGACATCACAAGAAAGTCTTGAGTTAAACCACATTATGCACTGCAACTGATCCATGTGTAACCCAGATCAGGGGCAAAACTGGCTCCAGAAAATCTAGAGTGCATTGGAAATTCCTACTGTGCTGAAGTGCGGTAACGGGCTGCTGAAGAATGACCCAAAATTCACAGCTGAGCAACAGGGGGCAAACTAACCCCCTGAGACAGATTATTGATTGCTTCTTCCACTGTTGTCACTTTTCCCTTTTTTTAAAAAAATCTGGTATGCCTCCTGAATAAAAATCTGTAAATTGATGTGAGGCCAGGTTCAGTTATAAATGTAATCACCTTCCTGGCCTCAAACCGGTTCCATGCATGGCAATCTGAACACCCCTAGAGTAAAACTAGTTCCTCTCAACCACTTACAAGTTGCATTATAGTGTCAGCGTAGTATTTATTTATTTATTATCCCTCCCATTTCAGCCCAAAGGGGGCTCAGTGGCAAAACAAGGTAATATATTTACCTGGGAGCAAGAAACCAAAGCAGAAGGTCTACAAAAATACTTTCCTATTAGGACTCAATCACCATCATCATTCCATTAGGACTTGTACTCATATCATGACCAAAACTTACCAAAAAAACATGCAAAAATGAACTCTCCTATTGTCCGCTGAAAGTTAAGAAAATCAGACAGTCCATAGTAATATTCTTTCTTGGGAATCCACAGTGTTTCTTCACTACTTGTGCCGTTTTGGGAAGGGTAATACAGGCGCAAAAAAATTCCCTGTTATTGAACAACAAAATTGAAATGGTTTAAATTGAAAAGAGTTTAAAGGGGGGGGGGGGGTGAAAAGAAACATGCATTAAGAATTCAGAAGCATTCTACCTTAATACTAATCATTTTTAAAAGTTTTATACATCCCAAATAATATATTCTATTCCATTGAAACTTTATTTGTTGTTCGGCTAGAGAAAAAAATAATAATTTTGGACTTTCATCAGGATCTAAGAGTCTTATTGTACTAAACATGAGCCAACAGTATGATGCGGCAACTACTAGGCTTCATCAATAGTATAGTGTTTAAATTGAGGGTAGAAATAATCTCACTCTATTTTGCTTTGATCAGACCTCACCTGCCAGTCTTGGGCAAAACAATTCAAGAAGGGATTTTTTTTATTGTGTCAGAAGCGACTTGAGAAACTGTCTTTTCTGGTGTGAGAGGATTTGCCATCCACAGAGACATTGCCAAAGGGATGCCTGGATGTGTTACCATCCTGTGAAAGGCTTCTCTCATGTCCCAAGAAGGATATTGAAAAGTGGGAATATGTCCAGAGAAAGGTGACCAAAATTATCAAAGGTCTGGAAGCCAAGCCCTACAAGGAATGTCTTAGGGAGCTAAGTATGTTTAGTCTTGAGAAGAGAATGCTAAGAGGTGATATATATTTGAAAGAATTCCATATTGAAGATGCAGCAGGCTTATTTTCTGCAGCTCCAGAGAGTAGAACATGGCGCAAGGGATTCAAACTATGAAATAACATATTCTACCTAAACCAGGAAGCTTTTCCGAATGATAAAAACTGTTTGACTGTGGAATACATTCCCTCGAAGCATGATGAAGTCTCCTTCTTTAGAAATTTTTAAGAGAGGTTGGATGGCCATCTGTCAGGAGTGCTTTGATCGCATATTTCTGAATACTAAATTGGACTGCTTGGCCCTTGAGGTTTCCTCCAACTTTATGATTCTATAATTTTATGGTCACCTGATAGTCAAGCTAGAAATCAAATAGACTACATTGGTAGTGACCATTTATTCCATTTCTGTTTGCTCTGTCTATAGCAGCAATTCTCAATCTGGGGTCCCCAGATGTTTTAGGCCTTCAACTCCCAGAAATCCTAATGGCTGGTAAACTGGCTGGGATTTCTGGGAGTTGTAGGCCAAAAACATCTGGGGACCCCAGGTTGAGAACCACTGGTCTAAAGTGTTAACCCTATGATACACTTTCCCCCGTCCTAAACTGAAAGCCTTACCCCATTGTTTTATCATTCCTGGACTCCCCTCACTTACATATTTACTATTCCTACATCACCCAGGGGTTTTATCATTGTATCTCGTCCATTTGGCCTGCCCATCCTGTTCGATTTTATATTGTGTTAATTTGCTTTATTTATTTTATTTTGCTACTGTAACTATTTTCTGATGTATTTTTTTTATTTCTGCATTCTGCATTTTATTGTGATGTATTGTATTTTTGGGCTTGGCCTCATGTTAGCCGCTCCGAGTCCCCATCGGTGAGATGGTGGCGGGGTATTAATAAAGATTATTATTATTATTGTTATTATTATTATTGGTGGAAGCAGAAGTTGGAGAAGTTCCATTCTCTTTGCAAAAACACGGCCAGACTTCACACTTTCCTCAAGCAGACAGGAGTTCTTTATCCCACCATGGACATTTCACAGATATACAACCCTCACTTGCCTAGTTTCCAATAGACCTCTCAACCTCTGAGGATGCCTGCCATAGATGTGGGTGAAACGTCAGGAGAGAATGCTTCTGGAACATCTCCATACAGCCCAGAAAGCTCACAGCAACCCATACATTGAAATAGATCAAGATTTTCCATACTTTGGGTCAGTCAAGAAATCAGAAGAAGAATAGGAAGTCGAAGGGCAACTATGAAGGAACTAGACAAAATCTTTAAATCTTTGAAAATTAAGTTAGGATATATATTTGAAAAAATAAAGTTAGGATTTTCAGGCCATAGCACTTCCAATTTCTCTGTATGGTTGTGAAAGCTTGACAGTGAAGAAAGCTGGCAGGAAGATAATCAACTCATCTGAAATGTGGTTCTGGAAGGAAGTTCTGTGAATATGCTCTAAAATCTAATTGCTAAACATCTCAAGGTAATGTGCATTTTGTCCCGACCTGACTCTGACTATATTCTCTTAATTGAAAACCACAGTACTAGACAGGAAACATGATAAATTTCACAGTTCCTGTATATTTCTAAAGTTCTATTTTTGAGGGGGGTTATTTTGGTTTTTGAAAGCTGCTTTGGGTTTTTAGTAAAACAAAAACAGAGAAAGCAACAACAATGACTACTACAGAAACAACCATAATAACAGAGGTAGCAACAGGAGATACCTGAATATTATGACCCGTCATCAGGTCCGTGCATCCCACAGAATAAGGGCCTTTGCCTGCAGGGATTCTCCCAAACCTGTTCCCCATTTCTACTGCAATATTCTGTGTTCTGTTCCTTTACAAAGAGGAGCAATGAACAGAGCTTTGAAAACTGTAAGGGATAAAAGGATGGGAAATCAATGAAATCATATTAAAAACAAACTGAATTTAATTTATTATTTTTTTAGTACAGTATCTAGGCATAACTCACTCAACAGCTGCTCTTTTTGCACCCTTTCTTCCTCATCTTCTATGAAACTTCATGTTTTTCTGCGCCTTTGGCATTGAGAGGATGGTAATGAAGGGCTTGAGAAAACTGATTTTGTTGGGCAGCAACACCACGTCTAGAGTAAAAGAAGGCAATAAAGTGTCAACTGGATTCTAGTCTTGCCAATCCCAGTGTTGCCAAAAGTGCTTGTCTGCAACAGGCTAGCAAACAGCATCTGCCTCAAGAATCCCTAACAGGTGAAAGCACAGCGAAATAGGGAGCAAATCAGCCTGTAACAGGCCCTTTCTACACTGCCATATAATCTATATTATTGAAGCAGATAATCCGCATTATATGACAAATAATCCAGTTCAAAGCAGATAATCTGGACTTTATATGGCAGCGTAGAAGGGACTTGACAGGCCCCTTTTCCCACAGCAACAAAGGATGTTTATTTGTTTGGTTGAAAATCTTTGAGGGAATGATTGGGTTCAAAGAAAAGGCCTTAATAAGGTTCTGTGCTTTTAAAAAAATGGTTTCATGTATGTTTTACCTTATTGATTGCTTAGTTACATTTTAATGTACATTTTTGTGTATTCCCATTTCTGTATGGGTATATATACATATACATATACATATACATATACATATATATACTAGCTGTCCCCTGCCACGTGTTGCTGTGGCCCAATCTGATGATCTGGAAAATGAAATAATGAGAAAGTGTTGGTTTCTAATATATATAATTTCTCTGGATGTAGGTGAACTGCAACTCCCAAACTCAAGGTCAATGCCCACCAGGGGCGGCTCATCCATTACGCAAAGTAAGCGGTCGCAGTACACTTTTTTTTGCCAGGGGCGCAGAGGCGCCTCTGTAAATGCCCCTTGACCACCACTTGAGGAGCACCCCCTCGGCTTACAACAGCCCTAGCAGTCCGAGGGAAGCCTCAGCAACCTATTACGCAAAGTAAGCATTTGCAGTATAGTTGATTGTGCCCAGGGGCACTCTTGAGGCGCTCTTGGGGGAAAATAGACCTTGACATATGTGAGTTGTAGTTACTGGGATGTATAGTTCACCTACAATCAAAGAGCATTCTGAACTCCACCAATGATGGAATTGAACCAAATATGGCACACAGAACTCCCACGACGAACAGAAAATATATATCAATAATTGGTGGGGGGGACGGGACGCCAATATACTGTTTGCTTACCATTGAAAATTACCCAGGGCCGCCTCTGATGCCCACCAAACCCTTCTAGTGTTTTCTGTTGGTCATGGGAGTCCTGTATACCCGGTTTGGTTCATTTCTATCATTGGTGGGGTTCAGAATGCTCTTTGATTGTAGGTGAACTATAAATCCCAGCAACTACAACTCCCAAAAGACAAAAATCAATTTTTTTGAGTGAAGGACATACATTGGGTTGTTAGGGGTATGCTGTCCAAATTTGGTGTCAATTCGTCCAGTGGTTTATGAGTTTTGTTAATCCCACAAATGAACATTACATTTTTATTTATATAGATCTATCTATCTATCTATCTATATTTGTCCTGGACGGTGGCCCTTTAAGAAGAATGCCTTTTCCCTGGCGCGTGAGGGAAGCCTATGGAAAGAGCGCGAGCTGCCTGGGATGCGGGGGCCAAGAGGCAAGGAGGGAAAGGCAGGTACGTGCCTTGCAGTGCGCGCGAGGCGCTTCCTTCTTTCCTTCCTCCTCGGCTCTGGAGAAGGAGGCCCAGGTGGCCCTGCCCTGATCCCGGCCGAAGGAGACGCCAGAAGGCCTACCTTCCGTCCTCCGCGGCGACCCCGGCTTGCTGGGCTCCTGTGGCCCAAGGAGCTCGGCCATCAGCTCCGCCCCCGGCTGGCTGGAGAAGCGGGGAAGGGGAGGGCGCTCCCTCAGGCCGCTGCTGCTGCTGCTGCTGCTTCTCAATCGCCTTCGGGGAGCAGTCAGAGGCTTTGGAAGGCCACCCATTGCCACTCATCTCTTACACATGCCAATGTTTACTATGGATCCCGCTGTACGTCACCAGCCAATAGGAAAACCCGCCCTGCAGATGCGGGCTTTATGACACTATTACAACACCGTTCTTGTTCCTGGGTTACAAATGTCATTTCCTAATGGGTTCTGTTACAGAAACATGGGAGAAAGTTGATTAAACTGGCAAAAGGTTTTTTTTCTCAGTTCTTGTGGGTTTTTCCGGGCTATATGGCCATGTTCTAGAGGCATTTCTCCTGACGTTTCGCCTGCATCTATGGCAAGCATCCTCAGAGGTAGTGAGGTCTGTTGGAACTGGGAAAATAGGTTTATATATCTGTGGAATGTCTCACCCTGGTCATTCCACAGATATATAAACCCCTTTTTTCCCAGTTCCAGCAAACCTCACCTCTGAGGATGCTTGCCATAGATGCAGGCGAAATGTCAGGAGAAATGCCTCCAACAGTGTTTCTCAACCTGGGGGTCGGGACCCCTGAGGGGGTCGCAAGGGGGTGTCAGAGGGGTCGCCAAAGACCATAAGAAAACATAGTATTTTCTGATGGTCATGGGGATTCTATGTGGGAAGTTTGAGCCAATTCTATCGTTGGTTGAGTTCAGAATAGTCTTTGATTGTAATGAACTATAAATCCCAGCAACTACAACTCCCAAATGTCAAGATCTATTTTCCCCAGACTCCACCAGTATTCACATTTGGGCATATTGAGTATTCATGCCAAGTTTGGTCCAGATCCACCATGGCATGAGTCCACAGTGCTCTCTGGATATAGGTGAACTACAACTCCCAAACTCAAGGTCAATGCCCATCAAACCCTTCCAGTGTTTTCCATTGGTCATGGGAGCCAAGTTTGGTTCAAATCCATTGCTGGTGGAGTTCAGAATGCTCTTTGATTATAAGTGAACTATAAATCCCAGCAACTACAACTCCCAAATTACAAAATCAATCCTCCCCCAACCCCACTAGCATTCACATTTGGGTGTATTGGGTATTTGTGCCCAGTGAATGAAAATGCACCCTGCATATCAGATATTTACATTATGATTTATAACAGTAGTAAAATGATTGTTATGAAGTAGCAACGAAAACAATATTATGGTTGGGGGTCACCACAACATGAGGGAATATATTAAGGGGTCACGGCATTAGGAAGGTTGAGAACCACTGCTCTAGAACATGGCCGCATAGCCCGAAAAAACCGACAAGAACTGAGTGATTCCAGCCATGAAAGCCTTCGACAATACAGGGTTTTTTGTTTGTTTATTTGTTTGTTTTTGCAGGAGGAACTTCTCACTTCTAGTGAGAGCCGTTCAGCAGTGGAACTCTCTGCCCCAGGAGTGTGATGGAGGCTCCTTCTTTGGAGGTTTTTAAACAGAGGCTGGACGGCCATCTGTCAGGGGTGCTTTGAATGCAATATTCCTGCTTCTTGGCAGGGGGTTGGACTGGATAGCCCATGAGGTCTCTTCCAACTCTATGAGTCTATGATTCTATATGAAGTCCTATCCCCCGTGTCCCCCCCCCCCCGGGTTTGGTTTTTGTTTTGTCGTGTCAGGAGCAATTTGAGAAACTACAAATCACTTCTGGTGTGAGAGAATTGGCAGTCTGCAAGGACGTTGCCCAGGGGATGCCCGGATGTTTTGATGCTTTTATCATCCTTATGGGAGGCTTCTCTTATGTCTCCGCATGGGGAGCTGGAGCTGACAGAGGGATCTCATCCACACTCTCCCCGGATTCGAACCTGCAACCTGTCGGTCTTCAGTCTTGCCGGCACAGGAGTTTAACCTGCTGCACCACCGAGGACTCCCCCCTCCCCCCCCCCGGTGGCACAGTGGGTTAAACCACTGAGCTGCTGAACTTGCTGACCGAAAGGTCACAGATTCAAATCCGGACGTGCGCCCCCGCTGTTAGGCCCAGCTTCTGCCAACCTCACAGTTTGAAAACATTTATTTATTTGTTTATTGTATTGTCGAAGGCTTTCATGGCCAGACTCACTGGGTTGTTGTAGGTTTTTTCGGGCTATATGGCCATGTTCTAGTGGCATTCTCTCCTGACGTCTTTGTTTATTTATTTACAATATAGCCATCCCCTGCCACGCGCTGCTGTGGCCCACATGGGGGTTCTGTGTGGGAGGTTTGGCCCAATTCTATCGTTGGTGGGGTTCAGAATGCTCTGTGATTGTAGGTGAACTATAAATCCCAGCAACTACAACTCCCAAATGTCAAGATTCTATTTTCCCCAAACTACATTTGGGCATATTGAGTATTTGTGTAGAGTTTGGCCCAAATCCATCATTGTTTGAGTCCACAGTGATCTCTGGATGTAGGTGAACTACAACTCCAAAACCAAAGGACTCTGCCCACCAAACCCTTCCAGTATTTTCTGTTGGTCATGGGAGAACTGTGCGCCAAGTTTGGTTCAATTCCATCGTTGGTGGGGTTCAGAATGCTCTGTGATTGTAGGTGAACTATAAATCCTAGCAACTACAACTCCCAAATGACAAAATCAATTTTTTGAGTGAAGGACATACATTGGGTTGTTAGGTGTCTTGTGTCCAAATTTGGTGTCAATTCGTCCAGTGGCTTTTGAGTTCTGTTAATCCCACAAACGAACATTACATTTTTATTTATATAGATTTATATTCCGCCCTAGTCACCCTGCAGGGGACTAAGGGCAGATTACAATGCACATATACATGGAATACATTCAGTGCCAATTAGACATACAACATATATAGACAGACACAGAGGCAATCTAACATTCCAGCTTCAGCTTCATGATGGCGTGCTCGATTCCAGCCATAGGGGGAGCTGCCACTTCACCATCCACTTGTGAGTCCTTTGATGGCGTACTTCCTCATTCTTCTGCATGCTGCTGGAAGGTTTTATGGCATCATGTTGTTCAGTGGCTTCTGACTCTTCATGACCTTATGGACCATCCCACACCAGAGCGCCCTGTCGGCCGTCACCACCCCCAGCTCCTTCAGAGTCAAGCCCGTCACTTCAAGGATTAATTTATGGCATCATAAATTAGTTAAATTAGTCTCCCCACATAAAGTGGTACCTAAATTTTGGGAAATCCCACAATATCTGCTTTGAACTAGGTTATCTGAGTCCACACTGCCATATATATTCCAGTTCAAAACAGATCATGTGGAATTTCATTCACCTGTGTGCAGGCCCGTAGCCAGGATTTTGATTCGGGGGGTGCTGAGTTTGATTCACCGGGGGGGAGGGGGCTGCGTTTGATTCGGGGGGGGGGGGCTGAGGATCTACCCTAGCAAATCTTTCGTATTGTTATCTCAGTATCCCCATGCATATGGGATATATTGAGCATGGTGATCAGATAATGATATGAATGAACATAGCAGTTTAAATAATGTACCAGTAAGGCCTTCCCGCGGACCACCCTGAGAATTGGGGGGGGGGGGGGCGAAGTCCCTCAATGCTACATGCCTGCCTGTGTGGAAGGGCCTCAGTTACTGACCCTACACTACCATTACTAACGATTCACCTTATCATCTTATTTATTTACATTTGGAGTATGAAACTGCATAACATTTCCATTGCAAAAAAGCATGAGGCCCTTTTTGTTCCAATTTTGTGTGGGACAAAATATATTGACCAAGATGGTTATGCCTGACCTCCAAAAAAATATCCTCAAATGATAAAATGCAAAACAAAAAACAAAAAAAACCAGCACTGTCTCAGCTGTGGGTTGTTGGTTTTTTTTTTTGAGGGGGGGGGTCCATTTAAAAAAAAATGTGTATGGCGGCCAGTAGAAATGCAAGGACTTTGGTTAAAACTCTTGCTGTTCCAATGTTACAAAATGCCCATCGCATGGGTCTAGTTGTGTGTTCTGCAACAAAACCTGAGCCCAGTCATTAAATGCCCCAGCTGTTATGATAAATTAAGAATATAGAACTTCCTTCTGGCTTGTGCAATTGATGTACATGATTGTATTGGCAATAAGTAACTTAAGTAATTAAATAACAGGATGGGGTTAAATTTGATGTAATGTGTATTAAAATGATCTGTAATTAATCTTAGGCAATTGTTGAGGGTTAGCAAGTCTAGACACTGACGGAGATTTTGATTAACATAGTTGGTACGTTCCAGACTGAAAATTCACTTCCGAATGGTGAAAGGACAGAAGATAATGTTTGTTAACACGCATCGAATAATATTCAGAACCATCAGAGAGAGTTAATTTTTATGTAAGAGTCAAGTGATAATGTGTCTCTATGCAACCACCAATTTCATTGCTGGTGGAGAGTTTTAGATCTTGTTTTGAAGCAGAATACCACCCATATTTGTCATAGTAATGCTCAAATGTTTAACTTTTTTCCTTAAATTTAAAACCTGTTTTTCCCTCAATAAGAAATGATTTGGTACTGTCCCATTATCCGGGTGGAGGTCAGTAGGGGGCACTAGAGAGAGAATTATAGTCCATTTTGTGGGGATGGAGGGTGGGTTGAAGGAGGAAAACAATTTTCCTCTGTTTTTCTGTTACCCACCCTCCCACCCCCGCCATGTCTCCATTGTTGTTGCACTCCAGTACTGGAACATCCTTTCACGCAACACCACACCAGAGTCCAGTAATCCAATAAAATAATACTTAACACTTAAAGAAAGTATATAAAAAGGGGCAAAGGGCAAATCCAAAAGGGTCGGTAGAACAGAAAATGCAATACTCAAACCCAGGGTTCAATAGCAGTAATACAAAAATACCAGGGAGCACAAAGCTAAGAAATCCAAAACCACATAATTAATCCAAACAGGAACTTATCCGAGGTAAATTCTCCAGAGATACATAGGCATAAACGGACACATGAATCAGGAATCTTGACAATACAGGAACAATGAACATGAAATCATAAACAAGAAACTGTTCTTCTTTAGCAATGTCTCCTCTGAAAGATCTGAAAGCAAACCATTTAATTTAAGTCCTCCAGGTCACCCATGACATCATTCTTCATACATCTGGACTTCTGGGTCTTGTTTCGAATTCTCTGAGAAAATCTAGACTGCCGGCTT